AACAATCGAGTTTACGCAATAAAACAGGGCGTGAGGACCTTAGGAGGGTAGCCCGACATTTTCCCCTTTGCCAAGCAGTCACCTCCTGAGCTTGCAGCATACTCTCGCTTGGTCTATCTTGGCTAACAGCACGGAATATATGAGATTTCATTGGAAGCTTATTAACTTGAAATCCCACCAGGTTTATTGTTATGATACACGTATTCAATTGTTTGTTTAAGCGATCCTGCGAAAGAGGTACCTTTACTTGTAAACAGATTTCTACCGCGCTTATCTGGGTACTGGCCTCCAATTACTATCCGAATCTGATCTGTCCCATATGAGGTACATGCATGGACGGTCTTGGAAGAGCACGGCGCATGCATACATAGACACCCTGTACAGAACCCTACTAGCATGCTAAGCAGCGCTGGACGCAGACCATTTGATGGCTGGCCCCCCTCTCAATCTGCATAGCGCATATATAACCTACAAGACGAATGGTGCAGCGACTCCCCAGAACCGAGTTCGCCTATTCCGCTAGATTCAGGTACGTGACAAATTTCAAAGAGACACTGGTGCACGCATTATCCTCCGAGTCTGCTGTGTCCAAAAACAGATGACATATTGTTGTGAACAAAGAACGGATCTATCCAGGAGGCACGAGGAGTCTGCCCGATTCCATCATGGTTGTGGCTCGGATAAGCCCCGCTCGCCTTCTCGCTCCTTTTTCTCGACGAGCTGCGCTGCGTGATGGAGAATGTCTTCAAGCAACAAGCCGTATTCAGCGGAGCCCTGCACACGCGAATGGCAAAACTTCTATCACGCCCGAGCCAGTCAACCGAAACATGAGTGAAATTGGGATTGAAGCAACGTCTTTGGTGAGCTATTGCTTCGCCTCGAATACTACATCTCTCGAAAGAAACTTGGTAAAACTCATAGGCACTGACTGCAAGGCATTCCGACTAACTGGAAGGAAAGAAATCAACTTCTAAAGGATTGACGCAAAAAAGTCTCTGATCGGTGAGTCTCGCGGCGCTTCTGTTTATGGTAGAATTTCCGGTCGAGAAATCCAAAGTAATCTAAAACTGACGACTACAGCCTGAAGCTCCTTGCTCTAAAACCCCTTTCCTTCTCCACCCATTTTTTGTGCGGCCCAAGTTCATCCCCTTTTGCCACAAAATTATCTTCAAGGTTTCAAACCTTGCGAAACGCCCGACTCACCATGACGGTGGTGTGACACGTCAGCGTGACCTCCGGCAGAAGAACCGCGTTGGCCGGACTCCCCAGGCTGGATAGGTACACTTTGGGCGCCTCCTTGCCAACTGCCACCTCGGGCCGGTTCCGCAGGTACTCGCGCAGCTCCGCCGTCAGCTCGGGTGCCCGGTCGACCAGCCCGGGCGGAAGCGGAATCTTTGCGGACAGGAGGCGGCCCTCGGTGCGTGACCGGTTAGTGATCACCTGGGCAAAGAAGCGGTCCGGAACATAAGGGCGGGATATGACCATGTGAAGAGCAATCTGGTAGGTCGACTGGTAGGTCGACACCTGGGTTTCGCCTCCACATGTTGAAAATTTTAATTAGGCGAAACCGAGCTCAATGGTGGCCGTGCGTTCTTGTTGGTGTAACCAAGCTAACAGCGTTGGCAGTTACCTGGGGATGAGATGCTTTGTGCTCTACGAAAGGCGGGCAATTGAGCAAAGCGGATCTTCGGAACGCCAACGACATCTCCTCCCAACCCTTCCCCGCGCCAAACCTCCATGATCATAAACGCCAGACTCCTGATCTAACAAAGCTCGACGACTCGCTTTAACCTCGAGCTCGACAGAAGCCTGTTCGCGAAGCCACCCATGCCACCCACCAGTTCAACAACTGTGATCTTCCATTGTCCACTAGATACTCGGCTACACTATAACTGGCCGCTGAATGAAGCGCGGGTGCTATCAACATCGAGGGGTTTGAATGCGGCACCCTTCGACGCCAGAAAGTTGCTTATGTTACATTTGATACTTTCTGCAGACCTGAGGTCACCTGCTGACCATACCAACCATTGCCCCCTGATGACTCGTATGAAGTTTGCGACAGGGCACATGAAATCTTTATTGTTCGCCTAATCAGATGCCAGCACGGTACTTCAAGCTTCCTGATCCACAGACTTGGGCGTTTGTCTCACCTGGTTCGAGAAAAAGGAGTTGGGAACCACCACGGCGTGCTTATCTTGGTCAACCAGGTGCGTCGAGTGCAGCCCAATGTCGACGACAGTACCCTCGAGCGAGCCCGCCTGTAAAGAAAACATTCATCATAAGATTAAGAGATTTCAGGTTTCGGTGCCCGGTGTCTGACGCCCCTGGTACAGTTACCACACTTCGTCGCACGTCGGAACAACGAAGTGAGACCGCCTTTAAGCGCGCCCCAGCTTATCCCCTCCTAAGCGAGTAGAGTCGATAACGTGTAAGTTCTTGAACCTACACGTCCATTCTCAAGGGCAACAATTGCCCTGAACCGGGCTTGAAACATGACAACAGAGCTCGTCGAAGAAATTCCAATAAAGACCAAATGCTGTTTTTAGACTGTCCTCAAAGGTAGACGAATGGCTCGGAGGCCATTCTCCGGGCGAAGACCGAGATTTGTTGTAGGGGCAGTCGGTCAAATCTCGATTTGTAGTGCTACGATGATGCATACCTTGATGTTGTCTCCGATGGAGAACGGTGTGTACAGGTACAGGGCGGCCCCGTTCAGGAAGTTGCCCAGGATGTCGCGCGCAGCAAAAGCGGTTGCCACGCCTGCAGGGGAGTGCACCGAAGCGCTGCTAAAAGCTGAGCATATACATGCTCATCATGGTCAATCTGTCAAACTCTGGATTGTATGCCAAGCGGGGATGGAGAGGCTGTCAATCTCTGAACTAGCTGACCTTGACAATAAGAGACTCCCAATTGTGGCGCCGATGACCAGTGTGTCCTGTCAAAGCTTGGCTAGATAAGTAGAAGAGAGAAGGCGCATCTCGGCTCAAAACCTCTTGTTCCGAAGCACTATTGCTCACAATACTACAGCAAAAAGGATTGTCCTGATTAAAGTGAGCCCTGTAATTGTCACAGATATTACGACCTACCCCCAATTCCGCCGACTGTCAGGATGGATTGCACCGCTACCCCTGTTGTTTCCGCGACGGCCATGCTCCCGAGAACGACCAGCGCCACCGTCGACAGCCTTTCCGCAGCTACATAGCGATCCTGGACGGAGCGAGCGGGCACGTGTCACAAAAGTTCAGGTTCCAAAGAGCTTCGCAAAATTCTCCTTCAACTTGAGCTCTTGCCTGAGATCCGTCGTTTAGAGTATCAAAAAAATTCTGGCGGTAGTGATCCTGGGCGGAGCGAACGAGCAAGTGTTACAAAAGGTTGCATTCAAAAAGAGCTTCGCAGGACTCTTCTTTGAGTTGCGCACTTCCGCTCGATCCGTCGTCTATGGTATCAGTGACGTCTCTGGCGGATCAAGCGCAGCACACGTAATCTGGTTTACGGATGGCCATTAACATTTGCCGAGATTGGGTCTGACGAGCCCTTTCGTTTAAAAGAGAGTCCAAGATGACGACTGCCAACCTCGAGAAGGGCGACATCGACAGATTCGAGGATAAGGATACAAGGTGCGGTAGGAAGGAGAATGCTTGAACAGTGGTCGGTGAGACTTGATATGACGATCAAATCTTGATCGACGGAACTAACTCGTGTGTGTCCATGGTTTGCCATCGTAGTCTCGAATGCTCGGAGCATGGTTCTGATCTTGAACCACACAATGGGCGACAGAAAGACATCAGTGACCCAGAAATGTAGAACACATCTCGACAAATCTAACTGGGATTCCATGTTCGCCGTACTTGTCGATCCAGATCAGCCTGCTTAAGAAAAGGGTCTCAAAAAACAAACCTGTACTCACAAAAAACAAAAATTGGTGACCGAGCAAGGTCTACGATCCTCAAACTGCAATGGAGTCCACCCCGAAATTCGTGAACAGCCCTCAGACAAGCAGTTCCAGGTATAGAGCGAAAACGAAACAAAACCTTCGGTGAGGGCTTAGGCAATTGCATTTCCAGCAGTTCCGGACAAGACAACGGAGATCGAATGTGGCTGACCTTCTCAGCTCTGCTGAGCGCTGGGTTCGTCTTTGCGCGTGAAAACCACGTGTTCTTATAGCGGTACAGGAACCAGAGCCACGAGCCCACTACAGCGCCCCGCCAGGCAATGTGTAGGTACTCGGGAGGCAGAGCGTGAGGCGCCACAAGCCCAATGCTGCATATAGTCAACTCTTACATCAGGGTTCGCTTGTGCTGTTTGTAACGGAGGCTGACGCTCGATCTACTTCTAGTAGGAAGACAAACGCTCGGAAAGAGGCTACCTTTTCGGGGTTTTGATTCGAGCGAGTATGTGCCCAAGAGGAAGAATACGCAAGTTGTCAATGAAGCCTTCTACAGCCTCGAACAGGGGCCGGCAAGCCTTACTCGAAAGGAGAAGACTTGGGAAGAAACGACTGACTATGGAAGGGGGGATGGCGCAGTTTGGAGCACGATGAAGCTGAAAACGTTGCTGGCGCAGTTGCGTCTGTGTCAGCTGGTTTTACAGGGCAGTGCATCTCCTCGGACAAGAGAACACGGACCAGGATCTCCAGTCGCTCGTCAAGGGAGACCCGATTCCACCTTGGACAATTTACGAAGTGGCAACAGACGGGTCACTAGACCTTGCAATCCAATTTCTAGGAGCATACCCACGAGCATGAAGGGTCAGAAGCCCTTGAAGATCGCACAAATCGTTTAATCCTGACGCAACAGAGAGCCACTCACTCCCACTCACAGGTGTGCCAGTGCCCCCACTGTCACAAGCAGCCTCGCCGGCTCCTCGGCGGCAGCCCATATGCTCTGCTCATAAGGGACGGGGGCTGGCTCCATAAGCAAGGCTGGTCCCTGGCCGGACTGCTCAGAAGTTTCCTCGCTTTTGAACCGTTTGGTTTGGAGGGTGCGGGATTGTGTATAGTCGTGCAGTCTGCGGAACCAGCGCGGCATCTTGAACCAGGTGAAGATGACGGCAGTCAGGAGGCCGAGCTCCTGGGCTGCCACCTGGCAGCAGGGATGCAGGGTCAGAGTTAAGGGGTTAAGATTCGACCATGTCGATCAAGAATTGACACTGGCATGCCATAATAAGGATTGCACATTTGAGTCTGAGGGACTCAGACATGTGTCCTGGACGTATCATGTCTATGCCCACAGAACTTTGTAGGGACACATTGTTCAAAGAGCTTGAGAGATGCAAGTTATGTGAAGTCAATCCGGCAAACCCAGCATGGAGTCATGGCTTCCTACAGGAATGGTTAGATGCGGGCACACCCTCCGGGGTTCAGCTTCTCTCTTTGGCTGGAAACTTTTGACTTTTCACTCAAAGATACCCATTTGAGATACCCCATGGATCGTGCAATCTGATGTTCTCTGCCGATTGGCTCACAGGTTTGCTTTTGACCTTGAGTGAGAGCCAGTGCAGAACTGAATACGCTCTCCCACTTACCACAAATACAGGGGTTTTAGGATTGAGGACCTCATGCACGGAGGGGGGTAGAGATGCCCAGGCAGTCTCCACCCCCTGCCGGCCCTTCTCCAGTCCCTCTTTGACAGTGTCTACGAAGGAAGAAGCTCCAGACACGTCATCAGAGGCCGCACTTGGTTGAGGAGCGCTAGGCGGATCAAGAGCTTCCCCGCTTGTCGCACTGCTTGCGAAAGTCCGGAGGGCACATGCTTGGCCTAGAGCGAGGGCGCCAAACGAGCTCCCATGTCTGGGGGAGTGCAGAAGAAAGGATGCACGGTGGGGGAATTGAACAAATGGAAACTGCAGAGGAAAGTTAGGTGGTCAAAAAGGAGACAACCAGGTCGTGACGAGGGGGACCATCAGGTCTGTCCACATCTAAGGAATAGTATGCTCTTTGTGAAGGATGTTTGCTGGTTTGCTGGCGAATATAGTGGGGTAGACAACATCTCCATCGTTGAACAAAATGTTTCAGAAGGCAATGTGATCGAGTACAAATCTGTGACAGAGGGACAAGTAAAAGCCCTCAAGGAACTGCAGATGCCTGACAAAGTGACACCGTGAAGCAAGGTGTATACAGGTGGAGGCAACTATAACGAATGTTCTGCAAGGCCCTTGACGCTGTTCTCAACATCACAACGTCAGAAATCTAAGCGGCCCTCCGTCAGAATCCCCACAGAAACTTCTAATCAAGCCAAACATCACTTTCTAAGATATAAGCAGAGAGACAAGTGCAAGGAGTAAATTTCACGTGACACCATCTGCTCACACGATCATAAGAGCTGCCTGTCTCTGATGGTCGAAGCGCGTCCGGTTTTAATGTTGCACGGGCGTCTTTGAACAGTGCAGTAACATAAGGAGCGGTTCTTGCAAAAAGCTGGCTTGGAGGCAATTCCAGACGCAGACGCTTGGAGGCAGGTGCGGCCTGGGAAAGTGCCAGCCTTAACAAAGCCATTTTTGGAGCTGCAGCTTTTAATTCATTTAGTCAGGCTCCACGGCGCCCCTGACATTAAATTGTGTCGCGAGGCTGGCAATCCGCACTGTCAAGAGCCTCGCACCTGCCACTATGTTCAATTCTGCATCTTGGTGAGTCTGTTGGTATGCTACGTCCTGTTGTGTTTGTAGAGTACACAAACAGATGTGATCGTCGTCTCTAAGTTGCACCATTCCACCAGAAATTGTGATTCTCCTCAAAAGAAGCGCAATGGGGCGCTTCTGCACCCATTGGTTTAACTTTTATGCACATGCATGTATGTGCTGTTCAACAGCAGCTGGAGCTGAGCACAAATGAGCATAAATCGGAATTCCCCACATGGTCGTTTCAACGCAGAACATACCAAGGAATATAAGCTCGTTTTGCAGCAGAGATTCTGCGAATATACAAGTTCTACGGTGCACACCTGCCTGTTTGCCGCCGGCCGTGCGCATTGGGCCCCCATTTGAAGGGTTTGACTTTGGCCAAATTGCATAATTTATTACAAGACCTGCTTAGGAGCGTCTATATCCAAGCAAAAATAAGGAGAATTTGTCAAGGCTGGTGAAGTTTTTTAGGTAATCTGGTCAGGAATCAGGAAACCTCGATTGAAGGCTGTTCAAACAGAGGGCCACATCAAATGATCAAGGGCATGAACGCTGAGCTGCATGGGGCATCTGATGGCTGCTCACGAGTTGGCCCTCAAGCTAGAAAAGCTGGGGCTGTGGGAGAAGTATCTGGGTGAGGAGAAGCGAAGAGTGATGCTGAAATACTTGAGCAATCGGACTTCTTGGGAGCAGTTTTTGAGTGGCACTGGTGTAGGCGCTTCTTTGACTGAAGAGCATAGGCGAGCGGAGTTTGAGCTAGGTATGCAAGTCAGGTGCCTGCTCTATGGAGAGATGGCGGTCGCGCTCTACTCCGCAGATTGTGCAGGTAAGCTTTCAGCCAGTGTGTCCTGCAGACAAAAAGCGGCTTCATCCTAGCTTTGACATAAGCCTGCATTAGAGAAGAAATAGACTCTTGCATGTTAGTGCAATAGAGCTGACCGGACTTTGTAATGCTTCAGGATCTTCCTGACTTCAATGCATTCCAGCATTGGGACTTAATGCTGGTGCAATAGAGCTGAATTTCTTCCTACCATATTCAACTTTTGATGCATTTTAACTTTGGGACTGGAGTAACGCACTAGTTCCTTGGGCTGCGTTCTACTTTGCAGCCCCTGACTGGTGGTGCGGAAGGCTCAGCAAATTTTGACTCTCTTGAAGTGGATTAGAGATTTTACCCCCTCAGTTTAAGCTGCTGTGCCCTGCTTGGTGCCAAGTGAACCTCGCCACTTCTTTGACAGGCAGCAGCCTGCGACCAGACAGCGTGTACCACACCCTCGATCATTCAGTGGACGATTGGCAGCGCCTGAGCGATGAAGGCTCCATTGAGCTGGCCAGTTTACGACATAAGGTGAGTCTCAATCTGGTCACATTGACCCCCTTAATATCCGGAGTTTCCTGGCTCCTCGTCAAGCTTTGAATTGGCCGCCTCGCTTGAGCAACCAGGCCAGATTGACTCAGGCGCCGCAGAGTTTGAACTTCAAAACGAAAGGGACGGCCTGCATCAAGGTTTTCAGTTTGAATCTGGAGCCTCGTCTTTTGTGAAAGGAGGAAAGGTTTGATTGATAGCCGCTTACAACTGTCGCACAGGCTTTTGCGAGAAAATTGTGAAGGGGACCCGGTGTTTTGTAGACCCTGTGTCACAATTACATACAGCAGTCTCAATCGACCATTGACCCCAAGGCATGTGTGATCGCACAGTGCACTGTGCTGGGCTCTTGGAGGTTACTTGGAAAAGTCGTCCAGAAAAGTAGCCTCACTGCATAACTCTGCGGATCAACAAGGCCAGTGCCCCTTTGTGCAGTTCGGTCTGGATCTCGACGAGGCCCAACCATCAAGCAGGTGAGCGCCCTCCTCTTCATATGTTCGTTTTGAAAGCTCATCTTGCTTCTAAACGCCCCAGGCCGTGTTTCTCTGTGCAGTGTCACGCAGACTCTCCTCTTCCTTCATTCGAAATTCTTTTGATATGACATGTGTTAATTCCTTCTGGATGGAAGGAGGTTACTGTGTAGTGGCTGACTCCCAGACCCTGACTGCAGGCCCGGGGCTGACGGGGACGATGGATGCGGAGAGCGGCAGAAGCCCCGGTTGAAGGCCAGCCGAGAGATCATGAGCCTCATGCCAGACGTCAAGCCAGTGAGCTGTTTCTTCTGTTTTTCATAAGGTGAACTGGGGTGACAGGTGCTGCAGGTCGTCAGCATCCCCGGTTCAACGACCTGGCATTTTCAGGTCTCGTAATCAGAAAATGATGTGGCAAGGACGTGAAGTAGTTAGTTTGCAGACATTTCAGGCATTCGCTCCTAACGTGACTCTGCCGCATCATATATTTCACTTCTGTGTGGTTTCCAAGGTCAACCTGTAAAAATGACAGCTTCAGCATCAGCACTGCATTTGCAACACTTCTCCGCCAGGACTAATCATGATCTTGCCTGCAGGGCAAAAAGGACCTTTTGGAGGACAGGCAGAACGAGCTCAACGACGCACTCGAGCACGTTCTGACGGAGCTCAAGAACATGGGGGTGCGTCGCACACTCTTGGCCATTCGTCTCCTCTTTGTCGCAATATATCCATTGGGTCACTGGCCGTGCTGCATACAAGGAGAGTCATCAGGTCTCTAGTCGACAATGCTCTTTCCTGCACACCAGTCCTTCAATTTGACCATGGTCATTTCCTGTCGAGAATTGACGCCATTGGCGCCTGGACCAAGATACGACCGTATCAGAACATTTTTGAGGCGCCTTCTTTGCATTGCGATTGATCACTCTCTCACACAAAATTGGGACGTCGAATGCAGGAGGCATCTAAGCCATTCCAGTGTAGAGTTAAGAAGTCGGAGGCGTGGGACTACTACACAGGTGATTTTCAAAGACACCAGTCCTTCCCATTAGTTCCCAGTTCGCTTTGACAGTAGCTGCCGTCCGTTATGTGGACTTTGTCCTGGAGTCTCTGCACTCTGCTTCCTCTTGTCCGATCCTGGCCGAGATCTGAGCATGCTACGATTGTCGTTGTGCAGTCATCCAGAGGCCCATGGACCTAGGGACGATGACGAAGAAACTTCGGGCGTACAAGTAAGGGCACCTTCCACTCACCCTTCAGACCCTTTACGTTCGGGCCCCCCCATGGAGATCTGTCTCGTCTTTAAGATTCGTGTATCGTCCTCCGGCACTGCACAGCTTTCTTTGTTGCAGGACAGATTTTGAAGAATTAACCTCGCGGGGTCTTTTGCCTTGTTCAATACCCGGACTCTCCTGCAGGTACCCCTCAAAGGTCAGCTTCCGGGAGGACATCGATCTGATCGCGTCGAACTGTCACGAATACAACGAGAAGGTACGTTTCGCCTAGTCTCAAAGAAGGTAAAGAATCTCAGAAGGAGGTAAAGAATCTCATCAATAGTTGGCCGCGTTGGCTGTTCGATTCTCTGGACGTCCGTTAGCTGATGCCACCATTCTCATCCGCCCCTAAAAGCAATTCGGCCTCGGCGCTCTCTCTTTTCAACCAATCACACTCTTCCTAAAGACCGCTCAACTCTTGGAAGGTCGAACTATTTTGTGCTTCATTCAGGACTCGCTGTACGTGCAATACGTGGACGAGTTGCAAGCCAAAGCGTACGCCCTCCTCGTAGACGTCCCCGACATCGACGTCCTGGCCCTCAAGTCCGCCTCCGGGCCCGAGGCCGGAACCGGAAAGCCGCACCCCTCGCCAGTACGCGCGAGCGCGCCCTCCGAGCCGTCGAGCCCGGACAGCAACTCGGAAGACGAGGCGATCGCGAAGTCGCGGCCAGGGTTTGGGGGTTTCGGGCGGCACCAGCCGGGGAAGAAGATGCGCGGGAAGGCGGGGTCGATCGGGAAACGGCTGCTGAAGGACATGGGCGGCGGGAATGCGCCTGGGGAGGGGGAGGCGGAGGCTGCGGGGCCGGTTCACACCGACGGGAAGAGTTTGGCACCGCCCGGCGGACCGGCGGACCCGGGCCCTGTGGCAGCGGAGGATGGTCGTGCTGGAGGTCTGCCCGACAGTCTGGCGGGAGGCGCAACAGGGCCCGAAGCGAATGACGACCCCGGGATGCATGTTCGTCACTCGCCGACAGGTTCTGAGTTGCTTGAAAAGTCCTCAGCGCAAGGGGCGACGATCAGACTGGGGAACGAAGAGGTGGGGATCAGGGATGTTCCCGTCAAAGACGCGTTTTCCAGAGACGTAAGCGCGTCTCCTAGAGTGTCCCCAACCTCGTTATCCCAACCAGGAACCCAACTAGATGGCGACAAAAGAGACAACGGGCAAGGAGCGGGCGAGAGCACCGCTGGACGGGAGGATGACGTGGCCGAGGCGCGGTGGCCCTACGGGGAGTGGCTACAGGCGACTCTGATGCAGCGAATGGAGCACCTCGCCGCGCGGGCGGCGGCTCGGCACGTTCCGTTTCCGGAGCAGCCGGTGCTCCAGCGGACGCCGGAGGGCATGGCGCGATACCTTGAGGAAGCCGCCCGGCGAGGGTCCGTGGTTTCCCACGCAACGCGGGCTGGGTCTGCGGAGCAGATGGAACCCCCGGGACCCGCGGAGGGCGCGGGGGTAACAGGACTGAGCGACGAACCTTTCATGCCGGAGCTCGAGTTTGCGACGGATTGCGTCCCGGACGTGGCAGCCGTTCCGGGACCGTCCGTCGAAGCGGCCCCGTCCGAAGCCGCCCGCGAACGAGAACCGGTACCCGAGCGGCCCGCGAAGCGGCCGAAGCCGGACACCGTTTCCGCGCCCAGCTGGACGGACGAGCGCGCGCGCGCGGCGCTGCGGCAGGCGGCCGCGCGGCTCGCGGCGCGGGAGGGGTTCGACGGGATCCGGCGCGGCGCGCTGGAGGTGCTGACGGACCTGCTCGGGGCGCACGTCCGGCGGCTCGGGCGGACGCTCCGGCTGCTGGAGGAGCGGTACGAGGGGCGCAGCCCGGAGGCGCTGCTCGCGATGTGCCTCAACGGGTTTGGGGTCAGGTGGGGGCACTGCAACGCAGTCAACACCCTTCTTGTAGAAGTCAGTTTCTTCGACGGTTTGCTTCGTCTGCATTGATAGCGTTCCTGTCATACTTACTAACGTACTCGCTTCCGTGGCTCGGGCATAAGTTGGGAGGCATACGGTTTAGGTAGGGCCCGTGACGCACCCAACTCCTTTGACGGACCTTTTACCTTTTACTGTAGGGCCCACTGTTATTGAGTTAATCCGGCCCTGCCCCATATCACCTGAGCTCCTCCAGCCTTCTTATCCATAATTCTACGCAAACAAGATACATTCACCTGGCAACCGTAAGCACGCTTCAAGTTGGCGAAGCTAACAGTCTCCCGTTGTTCAGGAACATCGCGGAGCTGGCAGCGTACACCAAACCCAAAGAACCGTCCGCAGCGCCCGGCCCAGGCCCGAGTGCCGGCGCAACTAAAGAAGCGCCTCCCAAGCCAGTCAGCGTGCAGCCTGTCAAGGCCTCCAAGCCGGAACCGAAAGCGCCCGCGCCCATCCTGCCCGTGCGACCCCCATCTTCCACACCGTGAGTGTGCGAAACTTCTAAAGTGTCGCAAATTCGACGTTCTTCAGTTCCAAAAGTTCCTGAACTTCAAGGTCAAAGCTACTACATCAGAGAATCGAAGGTTTCAAGGACGTTGGGCCGACACGAAAGCTGGTGCACGTGACTGTCGGCAAATGTGTTGCGCGCCCTACGTTTGTTGGCTCACCGAAATGCTTAAGTCTGAACCCGTAGCAAGCTGTTGAAATGCCAAGTTGGAGAACCTGTGCTTTAACAACGGTCTGAACCGCGGGGTGTGCTAGCTTCATCACCATCTCTCCACGTCACCATCGATTCGTGCCCTCGTATCCCGTGCGCAAGCAGGCAGTGTTTGTACGCCCGTCCCAGCTCCGTTTCTGATCTGTCCCTCTTGGAAGTTGCATTCTGATATCTCCGCTGATTCTGTTCCTTTCCAGGCAATTCCCGAGTGTGCCAGTTTTCAAGGGCAACCTCCCGAAAGTGGAGACCGACCCGGAAATGTCGTCCAGCCCCTCGCTAGAGCCCGAGAAGAAGAAGGTGAGCGAGCGCTGTGGTGAAGATCTTGTCGCGAGTCTAGTTTGTCCGCCGACCTTGTTGCTAACCGGTACAGCCTCGGCCGGACTAACCAACGTTACCTTGGAGTCTGCTCCGCTCTTCAAGGACGTAACCGCCGCATGCTTCGCTGTTTGAACCCTAGCTTGTTTCTTTTATAGTACGGGTTGGTCTCGGAAACTTGTCAAAACAAGTGGTTCGTAGGAGATGGTTCCTTCTGCTTCGTGTCTGTTTCCGGAATTTTGGGTTTCATAGACGGTTCGCAATGTGGGTCGAAAGTTGGCATTCTGCGTGCTTAGGGGGTGACAAGTGTCTCTATTCCTCCAGGCAAAACCCCGCGCCAAAAAGGCAGCACCCACCACGTCTGCTGCTCAATCCCGTTTCCCCGGGCTCAAGTCTCCGACAGTCTCCCCGCCTGCCCCGACCGCCGCTCTCGGTTTACCTTCCCCTGCGATCCCCTCATATCAGCCGGTTGTCATTCCAAATACTGCCCCTCCAAGCATCCTGTACGGAGGCGCTGCTTCAGCCGGGGTACTAAGGTCCCCCAACATGGCGTATGGGGTCCCGTTTGGATTGTCGTCCAGTCAACCAGTGCGGCCTGTTGGGTCAATGGGCTTGTATACCAGCCCGTCGTTGGATGTACTTGGTCAACGGCCGTCAAAGGATCAAGCAGGCAAGAATGAAGGTTGATGACATAAGAGTATGTCTTCGTTGACTCTAAATGATACATGGGTCAGAAAGGTCGACATTGTTCAACAAGCTCGATTTTTGACCTACCGTGGTTGCTCTTCGGATTATTTGGATCGGCCGATTCGCCTGAGTTTGCATAATTGTCTCAAGTTGATCATGGCAGCTTCAAGTTGCCACAGCTTGCCACAAGATCCGCATTGTTGTGAAGTGCCAACCCTTGTTGCACCGTTTTGAATCATGTACTATTACATTGAAGTTGAGCCACTTGAGCTCTTCACAATTCGTAGTTCTTAAAGATTGAATGGGGCCTGAAGCGTTAGCATGACTTTCAAAACCTAAGCAAACCGCGGCGGCCTGCCAAGAGGCACTGTATGCAAGAAGATTGCTTACTCTGTTAACACGATTTGTAACTTAACCGGACGGTCGCCCTTCGAACAGGCTAGCTAGGGATCGGTGGAAGCAATGTACATGCCTGGTTCTGAGAGCAGTCAGATGCTTGTAGGAAACCGGGTCAGTAAGAAGCTAGAAGACTAAGGTACGTTGCTTTTAACGTACAATCGTAACATGAGCAGTAAGGGGGATTCCGTAATTCGGTTGATTATATGGTTACGCGCCGTGCCGCCGCCCTAGTAGCTAGCCCGTCCGGCATCCAACCCAATGTCCTGCGTGCATCTTATAGTACGTCGCCGCCGGGCGCCAGACTCTGATTGGTGTGGCCGCGGAATCCGGCCCCAAGAACAAATTGGTTTGAACACACGTTTTCCTTTCACGTATAGTCAATTCTTATGCAATCGACGGGTTTCTGTCACTTATATGGAGCGTCTTAGTAATCAGGTACAATTTAAATGATACGCGGTATCCATAGGTATCGACGGCCCAGGGCTAATTTGGTCGCGCGGCATGTTCAACATTTTAGATCGTGACATGCGGTATGTCGATGATTTACTATCATTACCATCTTGTGCGTGTACGTCCTCGAAAATCACTTGATATTGCAGACCGAGAAGGTCGACCTGACCTCCAGTCAAGCCGGCTTTAAGGGCCCAACAAACGAATAAAGACGAAAGGTCCGCAAATAAGTTGCCAAAGAACGAGTCACGAGATCTGTTCAACATCCTCCATACCTCTGCCGAAACTATTGTAATCGGCTATTGCAGAGGGAAGGCTTGATTACACGTTGGTGATGACATAAAGACGTAAGACACGCGTCAACCAACTCAATCCCTAACGTCACATGGTCAAATTCTGGACTTATATTGACTAGTGTTGAATAAATAATGTTTGACGACGGAGACTTCCTTTTGAGGGGCTTCTACTCGAGGACGTAGAATGTTGCAGCGCTTTCAAGCACTTTTACTACCAAGATACATCTGCCCTAGCATACAAATAGTAAAGCAGAACAAGTGTGTGCGTCAATATGGCCTTACTCAAACAAACAGGATGCTCAGTACAAACGTTGATCAACGTTTTCGACCGCCGACCTACAAAGGTCCGTACGGACCAATCTGTTTATGACTTTCAGATCTGTGGCCTCCGCACAGCAACCTCGAACCACACACCACCACCTACCTTTAGGTGAAAGTTACACAACTTGCGTTGACAAGAAATGGCGGACTAATGATGGGTTGTTGCCGCACCCAATGCCCCAAACCGACCCGATCATGGGAACGCCTTTCAAGCAACACTGTCGGGTTGCCAACATAATCGACTACCGCCTTGATTGCTCAACCCTTGGCACCTCCAATGCCTCCGACTCCTGTCTTGTTGACGACCCATCCATTGACACCGATTCAGCCCGGACACCCTCACTAATCGTCACCACCGTAGCCTCTTCGTTTCTGCCTCTAGACAACCCCTCGCTGTCACCCACGTTCCTTTCCAAATCGCTCGAAATTCTAACGCCCTCGGCCGGACGAGCGGTTGCCAGGTGTCCCACAGCCTCGGCCTCAACCCTCGCCAGCTCAGCACGATAGTTGTCCAGCGCCTCAAGCAACACGCGCCGGGAAGCGTCCACGCCGTCTAGGGGTTCCGTCCCATCCCCGGTTGCCTCCCCCGGGTGCTCTTGAGCCGTTTCTAGAACGCTGGGGTTGGGCGCAGTCTGGTGCATGCGGCAGATGGGGCACGTGCCGTGCTTGTGGAGCCACGTGTCAATGCATGTTGAGTGGAAGGAGTGGCTGCAGCCGGGTAGCTCCCGTAAGAGATCGCCCTCCTCGTACTCACACAGACAGACGGCGCACTCTCTGCACGGAACCGGAGTCGGACCTTCAGTTTCTCAAGACTGTACGACAATGAATCTACAGTAGTCTTGAAGCATCTGCCAGTATTTGGGGGCAAACATTTCGGACATAGAGGACCTGAATCGGAGGCCGCTGTTTCGGCAGGTGGAAATTAAAGAAACGAGGCTCCAAAGCGGAATCCGCCGAACGGAGCATGGAATCACTGGAGGGTCAGGAGGAAGTTTCGAATCCGTCCTAAACCAGCTGCACAAGTGACCATCTTACAAGAAATGACTTGAAGAATCTGTAGCTTTGGAGGGGAACTGGAAAAACACATGCAAGCAGGACAGGAAAGATCCAAGTACTAAAAGACCAGGACCGGAAAATACTGACAGGGTGAAGCATACATACTAGAAGCGGGCAACTTCGGGCAGGGCAGAATCGGACACAAGTTTCCCGGAGTGACAGGATTCAGAAGCTCACCTGTCAGCAGAAGAACTAGAGGCTTTGCGGAACTCCTTAGTCGGGAACGAGGTAACTAGGCCCGGTGGGAGCCCGCTTTCCTGCCGCCAGGTGTTGCCGCTCTGCAGAGAAATGAATGCCGTAAGCAGATTGACGACATCCGTTGCTTGTGGTCAACCCTCTCTCGTTTGAAAAGTACTGGAGACAAGGATTCATAGTGGGTCTAATCAAGCAGGACGGACATGCTTTAAAAACTTGGATACCAATACTGACGATGCTGCTGAAGCGTTCACAAACATCTGATATACTGCTTGCAATGTGATCGCTGTGCGACGTAAATATCGAAGACTGAAAGTGAATTTGGAGACGATGATGACATCAACCAAACCATGCCCACTCCAGATGGACAAAAGCTTTTTGGTCCATGTCAGACGTTTCGCCTGACCCCATCTTCTCAACATTTTTGAGCAAGCCTAAGGAAGAAGCCTAACAAACGACAGTGTGGATCTGGATCTGCCAATTGAAGCATGACCATACTTCTCCCCCAAACTCCTGAAAAAGAGGCCATAGCACACTGAGGAAGGATCAGGACAGAAGATCAAGAACCGTCTTTATCCAGACCCTATGGCCAACCGCCCGCTTTACACTCCTTATATCTAGCAGCCCTCAAATCCCAGGAACGTTAAATAATGTTGTATCGACTGCATGGGATGCTCAATTGAGAACTCCAACCAATTCCTCAACTTACACGACGCCCCCTGTAGGGGTGGTCGAGAGAGAGCCACAGAAGTGCTGAACGCTAATTGGAGCATTTCAAACCATTGACGAAACCCTGTCCAAGAACTTACAAAACCCATCAGCTTAACCAAGTAATTTAGGAGAACAAATGCGTCGCTAATACGTCTTGCTCCTCTCCTGAGAGCGGATATTGCCCCACCCTTCCTCACAAAGCAACTTAAACATGCCCCTCCCCCCAATACCTGCCGCGTGCGCACCCTCCCCTCCTGGGTGGTGACGGCGCCGGCGAGCATCCGCCGCCAATTGAGCAGTTTGCAGCAGACGAGCGAGAAGACGCACACCAAGGAAATGACAGATATGCACAGCGCAAAGGCGACGGTCGGGCTGCCCCCGAAGCTCGGACCTGTTAGAGGGGGGGTAAACAGTGAGAGGGGGAAGGGGGGTCAGAGGCCCACCTGAGGACCAAACCTCAGCAAGACGACTTGGGGGGATTGGGAAGCAGCGCCGGGAGCAGGGCGCCGGCGGGGGCGTCTGCAGCAGATAAACATGACGGTGGTGGCCACCGCAATTACGACCACGCCGATGGCCAGGCTGATGAGGTGCTGAATAACCGGGAAGCCACCTACGGGGGGCAGGCGGCCGGTGAGAACGTCTAGACCTTCCAGCAACGAGCGCTAGGCTTGTCTTGACTAGTCTTCTTCTGGGAGAACCTCTCAACGATTCAAATGCATACATTCTGAGAACAAGTGCCTTAACATTGTAGAAGCTTGCCAAGGCTTCAAAGGTTTCCTTGAGAATCTTTACAGGCTCTTTTAAACCCTCCAGCCTTGGAGTAATACTTGCCATCCCACATCTATGACAGGTTGCTCTGGTGTTCACGACAATTTGTGGTTGTTAAATTTCGCGTATCATGATGCAGCACACTCTAGATTATGGTACAGGACCAAGCGAAAGAATTCGGGGTGGACTGGTACCTGCTAAGCTCATCATCTTGCAAGAAAGTTCTGCCACCGTCCTCGACCAAAGTGACTTGTGAGGTCTAAGCACAGATTGCAATAACCCTAGGCTTTGGCAGTCTTGCTTTCTCCGAGCAAGCAGTTGAAAGCTGCCAAGCGCCAACTCCAGCAGTGATTCATATGACAAACTGGACCCTCAGCAAAAAGCTTCTTTCATTCAGTATGACAGCATGACTGTGGAAACCTAGCTGTATAGAACGATATCAGCAAACAGGCATGCTTACACAATGTTCAACGTTTACACTTTTTGCAACGCATTAGGCTCGTCGCGACCGTAGTATGCAGCTGATCAGAATACTCTTGTCCTGACACAAGATCTAAAAGCAAGGGCTGAGCGGTGAGCCGCAGTGTCAAGCAGACACTCAACAAAGGAAGGGCTTACGTCTGATGTTAGCTGAATTAGACCGTATGGGTGTAGCAGAAGCAGGTACGTCGACCGAGCTTTGCAGCAGCTTTCGGACGCCATGTGATGTAACGTCTAAGATGTCCAAGCTTCCAGCCAATACGGGCTGGACGACGTGGCTCAGTCCTGTTTCAGTGGGAATGAAGGATGTAAGAAATAGGAGCGTCCATCGCCTTTGATAGTTCTGGCTATCTTGAGAGTGTGCTAGCGACCGGCCTTCCTGCAATGCAGAACAGGTCTCTCTGTAGTTGAGCACAAGGGTAGAGTGCGATCAAAACTATGGGAGGTATAGAATTTCACGGGCTGGACAACCTGTCACAGATTTGACCACCAGCCATCGAAATGCATGACGTCATCTTTGGTCGGCAAGTAAGACCTGGCTGTAAAAAACCAGGCAGGTCAAAATAGACTCGCATGATGAGAATGAGAAAAGAAACAACAGTTGCTTTGCTGCCGCAAAGTGTTGCTTTGCTGCTGCAGATGGATCCAAATGCAGACAATATGCCTCTGCAATGGCTGTGGCTATTGGTTTATTCACAACTCTGGAGAAAGTTTGCCGTAGAATCATGGAGATTGCTGTACTCGGAGAAAAAGCCACTGCGGAGCAGCAAGAAGGAGCCATTGACAGGCAAGGATGAGCCAGGGAAAGGCAAACCGAGACTTCCACTGTCACAAAGAACCCGAACAACTGGGAGATGCCTACTGAAACTTGTTGTAGCATAAACAGAAGATGTCAAGTTTTCCGCGTGGAAACCCTGCCCAATATCCACCCTGCAGACAAATGGACCTCCCAGAGAAGGTCAAGACAAAAATCCTCCATACCATGTCGGACCACAATGCAGAGAAACTTCAGAATCTGAGAGCTCACCTAAGAGCAGAACAACCAAAGCCACCATCCCTCCAGGAAAAAAGCTTGTCCTCATCATGCTGCAGCTTCCCCTGTCTCCCCTGACCATGAAAACTGAAAACGTGTGTCTTTAATATTTATAGAGGAAAGAGCTGACTCAAGGGCCCAGCCTGATATAGTGATACCGTATGCGCGCGTTGAAGCACATCTAGGGCTGATTTGCTGTTTATCATTGCGTTTAGCTCCTTCTCTGCACACTCTGCAAATCGGCTGCGGATATGGCGTCCAGAAAAAGCAGGATTCACGAAGCTCAATGACAACTACAATTTAGTACAAAGCGCTTTGGCAGACCTTTAAGTTTGACCAGCTCTGCTCCTCAGTTGTCCTTCCTGTGCCCGTAGTGACTAGTCGCACGGACAACTCGCACCGAAAATCTTTCTGACGGACTTGGTGCCATGAATTCATTGTAGGAATTCATGGCCCAGGCCCCAAACCGTATTACTTATTGACATGTATATCGTGATTTTAGTAATAGGGCATGTAAAAGTTAGTTTTAACCCGGGCTGCCAAATTGAAAAGTTTGGAATAATCTTCGTGGAAAGACGGGTGCGAATTGCCCGTGCCACTATGGTCCAGACAAAGCAGACGCTCCCCCGACCACGTGTTGAATTTACCGGGGCCGGATGCTTCCTCAGGCCCCGGTGTCCGGGAACTTTTGGCTTGCAGAAAACTTCCCTGGAGGATTTTCCCGAGCTCCTGGCTCCGACCAGGGATCCTTCACATGCGCGGGATCCCTGGCGGGCCCGTTTTCTACCGACATGGTGACACATCTTCACTCCTGCAGTGGCTACACTTGTCTCCTGCAAGGGATCTGCTGTAGCCTCTTGCATTTCTAGGTAGCTGCTCAAGCCTCATTCCACCTTCTCTGCCGCCAGTCACATAGGTCCTGAAGAAATGGCGACGCCCTTCTCAAAGAGTCGGAGGAAGAAGCCCTTCTTCGCTGGCTCTCACCTTGTGTTGAGCATCCTTGGTGTTGTGCTGGTTGTTACGGTTTTGCAGCTGCAGACAGTGGCCGCAGACAACACTTTGCAGGATCAATGGTACTCCTTAACCCCTTCACACAGAGCAGGCCACGCCCGCCGTGAGTGCTTTTCATGGAAGCAAAACAATGTGCGACTTGTTGATTTCAGGGGCGCTGTCTCTCTGACTTGAGTCTGGACAGTCCCCAGAGTATTCTGTACATGCATGCACAGCAGATGGTTATCAAAGCAGCCGCTACTGTACAGAGCTCCTTTGTCTAAGAGTTTTGATTACTATCTTGAAACTGTAAGTAACTTGATAGTGAATGGTCACATACTCACATGATCGTTGAGCAGGATTGGGGCGACTAACTTAGGAAAACCTATTTCTGCTCCAAATCTGCTCATCTTCCTTCTTGATCACACTCAGGCAATCGCGATGGCCTCGACAGTACCCGTTTGCAAGCGCCATTCAGTGATCAGGGGTCACCTAAGTTTCAAGATCGTCAGTTTTCCTGCCAGTCTTTGAACTGCGTCTGCTTCCGAGTTTTTGATGACAGGGTTTTGAGTTTGGGCTTGGTTCAGCCAACGTTACGCGATTGATGAGTTGCTCTTGCAGACAATGGCAGTATTCCAATATCTCACTGGTTCTAAGCTGATAGTGTTGACAGACTGTTGCAGGGTATTCCCCCTTCTCCTCTTCCCTGGATCGATCCTTTCTTTGTTTGCAGGCAACGCAGATTTGTTTTGTAGACAATACTGTAATTTGTGTTCCTTGAAGCACCATGCTCCGCTGCCTTTTCGTGGGCTACACACTTTTCTGCAGTGTAAGTTCTGCTGCACATTATCACCTCTCTCTGTTTACGTTCCCAGACATTCTTCAGACCGTCATTGACCTCAGCACCGCATCATCCGACGGCCCCAAGCGGCCCCTCGCTGTTTCGTCCCGCACAGACCCCCTCGACTCTTTCCACCAGTACCGCGGCGGGTTTGACCCCACAAACAAGCACTACTGGGGCGTGAGTCTCTCCCCCTGGAGTCTGCATTTTCTTCAGGATAGGGGCACTGGCCCTTATCTCCTTGATGGCTAGGTCACAAGCAGGGAGTACCCTTATTTGAAGTCTGGTGGAAAACTTTAGGTTGGTTTGACGAGCAGATACTGGAAAAAGCTGGCATCTCTTGCAATTCCGGTGTGTTGTGTCACAATAAGGAGGGGCGCTTGGCCGCTCAGGGCTTAAGGGGTTCGAGCACAAAATGTCAGAGATGGCCTAGTGTATGGTTTCAACAATCGCCTCAAACAGAAAAGAGGCCATTTGGCGGGAAATCTTCAATGAGGTGATTGGCCACTTTCATGTAGCGGAAGATACATTTACTGACGGTTGACCAGGGTTGAGAGCATGGTGGCAGCGTCACTATCTGGAGGAGTGCCAGCTTCACATCAAACATAGTCGCTGTCTCTCGAGACATTGGTGCCAATAGATTTCGGCTGACAAGATGCCACTATTCCTTCCTGGTGGCGGCGGAACTGGACCGCAACAGAAGGAGGGTGAACAAGTGCGAAGAACCATGTACGAGTCTCCTCGGAACTCCTTGGAGGTCATGAAAAAGCAGCCGAGTCTCTGCCAAGCTGCACCGGCCTGGTGTTGTACAGAGAAATGATGTAGTGCCTTCATTGGTTGCAGTATCTTCCTCTCTCTCAGTTCTATTTTGTACGAAATATACTGTACCCCCTGCAGCGAGGACGGTGGCTCTGCCCTACAGGTCGAGGTTCCATTAGGAAGCCATACCAACAAGAGGGTTTGAAAGCACGCTAGAAATGTTCTGGGGTATCCCCTAGGCCACCCCCTTTCCGTAGTCGTATACTCCCTTACACCCCGCCATTCCGCAGGCCTTTTCGAGTAAAGCGCTTCTGGTTCTGTGTTCAACAAGCTGTCGCTGGGTTTCTCTCTTGCAGCCTGTAGTATGGCTCGGCATCTGAGCTTACGTCATTGGCGTGTTTTTAAGGAGAGAAGCTAAACGTTGTATTATGCTCAAGTCGCTCATATAGCAAAGCCTGACACCGTGACTCCGTCGATCGCAGTATATTAACAAACAGCCTGGAGACCCTTCCCAAACCATCATTAGATTCCTCCTTTTGGCTTGCTGGTTCCATCATCAACTGGTCTGCCCTCATTTCCTTTTGCAGTCTGTGATATGGCTCGGCATCTGGGGTTACGTCATCGGTGTGTTCTGGCTCCTGGTCGGCGTGCTGTGGGCGCTCGCCACGTGCTGCTACTTCTGCTGCTGCCGGAGCAAGACCGCAAAGACGAGCGGCTACTCGCGGGGCTACTACTGCTGCCCTGCGGTTGTGGTCATCCTCCTCTCTGCAATTGCGCTGTGAGATTTTCCACCTTTTCTGTGAACAAGGATTCTCTGTTCTTGCCTTCCTGCTAACAAGGGGTCCGACGCTACAGTGGTCTCGTTTCGGCCGAGCAGTAGGGTTGTTGTACTTAAGCGTTGGGCAGTCCAGATGTTACTTGTTTGCGGGATTTGTGATCGCTTCTGCTCTGTTGGCAATAAGGCGTTTGTTTCAGGCAGTGCCCTAGGATCGTGACAGACTGGGAGGTTCTGGACCGTGAAAGGGACTAGAAGAGGGGACAGCGGGATGCACATCAGATACGTTTCGTGAGCACTTGCGGGTGACGTCTGATCCATGAGTGGCTGCGGCAAGAACCATCATGGTCATGATTCTGTTTTGGTCTTGTCAGAATGCTTTTCGTTGCGGTCAAATCGCAGTCGTAGCTGCTTGATTTCTGCTCAACATTCAACGACACACGTCGGCTCTGAAGCTGCCTTCTTGCTTTACGGAATCGAAGACTCGTTAATGAACGAGAGACCTTACAGGGGTCACGCTCATCACAAATGGTGGGTCTGCCGTTAACACAGACCCTTTTTGGGAATGCAAGTGTGTTCCTCATAAGTTGGTATACTCCGACCACTCTCGGCGTTGATTGGCAATTCAAGTGCGTTTTCCGAGACGCTGGTGCACTCTGACTACTCTTGGAAAGGCTACTCCATCCGTCAGGAGTTGTCCTGGTGTGTCTATCCCTTCCCTCTTTGAGGAATAACCAGCAGAGGCGAGCTCACCCTGATGCTTGAGCTTGGGTCTTTTGTGAGGACCTCAAACTCAACAACTGTAACTACTGAACTGGTATTTTCCGAACAGTTGGTCTCCGTGGACCCTCTAAGCAGAATTCCTAACTCGATCTGACCTTCTTTTTGACAGGGCCGGCGCAGCGCTAACCTTCTACGGCGAGTCCACATTCCGACGCGACTCGCGCGACACCCGCGACTTCGTGCTGCTGACGGCCGCCAACACGACCGCTGACGTGCGCAACGTCACGGGAACGCTCTCGGCCGCGCAGAACGTCATCACGGAGGTCTCGCCGAGCGAGGGCCAGACGCTGCAGGACGTCATCACGTCGCTGAACAACGCGGCGGACGACGTGGACCGGAAAGTGAACAAGAACAAAAAGGCGGTGGATACGGGGCTGAAGGTCGTGTGAGTGACCTTTTGGGACTCGTGTCTCAGCTTGATGGAAGTTGCGACTGTAAGCAGTGCCCCCGGTCGCGCGCTCGCTTTGGCAGCTGTTGTTGCTGCGGTTGGAGTGTGTTTTGCAGCCCAGGAGTGGAGCTGCTCTTTTGGGTACATTTTCGAGTGCAGTTTCAAAAGAGCGCCGAAGAAGTACGGTGTTGTAGGCTAGCAAGATTGCGAAGGATTGTCAAAGACAAGCTGTGGGGGTCCAGTTGAAAGAAGGGTTGCAAGCATAGTCGTTTGGAGCAGCTCTCACATTCGAAAGCCGACGTAGCTTTACCTAAGGCTACACTCAAATCCAACCCCTTAAAGCAAGCTGCTCATCTACTGCAGTCATTGCGTCTTTTGCAAGTCTAGCAGAGATGTCTCGGACAGAGTAGCGCAAAGTTCAGGCCCAAATGACAGTCTATCCTTCTCTTTTTCTGCAGAGACATCGTCTTGATTGTCGTGGCCTCGTGCCAAATCTTCATCGTAGTCGTCGCCTTATGTGAGCTTTTCCGCCCTGTCTCCTGCTGTCGGGGGCCGTCGAACTGCCGCCCGGCATGCACTTTTTGATTTTTGTCTACGCTTACCCCTCCCGTGCACTTCACTTCTTCGTTACTTCGTTCACAAGGGCCGGCCACCCGTGTTGAGAAGTCCCGCTCGAGTAGTACTTTGAGTCTAGCGGTCTCCACAGCTGTGTTTTGCGCGCCTGTTTCCACATACCCAACAGGGGCCACCACACGGGCAAAAGCTAGCAACTCTTCCGGGGGGTTTGTATCTTATTGGACTACCACCCCGGACGGGCTTTCAGTGGGGCGATGGCCTTAGGTAAACAGGTACCCATCGTAGACTTGCTACTACGATTTTATGAACCCATCATTGCTGCCATCATTGCAAGTTTCTATTGTTTCTGAAGGTGGTTCGCAGTTAATTTGTGGCGCTTTCCTGGAGGCTCTCTCTGCGTGAGGGTGTCCTCTCCTTGAAGCCTTGCTCTAGAAACGGAACCCTAACACCGGAACCGGAACTTGCAGTCGCGCTGTGGTTCAAGTGGTCGTTCCTGCTTCTGCCCATCATCATATTGTCGTGGCTCTTCTGCGTCTTCGGCTGGATCGTCGCCGGCGTCTGGTTCTCCGTCTACCAGTAAGTGCCCCGGGCTACCTATGCGTCCCTGCTTTGGTTATCCATCCAAGACATCACTGCAGTGATGCAGCCATCCCTTTACCAGTTTTCCTGGTCGCTTCCATTGCTTAGCGATCACCCTACTTCGCGCTCTCCTCTACTTTCAGCTCGTTCCCGTATCCGCTGCCTTCAATAACAATCTCCTGCAAGCAAACTCCTTCTCCTCATCTAAGTTGCCACTGATGTCACCCAAACTCAGCTGCTGACATCACTTTTTGTCCCACGGCAGCGTGTCCGCTGACACGTGCACCAGGATGCACGAGGACACGCAGGACCCACCAACACACGATCCTCTTTTTACCTTAAGTATAACGTCACTTCACTCTGGCTCCTGACGTCACGTTGCTCTTTTCCGCAGCGTCACCACCGACACGTGCACCGCGATGCACGAGTACACGCTGGACCCCACCAACACGACGCTCGACACGATCCTCCCGTGCGTTGACCGCACGAGCGCGCAGAACACGCTGCGCACCGCGCGGCGCTCCGTTAATCGCCTCGTCAATGCGACGAACGGCCAGATCACGACCCTGAACGCCCAGCTCGCGAGCGGGGGCGCCACGACCGTGCTGCCGTTCGTGTGCTTGCCATACGGAGGAGAGCCCGACTACCCGCCGATCCCGTGCCCCTCGGGCCAGGTGGATCCGCTCCAGCTGTCCACGGTGAGCTGCCACGTGGCGTGTTCTGGTGTTGCCCGTAACCTACGAGTAACGTTTAATTGGGATACGGCGTCCTCAACTGGATACGTTGAGCCTTCTCGCAACCGGGATTGTTGACGATGTGTGCCCTCTGCCTCGTCAGATTATGAATTTAAGCCTCGAGGAATGAACGGTTTGCTGCGTTGGAGAACGTCAAGACGAGGAGGAACGGTTTGACACTGGTGCGTAAGTAGCAGGGTCGCTGCTTTAAAACGCTCTCGCCCTCCTTTCGACAGCGTTGATCCCTCTTCGGCAACAGCATCTTCTATCAGATCTGAACGCCTCTGCTTTTTGGGCATTGCCGCTGTATGTCTAAAGAATGTCATAATTCATCGCAGGCGATACAAGCGTACCGCTGCACGGGCACTGACGTCAACACCTGCGCCCTGGCGGGGACTCCGCTGACGCCATCCCTGTACACGCTGGTGGAGCCCGTCGTGGGCGCGATCACAAATATCTCGCGGTCAATACCGACGATGGTCGAGCTTGCCACGTGTCAGTTTGTGACTGACGCGTTTAACCACCTGGTTAGCACGGAATGCCCGAAGCTTAGGGAGGACGTGATTTACATCACGGTGGCGTTCACGACTGCGTCATCAGCGCTCCTGTTCCTTTGCATAGGCTGGTTTGTAGTTTCGCGGCGCGCGCTGCGCGTGAAGCGGACGAACAAGTTCCATACGGAGGGGTACGAGTATAAGGACCAGTTTGGGCAGCCGGTTGCGGCAGAGGCGCCGTTTGCTCCGAATCGTGTCGCACGCGTTTAATTTGGGTGGCTAGGAGCAAATTTAGGCCCGCCATTAAGTTGCAATAGGGTTGCACCTTGTACACCATCATTAGTTGGAGATGGAGGGACTTGGCCAGATTGCTGAGATTGAAGGATTTAGGGCTGCGTAACACCAGCTATGGAGTTGCAACTGCTGATTAACAGCTTGTCATACGTATAAACATCATCGTTCACTGATGTTACAGATAGACAGACGAGGGTTTATAGATTCTATGCAACTGGACCGCCACAGCGGTTAGAATGGTGATATGTATCGGGTTCCTAAAGGCGCTTGCGATCCATTCGTCATTTGTAAACGAAGGTTGGAAGTGTTGGACACCTTGAGTGATACCTGCACATTCAACATCGCTGATGTACAGTTTTTTTTTCATGTGGTCTTTGGAACGTGCGTAATCTGCTATTGAGATGTTAAAGTTGGCTCAGTCAAACCAACTTATCAAAGCCTGCTGCGCTCAACTTCAATCAAGCAACATACAGCGAACTGGGGCCGCCCATGTATACGAGACATGATACTGCTCAAGCATTCATCATTACGCAATCATTGCTAGTATGTATACAACCGCACTGAATCTTTTACATCTGGGCAGATGCGTGGTTTACGCGCACGTTGTATTTTATTGCTAATCCTCGATGAGTCCAATATATGAGTTCACATAAGTCATGCTGATGTGTCAAGTCAGCTGTACCGCGCCGAGGACAACACCTTCTATATGCGGAAATGCGCGAGCATCGCGTAGCCGCGCTTGCGAGCCATGCTATGATTCATGCATAGCAAATCAGATGCTTAATTGCATGACCGATTGCGCTTATATGTAGACAAGCCTGGCGCGCGTTCAAGAGATTTAACAGACCGCCCAACGCTGCTGCAGGGCCACGAGCATTAATCAACTCGACCAATCGGTCGTTTATTTGTGCAGCCTGGAAGTATTCAGTTTGAAATATTTCCTACAACTACTGGTGATCCAGGCGAAATATTCGCTGTCTTTGCAGTTCTTTGCATGCAGCGACCAAATCGGATCAGCCATCCGCCTTACCTGTATTCACAGTATTATTTACACGATGAAACTCGACTTTTCTGCGCGTTCTCCATACCAACACGACTACTGTGTCTGCATCCTACCGAAAAACGTGCTTAAGTACCAGTTTCTTCCGAAATGATGACTGATCTAGTCGCGAACGGAACTCAAGGATGGAAATGTGGCAGTACGTTGGCAGTGGCCTCACCGGCCTTTGCCAACTTCTGCACCCGCTCCCTTCGCGGCAAGTCATCCGCCTTTCAACCATTTCTCCCAAGTTCGCGACTCTATTGACTTCGAATCCTTAGTTGACCCAGGCCTCCTTTCATTCTGGAGAGTTTGATCTCTTGCAGGCCGGTGAATGCAACCGGCCGGGCGGCGAGCTGACGCCAGCGCTCTCGTCATGGCCCGGGGAAGGTGACCGGACTTCTTCGCTTCCCTTCCGCTTGAGAATCTGGGCGTTGATCCTGTGGATGTCAGCCGCTTGTACGGGCTTTTGGAGGTACTCCTCCGCCCCCCCTTCGATACACTTCGCGACGCGCTTCGGAAAGTTGTCTGACGACATGATGACGACAGGCACCCGCTCCAGGCCCGTCTCCTCCTTCTGAAGGGCGATTAGATTGACGTCAGCTTGAAGAAGATGACGCGAAGTCGAAACCGGATCGCACCAGCCCGATAGTCAATATTTGAAGTATTTTGTTTGAACTAAGTAAGAGCTGATTGCAAACACGATTATATGGAAAGAAAATTTGCTGAGAACGAGAAGTGTGAGCCTATTGCAAGAGCTGTCCTAGGACTGTGTTTTGGAAGTGACCATAAAAAAGAGCGAGCTTCCGACATTATTGGACCGTTGAAAGTAGACTCAACGCGAAGTTTCTGAAGAAAAAGCTCGAAGTCGACGAAATCGATTCACTTCGTGAATTTCGAGCGTTCAAACCCCAGGTTGTTTGTCCCCTACTCTCTGTGCAGCACGCAACTCGTGGTCCTAAAAAAGCACTTCGATACTAAGGTGTTAGCGTCCGTATGACTGTTGGAGATATCGAGACGCGAAATGGTTCATTGAAGGCGGATGTACAAACTTTCAGCGGGTTCAGAAACCAGAAGCAAACCGCATCGAGATCCTCTAGAACGCGTCTATTGAGCTGGACCCAATGCAAAAGTCCTTCGCTTCCAAATCATGCATTCAGACGCTTCCAACGATGATTCGTCATCGGGAAAGTTACTCTGTCATCAAGAAGGAGCGTAGCGAGCGGCCTCTGGCTGTCCGGGTGCAAATGGCAAAACGGCCTCCTATCGAGCACGACTTGGGCTCGACCCTGAAACCCTTTGAAGAGGTTATGACGCAATTTCGGTGATTTTCGAGCAGACTCCACAGATGCAGTGCACTCAAATAACTAGTCAACGGTGTTGCAACGCGCCTCCAGATGTGCCGCGCCGCACAGGACTTTTGCTCATGAAAAGATCGTCATACCCAGGTAAGAAGCACCAAAAAGTCCTCGAAAGGTCCAAAAGGTGGCATTCTCGACGCCCTCAATTAGCAATAAGAAATGGTTCGACGCCTGATACAACGGGGCACCGAAGAGAGAAAAGCACGGGACTCGACGTGAGCAGATTTTCTGCCGAGGATTCAAGATACAGCACCTTTCGGGTGCAAAGGGCCAACGTTGTTGCATGAGCTTTCAGGCGCAAACCCCTGCATAGTGTACCCAACCTTGGAAGTTTGATAAGCTCGAACGAAATTTGAATCATTTGGAGCATTACTCGCCACCAAGCAGAAAACCCTCCCCGCAAATAGCCCGCGTTCTTCGGGATTCTTTGCTTTGGCTCGAGGTCCTTGTTTTACAACTTAGGTCCCTCAAGGATATGTTTCCACGTGGCAGACAACTTGGATCAACAATTCTGTAACCACTTCCATTTTTACGGCTCGCATGTGACCCAAAAAAGTAACTGCGGTGGGGTGACCTCCATTTGGAAGAGGCAACCAGACAGAGATTTCAAACGTCGGAAGAGGTTTGACGGGAAGCAGACCGAACATGAACCCGGAGAAACCCCCGCAAGAGCAACTAGAGCGAGACTCACCTTCAGCCTTTGCAGCAGCTGGTAGCCTGTAAGACCCGGCATGCTGTAGTCCGTCATGATCAGGTCGAAGTTGGGCGGCACCTGCCAATACAATTAGGACACGTGTCAGTTCAACAGTGACAAGCCAAAGTCGTCACCGTTCTCATCGCTCACAGGGTGACTGGAAGATACTGAAGAAATGGAGGCGATACAAAAAAGCTTTGCCAGAAGTATCGCCACATCATTGAAGATTTGACGACTATTCAAGTCACTGAAGGCGAACCTTATGTACAAGCAAACAGTGCTGTCGGGACTCTGACTGGAGAGCGCTTGATCCAAAACTTCAAGCCAGAAGCTGTTTAGCAAAAGTACTAGCCGGATCAAACCCACCGAGTCCCTGAAAAATGCTCAACAGAACAGCTATTGGAACAAACAGGTGTCTACAGTATTGACGTGAAGGCTTCAGTGTGCCTTCGACCATCATTTTGTGCAATAGTCAGACCGTAGATGGGGGTAAGAGCAACTGTCCCCCATACCTTTTGGAGGCCCCCGCCTGCTTCGGAGTCCTCCGCTTTCGACTGGTCGAGTCCCAAAACGCCCAAAGCATGCACACCGCTCTCTGCAGTCGTCACTGAAGAGGAAAGAGAAGCTGTTGGTTGCAGCGCAGTATATATTTTTGACGTGTCAGGTACCTACGATCCAGCGATTGTACGTATCTTCCAGTCGAACGGAGAGCTTTGCTGAGTTCGTTTGTTGTTGTCACCATCTTTGGGAGTCAAGTAAAAGTAGGGCTTTGCAGACTTTTATGACACCGTTCTAGGAAGCGGAATCAGGAGCGAGAAGGCAAAGAGCAACTCTAACAAGCTTCAAACAAGCGTAGAAGCCCCAGACCACATTTCTAGTAGCCCCAAATTAAAGTTGTTAAACAGTGTATCCGAGGGGCTTACGACTCTGGCAATGTCAGTACGAACCAGCTTAAGAGTAAGGGAATCTTATCCCCAAGTGGGAAGCATACAAAGGTCATAGTAGCCAAGCGGTGCAATGTCCGTAGAGAACCTGCCAGGTTAGCTCGAGAATCGTTGCTAGACCAGGCACTTCCTTTATGCAAGGCACACTTCCAAAAGAGCTCGTTTTAAGTCCAATGGCACATCATCCTATAATTGTCACACTTCCACAGACTGACAATAAGGGCCCCCAGCAGTGACATAGGAAGTGTATATCCGGAATTCCACTTGCCTTTGTTGCAGTATATAAAGGTCAGCTGACCCCTCTTAGCTTTTCAATCGGCGCTAGTAACCAGCACCAAGAACACTACACTCGTGCAAACAGTACGTCCTAAAGGCCGTCTGAGAAATATTTAAGTAAAGCCTTTTTCACACGGACTTCACGAAATACAAACCGGCTCTGGTGATGGAAAGTAGCTCCAGTCAAGGGCTCCCCTTTTCAACAATAAGTCTACTGATAGAGAGCAATACTGCAAGTGCTGAGGCTGCTTTGTCACGCGGATTCTGGCATGGTTTAGCAGTAAGCTGACCTTGAGAGTTGATCCATGATTAAAATCCGTAAGGAAAATATCCTCCAATGACTGGCACGAAATGGATAGATGGAGGAATCTTTCATCTGCTTCTTGGGATTCTCGAGAATTGGGGCTTTGGTGGTTTGCTGCAGAAGCTGTACTATTTGTGGTCCAACTGTCTTCTCTGGCAGATTGACCACGCCGTTGCAACTTTGACGCAATTCAATAGCCACCCGTTCAAACGGTGTACAAAGTCACGAGCTTTTACCTTGAGAGCAACTCCACTCCTGAAGCTGACATCGTTGTGAGAATCTGTGTCGACACTGGATTAAGAGAACCAAGCCAAAAGGGATTCAGCCTAGGTAACCAAGTCATGAGAGCGCTCACCTTTATAAGGAACATCTTTCAACAATCGCTCCACCAGCTTTCGATCCACCGGCGAATCATCGACCGCCAACACGTGCATCATACGCTCGTCGCACCCCTGCGCTCCCCCTTCCTCTTCTACACCTTCATTCGCATCCCGGTTACTTTCACCCCACCTCCCCTCTTCCAAATGGTGGCGATTCACACCCGACCGTCCAGCATATCCCGCCCCTTCCTCTCTCGTTTTGCCTGGCAACCCTGGCTGGCTTTGTGGCCTAATCTCTTGTTCAACATCCTCTCCCTTGAGCTCTAACTCAGACTTTTCCACGTTCGAAGGTCCCTCGTCCAACTGACATTCTGGCGCCAGGTGGCGGTTGACGTCCTCTCCTCCCGGCAGCCATTCAAACAACGACCCCTCCTCTACTTTCCGCCTCTTCAAGTCCGGTTGCACTCCTTCTGGGTCCAAAGAAACGGGCATCACTTCCAGTGATTGGCCTGGTTGAGATCGCTTGCAGCAGCCTTTGGTGGGCTCATCAGCGGCGTCAGGCAATGGACAGCTGGCATGCAGCTTGCTATGAGAGGCCATGTCTCTCACTGCGCCGTCCAAAGCTGTTGCCCACGCCTAGATCCCCAATCACCAGCTGCTGAACTCCTTGCTGCGCAAAAACCAGTCGCTTGATGACCAGCACAACTAGAGAAGCAGCAAAAACAGGCTCCTCAACGTGCCCTCAGATTCACAAGCCCACTAGTACTCCACAACTGATATTCTGACACTCCTCTTCAGCTGCTCACAAGGCAACGGTCAGAAGGCAAAAGTCTAACACCGTATTCCAGCTAGACGATTGCACCGGTATGTAGTCCTCGTCGCCGCACAATATCCCCACATGATTCTACCAGCAGCTGCTTTCAGTGCTGTCGAAAGCGCTAGCTACAGCCCGATGTGCGTCAACTACAATGCACAAGCCTGAACAATTAGGATACTAAACTGTGTTTAGCAACCTTTTTCCCAACTTCCGATTGTCACACCGCCTGTGTCAAGCGGCTTCCTTAAAAAGGACAGATTGCCAATCTGGAGCTCACGAATGGCCTCAACTGTAAAGATTTACAATCTGCAACGGTCCTTCTCTTCGGCTTGAATCTCCAACGACAGATCAAAGTAGGGTAGGTAGCTGCTAGGGCCAATCCCTTCCAGAAGCAGCAGAGAATCGTAACAGCTCTACCAATTATGTGGACAACATGCCCGATCTTCTTTCCTGCTTTACCTATGTGGCAAAACCACCATTCCACATTCGCGCCACCAAACGTAAATGGGAGGCCAGTACGGTGGTACGGTAGCGGGCAGCCATTACAAGGAAATCTCGCAAGATCAATGTCGTACTGCCTAGGCTGCGCAAACTGGCGGCATCATGGCGCATTCAGGAGCACAATTCAATGAAGTCGCGACTGGTCGTTTGGCATGCAGCCTGCAGGGGGTGGGCGTTACAAATGTGCCCAGATAATACTGGTCAACAAAGGAGCGCAGGCTGCGCAGCAGCCTGTAATTCAACAACTGGCACCCAAGTGCCATGAAGGCGGTACGGTACCTGATGAGGTAGAACTGCACGGTGTACCGGATCAATTCGGAATGACTCATGAGTCATGAGTCAGGCATGAGTCCTTCCCCTGTAGAGAGTACCGGTAGGTATGTACGAAGTACATTACGGTACCTACAAGAGTACCCCGATACATGGTACATCGCTGATTGTACAGCCGAAGTCACACGGGAGAATCCCAAGATCTTCATTCTGATGAAAGCAGCTTACACGTGATAGACTTCTATCGAAAGTGCGTTACATGTTGGAGAGCCCAAACGGCACTGGAATTTTGGGAAACGCAATACTCCCGCAGTGCGCGGACGACTTATCAGAGAAGAAATCTCGTATCCAGATTCCACTGTATGTAATAACTGCCTCAGCAATTCGACGTCGGCAAATTAGCACTCCATATTAAGTGCATCGGGCACACTACCTACATGACTCCGCCTGGCAACCGTCCGCCCAGTCTTTGCGTCATAAAGTGCACAAGAGACGTACAGCAGATCTGCAGCGCGGGGAGATATCGGATCGTCGCAAGTCAGTGGATATGGAAGATCAAAACATATCCCCGTATCTCAGATGCCAAATGGCGTCTTGTCCAAGATCGAAGTTCAATCGACGGCAATGGAAGTCCTTCCGGAGGAAGATTTCAATTTGACGATCTCGATTTTGTTTTTGAGCTCCAGCCTTCGCGGTTCCGCCCGCTAGATGCACCGGAATCCGGCGGACTGTGAGGCTTGAAGTTGAGTTCTCGAGAAGGAAGCCGCGCCATAAAATGTGAATTTGCAATCAAGAAGTGCACATGGGGAGGGCACAGATTGGACGCAGGTTTTCGTGCTGCCCGTGAATGATCCAGTTGGTTTTAACCAGGTCCTTCATGAAATAAGGTTTGCGATCAGACTGGCCATCAGCTGCAGCTAATCAATGACGTGCGTCATAGCCAGGTCAAACAATCCAAAATGTCCGTCACCTTGATTGAATTACCCCAGTCTTAATGCTGACGCCCGTGGGGGGGGATTACTTTAGTCCCAATATGTGAAAAGAGTTCCCAGTACGAGAAACTCTGCTCCTCAATTGTATTGAATCTCAACTCTCCGTTTAATAGAGGCCAAGTGCACAAAATTGGCAGATAACCAAGTGCAGATTATAGGCACAAAGACAAGCTCTCACATAAACTCTCTATGGAGACTGTACCGGCAAGGCCCGATGGTCGGCCTCCCCGGTCGTACAAAGGCTCGAGCCGTCCGGATCAGCAGAAACGGAGGGAATTGGCGCTGGCCCGGCAGCGAGAAGCACGGAAAGAACTGCAGGTATGCTCTTTCTTCTCTTCATACACGTCCGGGTTTGAGAAAGCAGAGATGACAAGAATTCGTACTCCTGGCTGTGTAATGCTGTCATCATACGCTAGAGATGTCGCCTGAATAGACGCTTGTTGCGCAGCAGATCCCTATCCTGGTGCAGGGAGCATTTGCAGCCCATGTGAGTTAGTGATTTCCCTGTGTTGGTTGTTGAACAAGCACGAGGGTTCAGACTACCAGCATATAGAAAAAGCCAGATCATTATTCGGGTAGGTGAGCTTTTTGGGTCCAGTTTTTCTTTGACACCACCAGCAGCATTCCTTGGGAGAATATGGCCAAAGAATGCTGCCCAAAATCCCTCGCGCTTGGGCCATCAAACAAGCACCTTTGCCAGAAACAGTGCTTTGAGAGGCACATTGGTTACAACGACAGCGGCGCTGCCTGTACCGGCAACATGTGAAAAAGATTTTTGAGGCGAATTTCGCTGCGGGGCGCCTTGGCTTTGATTTCGAGTCGAATCGAGTCGAATGGGGCCCTAAACGAAGCATCCCGCTCCGGAAAAGTGAAGAAGGGGAGCTAGGCCTCGGTCCAGGGCCGGTTCTCAGAGAAGAGGAACCGGTTACCGCAAAATGGAGCTGTTTCTGATGTTTCCGGTTTCTGTTCTTTGACAGCTGGCCTTGGATCAGGGCCTAGCTCCGGTTCGTCCGCCACTTTTCGGAGCAGAATGCTCCGTTAGGCCCCAGTCTCGCTTCCGTGTGAAACCGATGTGTCCATGCATCAGTCTGCGCGAGTTTGAAACACCAAATCATGGGCACAAGTCAAGGCAGGGTCTTACCAGTGCCCAACTAATGAGAAGCCCAACCAGCAGCCACAAACACAACCTGGTTCAGGCCAAACTCCCCTTTCCATTTTCACCGCAGGCGCATGCGCGAAGGCTGTCTCAAGTCCTGACCGAAGAAGCAGAGTTCAATGACGGCACTCAAGAGGACCTGATGTACCTGGAAGCTGAGACTGCTACGGATGAGTCATCATTTCGGCAAGGCACGACGGGACAAGAGCCTGCAGAGTCGAGCGGTATTCCGCCTGGGGATAGCTTACGGGGTCAGATATCTCCGGGGGATAGCGTACGAGGCCAGCAGTTGCGTGAGTGGTACGCCCGGCAGCTGCTCCAGCCGGAGTGGATGATTGACGTGCCGCCGGACCTGGCAACAAACTGGTGATCACATCTCTCTCATTAAAATTTTTGTTTCTTACGTTTTGGCAATCGTTTGTCGCTCTTTTCTCCTGTTCTCGCCTTCTTGCTGTTTCCATTACAGAAAGTCGTGGCACAGAAGGTACAAGCTTTTGAATTCAGCCTCTGAAATACGGACAAACGGATGAGAAAAATAAGCTCTGCTGAGCTTTGACTATCGAGAGAAAGTCGGCCGAGCTTGCCGAAGCCTCTCTCATCTTCTTTGCATTGCCCTAACCTGTCGACCCTTCGCTTCCCAAGGTTCTTCATCCAGTAACTTTCTGAGGCATGAATTTTCCATATGCTCGGTCGTCATGCCGTTCTGGTCCAGAGGTACTCATCGTTTTACACAGCACCGTACGCACACGTTTGCAGTCCCAAGCTTTCGTTGGCGAATGAGTTTTTGTCCGGCACGCGCTTGCAGTCGCTTCAATCACGCGTGCGCGACCCCACTTTGAGCCTCTAACGCCTGCATCAGACTCGTCTAGGTGCTCCGTATGCTGTTGAGAGGGCGCAGATTGCGAACGCTCTTCCAAGGATATACGCTTCTTTCGTGCATATTGCGCTCTTCCGAATCACTAACTGCGAGTTCAGATTCCGCCTATCACTGACCACGTCACTCTCCGTCCAGGTCCGTTATGGCCCGACCGGAGGGGAAGCGGTGCCTCGTCATCTCCGCAAACGGGAGCACCGTCAGCCGGCTGAAGAACGGGCGCATCCTGCACACGTTCCCGTCGTTCCTGCCGAACGGGGCGCGAGTGAAGGGGATCGCCCAGGCCTGCCACGTGTACTGCATCCTCGACTGCATCTTCCATGAGGTGAGGCGCGGTATTATGTTTTGCCGCTTCTCTAGTTGGCCCCGCCAGCTTCTGTGCAGCCTGGAAATTTGAGATTGTCGCCAAGCGCTCTCTTCGGAGTAGAGAGCTTGAAGACTTCCGGTCCTTTGGCTTAGGAGGCGTCCCTTTCTTTGTGGCCTGCTGAAGGTCTACTTGACAAATGAAGATTTGGCAGCTCGGTCAGTGGAGACTCGGTTGGACGGGCGGTCTCAGGCGACTCAAAATCCTTTTGTCGATTGTCTGGTGATCTGCAAACTTAGCGACATCGGTTCACTTCGCTTAGGCCCTTGTGGTCGACCTCTCTATTGAGAGGGGCTACGACTGGTTATTCTTGAGCTGGTCGGAACTTCATGGCTGTTTTTCATATCCCAGTCGTCAAAGTACAGCATTGTATCGTTCTATTGTTACATCCGCACAGATAAACAACTTAGTAGATTCGAACAACTGTCTTTCAGTTGAGTGTTTGAGTATTCTCTCGTACCCTCAGGCCTGAAGTGCTCGCCGCCAGTCAAACACTTTACCTTACCCTAACCTGGACTTATTGGGCGAGAGATAAGCCTAACCCGCCTCCCCTTCCGTCCAGCCAGATCAGACCTACTACGTCATCGACATGATGTGCTGGAAAGGCTACCCCCTATACGACTGCGCGAGCAGCTTCCGCCTCTTTTGGATCGCCACGAAGCTCCCCGAGACCGACGCGTTCCGGCCCCCCGCCCATTACCACCGGTTCCGGTTTGCCCCTGTGCAAGTGTATGATGCGGACCCCGGGGGAATCCACCTGGCGTATGCGGGGGAGGTGCCGTACCAAAGGGACGGCCTCCTATTTTACAACAAGTGAGTCGCGGACTAGACTATTTTGACTGCCTTTTAGGATAACCCACTTCCGCAGTTCACGGGTCGTCCTTGTTGCTGCGAAGGTTTGGTGAGAGGCATTCGCTGATATTCAGCCCTTCTAGAGTTGCGCTGTAAAACTGCAAATCTAACCAGGCGGCGGTTGAGTCGTCAGAAGGGCTAGTTTGTCTGCAACTTTCACGCCTCCAGACTCTTCTCTCAACCGGAGCCGTCCTTAAAAGCCATCTCCCGCTTTCCAACCTCGACAACGTCCTGACCGGAGAAAGGATCTTTTGAAAGTTTCTCCATGGTGAACTAGGCGTCGGCAGATGCACCCGCAAAAATGTCAGAAGCGACATAGAAACCGGTGTACAAGCTATGTCGTCGCAGAAAAGAAATCAGCGGATGACAACCTATTGTCGTCTTGGCGACCAAATTTTAGCCTTCTCCGTAAAATCGCTGCGGTTTTTCCGTACCGCTATGCTCTTTTCAGGCAGAAAAGCAATGAGTTTCTGACAACTTGGTTCTGCGACTCTGCAGGGAGGCGCACTACAGCCTGGGTGTGACCCCCCTCGTTCTCCTGTGGAAGGACCCCCTTTGCAGCAACTACTTTCTGGACACGGACAGCAAAGGCACAATTCCGACAGAGCAGCAGGTTAGCACTAACTCAACCTTTTAGATGCAAGTAACATAGCCCCCTGTTCAGTGATTAGCGTCGGATCGAGGGTTTTTTGACAGGGCTTCGAAATCGAAGTTGCTTTGATGAATTGTCCTCACAGCTCCGGATTGTGCATAGCCTGCAGTATCGGTCAGCATGAGAAGGCATTCTCGATTGGATTAGAGGCGGTATGCGGCTGTGGACTGGATTGGAAGCTGCTGTTGTGAGCAGGGTGCGTCAGCAATCTGCCTGTCGCTATCAGGCTGACCCCGGAGGCCCCGCAAATGCATTGGAGGAGCTGGCCCCATTTAAGACCCCTCGAGTCTCCTTTCAATGAAGCTCAGGAGAAACTCAGGAGAACCTTCGCAGAATCTCCTTTTAGTTTCGGACAGCACTTCATGAAAGCTTACGCCTGGCGGTTGACCTGGAAACTGCCTTCTGTAGCACGTCCGCGATGGTCGTCCGCCGGTTGTCGTCAGCAGGCCTCTAGATGACGTCAGCATTCGATGACGGCTTCTGCTTCTCTGAAACAGGTGGTCCTGCGTCTTCGGGCGGACGGCACGGTGGCCTCGAGCGACGACCCGCCCGTCGTGCTCGGCTCGATACCGGCTGCGTTTCTGCAACAGGTTCGCAGCCCAACTGCCCTTCCATCAGCGGTTTGATCTACTTGTCGTTGTCTTTCTCTCGCTCGTGGCCCGCCAATTTTTTCCAGTGTCCTTGCTTTCTCTCCTCGCTTGGTTGTTTGATTCGAGCAAGTGATTTTGACTTGTTTTCCCTTTTCTCGCTAGTTCCCTATACGCTGCTTTCGATTCGGTATTCAGCTTTGGAGAGTAATGGGGCCCTATCTACTGGCCATCTAATGGGGCCTCCTTCTCCTCCCTCTAGCCTTCACTGCAAGAAGAGTAGCCGAGAATCTATCGAATTCTGAACGCGATAATGCTTTTGGTCAGAGCAGCTCCGGTTCTCCACTAACGGACTGCTTCCAACATTGCTGTCGCTACACGATTGCCCGTGTCTCTGCAACCCCTCTCTTTCTAGCCCCCGAGAACCTAAACACTCTCTTCCTAAACGCAAGCTTAAAACTTTTTCGTCCGATTCTTCAGCATGCCGAATCGCTGCGCCCGGGGACTCTCCTCCGCTTTTCAGTCGGCGACAGGGGGATTCAAACCGAGGGCGACGGGCCCCCCGTAGCGGACCTCCAGTATCAAGGGCTCGCGAACCAGAGACGAGGCGGTCCGGACAGCTTTACCAAGGTACACACCCGTCCGAAGGCCCGTTCGCGCTCGTTCGTTTGATCGTCCACCGTTGATTTGTACGTACGGCTCAGCTTGGCCGCCTTTTTAGATGTATCCCAAAACGTCCGCATTACGAACACTTGATGGTGCCTGGCCGTCCTATTCGAGACCACTATTCAAATGTCTGGCCGTCCTATTCGAGACCACTATTCAAATGTCTGGTCTGGTGATTTTATCCGTGTTATCAATCCATTTTCCTGTCTATGAAACTGTTTGCAGAACCATCTGCTTGGATGAGCCTCTACATGGTCAACGGTCCGATCCAGCAATTTCGAGCGTCTGCTGCCCTTAATGGTCTGCTTTCGCATTTCTGACAATCCGTTTCCGTCCAGCGACTTGACACCCCTTTCTTTGCATCCCGGTTTCAGTCTGCCAGTCTCTTCAGGCCATGTGCGTTGTTTGTGCTTTTGCGGTTGTAGCTTCGTTCTGATGGACAGTTGCAGCGCGAAGCGATGAAAGGAGTGCATTTTCCCAAGCTCAACCAAGGCTTCCGGCCGTTGTTGTTCCTTTCACTTCGACTCCGTCTGCTTCCGGCCATGTTCCTTATCATCCCGTTGGACTCTACGATTCCAGTCCAATTAGGGCTGATGACGCTCGCGAGGAGCGGTTTACCTTGCTGGCGCAAATTGACCCAAGCAGAACAGCTCAGCTCTTCGATATATATCCGCTCGTTGCACTTTGCTGCAAGCCCGTTCTAGGCCTCTAAGTCCAAGCCTCCGTTCAGCGGACGAACCCCGGTAGACATCAAGCGCAGTACAAGCTGAACCTAGGAGATGTCAGGGAACCGAGGCGGTATCGAAATCTGGATGGTCACTGAAGTCGACTCCTCAAAATCGCCTTTTTCCGACGAGTCCCCTTTGCCTTTGCAGATCCTATTTCAGTATGCTGCCCGCCATGACCCGCTCACCATCGAGCAGATACTGTAAGTCGCACAAAGTGGCCGCATTTCGGAACTCCCGCTGGTGACGCCCTCGGAACGAACAGATAATCAAGATCAGACTATGCTTGACTAACACATCTGTTTGTGGGCTTCCTTGGGTAGGCCCGACTCGGTGCATTCAATGTCAGTGCGTGGTTCGGGTCTGTGGTACATTCTGCAGCTGATCGGCAGCGGTTCTCTTACTTTCACTTCTCAATCCTCGGTGACCGGTTTGCAATGCGTATATATCCAGTGTGCGCGCGTAAGCTGAGCTGGACTATATGCAACCGACTTATACGCGCTCATACATGTCCTCGAATTTCGTTCGCAGCACGAGCATATGGTCAACGTGCTCGGATTAGAACTGCTTAATGGGGCTTAACCCGATTGATGCTGAGAGCATGAAGTTTGTTCTTCACGCGCCCTTAAGAATTGTCAATTTTAGGCTGCGAGTAGATTGTGTAGCCCAAGGGGTTGTACATGATTCAGTGAGGTGATTTCCAATCTAGCGGCGCCGTAGCTAGCTGCGGCAGTTTTAAAGTCAGAAAAGAGAGTATCCACCTTGTTTTCGTCTTTAAGTCATGAATCTTGAATTTCGTTCAACCCGCATCTTCTCAGAAGAGTACCTTACAACCATTTCTTAGTATCGTATGCATCCAACATTTTCTTGGTGGGATATATAGTTGCGAGGCAACTATATATACTATATTATATATATACTTTATATATATTTACTATATTATACTATATTATATATTTACTATATATATACTATATACTATATATACTTTGAGATTTTTTTGCACTTTTGCATCCGCCACAACAAGTCTATGCGAAACGTACGTACGACTTCACTTGCCAAAAACATTCGTCTACCTTGCTCTGCCAACAGAACCGGGATTGGAGCTCATTTGCGAAGGATGAGCAAGGACTATGGACAAACAACCAAGGGTACAAACGTGGGCGTTCAAAGGCCACGCATATGTTACATGACAACTACCGTCGGCTTGCACCATAACGATTTCTGAAGATTCTATGGCGGCTGGCTTGCGGAATCCGCCCTCGGCCCCGTCCCCCCATGGGACGCGGCTGACCCGTGCTGCACAACACAATGAAGAATCATTCGTCGATCAGGTGTAGAGAACGTTCACATCTCAAGGGGGAGAACCACAAATTTAATTTGATAAACCGGGCTGAGAACACTTTTCGTAACCTGAAGAAACAGGCCTGGAACAATCTGAGCACAGTCAGGTATCGCAGGCTTACATGGAAACTCCCTTGACCAGAAATCAAGCGACCCAAAAATTCTCCATTGTCCGACAATCGTAGTCCCTCTAAAGGGACATCATTTTGCCGTCAGCTTATTTGACGTCCGCCATCCGTTTTAGGAAAACTCCTACCACCAAATACACGCCCCTCGTCTCATAAACTAAATAAAGTGCCGCCCTTCCTTAAAGAACGCAACCCTGGAACCAGGTTCGCGACGAGATTTTACCCAGATGGTCCCAACTTTCAACCAGACGGGATCAAGCTCCCCAAATCGACCCAACCCGAGATCACACTTGAGATGAGAATCCGCACCTAATCGGCGACTGAGACCCGCTGCCCGCTTGCATCCTGTGTGCACCCGCCCCCGCTGGAAAGTGAGTGCAACCAAACAGAGCCCCTAGCCCAAACCCTAACCCAGAGATAAACCCACGATCAGACCCGTCCTCACCTGTACTTTAAGTAGACCACCCCGTCCGCCCCAAAGAGCGCTCAACTGCTTCTGACAATGCCGCATATGCAAAGGGATCCAAACCCTCGGAACCAAACCGAAACCCAGGCACAAACCCAGAAGCCAAAAACCCAAAAGCCAGATGAAGGCCCCAAACTCGCACCTGTACTCCATGTAAACCATCCCGTCCGCCCCCGAGAGCGCGCGCATGTTCCCGACGCTGCGGCGCGCGCGGTAGCGCTCGATGTCGTCCAGGTCCTCGCCGAGGCGCTCCTCGCCGGCTTCCGCGGTGTCCGCTTGCAGCACGCGGCCCAGCAGGTCCAGCTGCTCCTGCTGCGTGCTGTAGGAGAGCTCGCTCGCCATGTCGGGCGGAGGGAGTTCCGTGATGACCTGAGAGAAAGAAACAGGTTTTCAGAGCTGACTTTCTGGAACTCATCCCATGAGAGGGTCTGTCTACTCTTTGCTAGAAGTAGGTTCCAGCTGCTCCTGCTGTAGGAAGGCTCGCTCGCCATGCCGGCGGGAGAGACTTCCGTGATGACCTGGGAAAAAGGAAACGGTTCCGTGGTGACGTGGAAAAAAGGCACAAGTTTTGTGATGACCTTTGATTACACGAATTTCAACAAATTTGCATTTTTGGGAACCCCTGGCATGAGAGGGTCTGTCTGATCGTGCTAGGAGGGATCCCCAACGGCCGCCGATAGGATGGGACCCACCAAGATATAAACGCCGACACGGTAGATGACTTGTCGTTGTTCCAGCTCTTCTATGGGCCGACGTAGGAGCGCGGCTAGACAATCACTAAAACGAGGAGTTGTGAAGAAGGCACCAATACCAGGAGTTGTGAAGAAGACGAGTCGTGGAGCACATTTCAGCAGAGATTGGCAAAGTGAGGCCCCGCACCTTGAAGCTGTAACCCTGGTCGATGAGAAACTGTTGCCGCTTCGTTGAGTAGTACATCTCGACCGTGTCCTTGGAGACGAGAGAATAGAAGAACGCGTTGAATTCCTCCGCGCCGCCCGCTACACGGTCCTGCGCGCGACCCTGCAGTCAAGACGGCAAGGCTTTGGTCGCCGTAAGAAACAAATCCCTGAATCACCAAAATCTGGCAAACACTTCCGTCTTCTCGAGAGGGGCATTGAGAAAGATTCCTGCAAAGCAACTCTTGACTTCAGGGCTATCCGGAAAATATCAAGTGCTGAGAACATGATCATTCCGACGGGTTTCCTTTTGATTGGAGGCGCCTCAAAGCCGCTAGAACCCCTCAAGTCAGTGACGTCCTTTTGCATACTCTCCAAAAGCCAGCAAAAGTAAAAAGCAAACGATTGCTCGCAGGCCTCAGAAATCGTAAAAGCAAAGCGTGAACTTCTGGCAGCTCAAGAAGTAAAGACGGCACAGTTGCAACTCGCCTTCGGCCGCAAGATACGCCCCAGGCGCTGCGCCTCCTGCCGGCGCGACCCCGCATGCGACGAAATCTGGATGATGACGTTGGCCTCCGGGATGTCGATCGAGTTATCTCCTACCTGCACACGTCAGCACAATGTGTACGTCAGCAAGTCCGCGACAACTACGTTCGCCATATCTGAACTTTTGCCAAAAGTGCGAGGCGCATGCTCTTCACAAACGCTCGAGGCAGTCTGCAAACCGTTGTGTCAATTTCAGAAGCGTTCGGTGGCAATACGGAGTAATCGTGCAGAATCACTTTCATTCTGAACAGGCGGCAATTGCTGAACTTGGCACAGTTTTGCGTCGAATCGCACTTTTCTTCGCTTACATCTCCGGCAACGGCCTTACTTAGGGCACGCGTGTATTCTCACCTTTGAGAGGAATACACAGTTGACGTTGGGATCGTGCTTGAAGGCGTATAGTACACGTGACCTTTCGGTGTGACTGCAGCGGAAAACATTGCGCAAAGATCAGGACGTGAGGTTCGTCATTCGCTGGAGGCACTCAAGCAAGTGAATCTTGCAGTAGAACACACAGGTGACCTTGTTACAAAGTTTGTCGAGGCTGCTCTAAATGGACGGAGGGCAATGAATCAACGAGGGAAACAGTGTCTCTGACTGCGGCAGCATTCTGCTGAAAAGGCAACGGGTGATTTCAACCGGATGTCTGGAATAGAGCAAGCTTTCGTTACTTGATGGCTAAACAAGCACGAGAGCCTGAAGATGAACAGATAAAAATTTTGTGCTGCAAGGGAGGCCGTAAACTTCAAGCTCCCTTCACGTGATCCCAACAATCCCAAAGGTTTCCGCATCATCAGGACATTTAAAGGACTGTGAAGGAACACAAGCAAACTCCCTCACCTGGTGGGTCCGTAAATGAAGGGCTTGCGCAGCGCGTGCGCGTACTCGCGCAATGCGAAGATGTTGTCGGAGAAGACGATGATCTTGTCGCCGCGTTGCTGCTCGTGGTACCGGATCAGGAACTCGCACGCCTGGAACTTGTTCGGGTTCATCACGTACAGCGCCTGCGAGGGATCTCGGTGTCAGTCGACTGGGTAGTGCAGGTGGATTACCAACTTCGGGGGCTCACTATTGCTAAGGCTGTACTCTGATATGAAAAGCAATTCGAAACATCCAGTGGACATCACATTTTTTGCATGACTCCGCCCGCACAGGTGAATTCAATTGGTCGCCTGTCCGACAGATCACATCAATCAAGAAAAACAGTTTTCGGCACTGCATTGCGACGAGTTTGAAAGCCGTCTCTCAACCGCTTTTTCCAACGTCGGAGGACGAAGTGGAACGAGACTTCAAAAGGCAAAGAGTTCCAGCAGAATGCTCCAGCAGAATGACAGCACAGCCAGACTTTTTGTTTGTGGGACCAATATTCCTGGGGGACTCCCTCAGCAGGCGAAAGTGGAAACTACGGCTGCCCGCCCCGACCTGCTGATTGGTAGCACCCTCTTTCCTGAGGCCCAAAACAAACCTTGCAGATCTACACTCAAAAAGCGACCGAACGAAACCCTACATACTTACACTCCTAAGCGGTCAGAACCGTTGTGTCAGGAAACGCTCACCTGCTGCTTGCCGGCTTTTTCTCTCTAAGGAATATGCACCGTAGACCTCGCGCGTCACATCTTCTAGGATAGACCCAATTCATTTCAATCAGTCTCTTGAACTCTTATGAACCTCAAAGATACCGCAGAAAGTTGGTATGCCCACCTGCTGCTTGCCGGCGTTCTCCTTTTTGAGGTACTCGCGGTAGAACTCGCGCGTCATTGGGCACCAGACTTCCGCGCACTGCACGTTGGCCAGGTGGCCCGCCTTCACCAGGTCCAGCCAGTTGGCCTCGTACAGCTTGGGGCCGATCAAAAAGTTGAGGTCGCTGATGCGCTCGTCCTCGCGCACCAGCGTCGCTGCACATGACAAACGGTGCTTTTTGGGATTTTAGACTTCCACTGGGCTCGTACAGCTATGAGCTAATGGAAAAGTTGAGATCGCTGATGCGCTCGTATCGCGAACCAGCGTCGCTGCATAGAGATTGATACAAAGATAAGCAGACGCCGGGGAAGTTGAAAAAGCTACGACTTTTGTCCTCTTGAAGTAGGTCTGGTCAAGTGGCCTCGTACAGCATGGGGCCGATTGAAAAGTCGAGGTCGCTTATGGGAGAGTCCTAGTGCACCAGCGTCGCTAAACGATTGTAGAAATTGCAAACGTAGAAACACGGAAGTCAAGTTTTGGATTCAAGGATTTCAGAGACCTGGTCGCTTGGCTTTGGCGTTATCCATGACCAGCGAAGAGTTGCGACCGCTGATCCGCTCCTCTTTGCGCACTAGCATCGAAGGTCTATTGAGAGACATTTGGGGTAAACTTTGGGAATTGTTAAAGGCTTGCGCTGCCTGCACGGGCACTTCCACACCCTCCTCGCAGCTGGCGCTTCTCCACCACCAGAGAAGTTTTAGCACAGCCCCCACTTTTTATCAGCCAAGCACCAAAGCCGGGACTAATCGGATTCGGACCCTTGGCCCTGAAAAGAAGGGCTCTCTCACCCGTGAGCCCCAGCTTGCAATGCGACTTGGTGATGCCAATGACTTTTCGGAACATCTGGGCGGGCACCACGTGGACCTGCGAGGAAGCGCCACGTCAGCCTTCGTCGGTGATCTGATCTAGGTAGGATGGCGAACACCGAGTCCGCCATCTCCTATTGCAGCACAACGTCTAGGCAGAAAGTGACGCTTGCCGTTCTTCAAGAGGCCCGAACGTGTGGCATAAGCTTCGAGAGGTGACAAAAAATAGAGTGCCAATTCTGTCCCCCCACTAACTGAGAACAAGGGAACGTACCAAGTGAAACAGGCCAAAGCGGAGCTGTCAAGTAAGAGAAAGTAAGCGGAGGTTCTCTGGCATTCTCTCGGTGTGAACTGGCACCAGGAGCGGGTGTGAACGCGCACCTCGTCCATAAGCAGGAGCCCCCACTCCCGGCTCTTAATCTGGTTGATGATCTCCTCCGACTCCTCGGAGCGCCGTCCGCCGAACGCGACCATGTTGTACGTGGTTACGCAAACCGAGGCTTGGTTAGGCCGGAACCGCTCCTTGTTCTCGGACGTGAAGCGCGTGATCTGCTCGTCCTTGACGGTTGACCACAGCTTGAACTGATACGCCCACTGGTCGACCGACACGCTGCGGTAAGATAAAAGGTTCCATCAATTACTCAGAATCAACGACTCATTTCGACCATTTCTAGATCTTGGATAAAATCCAGGCGCCCCCTCTGGTTGACGAACACGTTGCGAAGACCACATGATCTCAGCAGGATTAGAACGGACACCTGGTTAGTTGCTTTTCCAGGCGTCTACCTTTGAAAGAATCAACTGTCTACATGGAATCCATCGGATCAGACGAGACGTGGGCCACGTGACCAAGTTGCGAAAACTTGGGGAACAGAGGCACGAAGTAAACTTTAATTGGCTCTTCCTAAAGAAATTGTGTTGGTCTGTCGAATTCCGCCCGACAGTCGGGACGTCTACTGGTCTCGTCAAAATATCACCAAAGCCTATAGCCAACAGCACAACTTGACATCCGCCCTTAACCTTCGAAGCCTCCAATAGGAATCAATGTCAGATTGCTTACGAGCTGGTGCAGAGGCAGAGGATGCTCTTCTTCACTCGGCACGACGCTGACACCCCCACCAACGACTTGCCGGCACCGCACGGCAGCACAATGATTCCCGACCGCGCACGGCCTGCAGAGAATATTGCATAATGAGCTAGGAGATGGCCTCGACGTCATTTAGGGCTGGTTATGACATCCGTCGAGACTGAGGTGTCTAACCGGACGGGGTTCGAAACAAGTACTTCTCACTTCAGAGAAGTATGTATCTTCTTCATACAAGATTCCTATGGGCAGTCAACATGCGCAGAAGGATGAAGCGCTGTAAATCCATGACTTTTGGCCATAAGGGAAAAGCGGACCTTAGAATCTGAAGGGGAGAATTAGAAAGAAAGACAGAGCTTACCGTTGCCGAACATCTTGCTCAGACTCTTCTCCTGGTACGGTCGGATTTGGGTCATGGGCTTCAGCTCGATGTTCAAATCTGGATTTACCTGCAGCGTTTGAGAAAGCTTAGTCAAACGGACGGAACGCAAACCAGGCGACATCGCCGAACGACTGCGAAACAGAAAGGATACACCGTAGAGCATGGGGGTTATCTTCAAAAAATGAAAATAAAGTGACCAGGCCCGTTTTAACCAGCCTAACCAGGAAAAACAAGAAGCCCAACGATAGAGAAACGAAGGCAACACAACCACGTATCGTGTCGGTTCCAAAAGTCGTAACCTTCATGCATAGGGTTTCAGAAGGAAACCCTTGCAGAAAGAAAGAAGTCCGCCAGGCAAAAAGCTTCGTGGAGAGGATAACAAGACCCACGGACCGGAACGGTGCTCTTCGGGCTTGGGGTTCCAAAAGAGCGAGGATGTAAGCAAGCCAGATCTAAGCGGCCTTGCAAAAGGGAAAGAAGCCCACCAAAGAAGCCTTCTGGCGGGCTTCTCACTATCTGCAATGAAGCAAAAAGCGAAAAGAAAACAACAAGAGCCGCGTACCGTGTCATTCCGGAAGTCCAACTCTTCGAGCATGGGAGCAGATACCTAAGCATGATACAAAAAGCCTTGCAGAAAGGAAACCTGCCCACCAAAAGAGGAGGCAAGAGGGGGGCTACACCCGAGATTGAAAGCAGCCAATTTCAAAAACTTGAAATCAACACCCGCGCACCGTGTCCTTCCGGAAGTCGTAGTCCTCGAGCATGAGTCCTCTTTTTGAGCAGACCATATTCGGAAGCCAAATTGAATCAGCCGAGTAAGGAAAGCAAAAACCACCAGAGAGAAACAGATCAGGATGACAAAATATTTAGACAACAAGATGCGCGCACCTTGTCGTTGCGAAAGTCGCACTCTTCGACCATGAGTTTCCTTTTTGAGCACAACATATTCGGACGCCTCATTGAACCAGCTGAGCAAAAGAGGGAAAAAACCATCAGGAAGAACCAGATACAGAATGACCGGCAGCCAAGCAAACAGTGCAAAGGCCACAAACACAGATAAAGAATGACAACAAGACCGAGACAACAAGATCCGCGCACCGTGTCGTTGCGAAAGTCGTACTCTTCGAGCATGGGGTAGCAGAGATCCCCCGGCTGTAGGCATCGCTGCTTGACGTGCTCCACCTGTTCTGGGTCGATCTCGAACGAGTGCAGGTCTTTTTCTAGCGCTTCCGCGCCTGGCTCGGGTTCGCCTTCCGCGAGGAGGTCCTTCTCCATCTCGCGCGCGGCGGCCTCTTCCGGGGCGCGGCTGATCGTGAAATCGTCCTGTCGGGAACAAGATGTGATACCAACTTCACATTCACGTACGATATGCTGAATAAGGTGACTGCGAAGGGACGGGTGAGGTTGGTTGAAGGTCTAGGCTGGGTAAGGGTGCGGACCATGTCAACTTCAAATTTGCGGTTCGATCTGTGATGCCCGGAAAACACAGTAAGAGGCCAGAGTAAACGCAGAAGCGACACTTAGGACCAAGGGGCAGGACTTCCATGGGTGTGTCATGGCCTTTCTAATGCTGCTCCAGTCTCGATCATGGAAGACTATGTGAGGGTTCCTTTTCCGAACGCGAATATCTGCGGTACGAAAAGGAAAGCTTTTTGGACTTCTCCAACAAGCCTTCGTGAACTTGGGCTTGCTTCTTGATCCTGCGGTTTCAACCAAGAACAAAGGGCAGTGCCTACTGATCTGCTAGCATTTTTGTGATTAAATCAAAAGAGAGCGCGGCCGGATGAGCACAATCCACAAAGTTCTACAAATAGTATCTTCTCGAGCACGTAGTCGTGCAACCATGCACCCGTTCAATTGCTGGTACACTTTACAACTCAGATACGAGGAGTCTGAGCGCCCCAAGATGCTGATATGGCGCTCCATCTCGCAAAACCATCCCGCAAACAGTTTGCCTTCCAGCATGATTTGAAGCCAGCTGTAGCCCCTGCTGCCATCGCGGCCAGGAGAAGCTCACCCTCGAAAGCCTGGCGCGCGAGATGACGTCATCCTGGAGCAGCTTGCGAAGAATGGAAGGAGAGGAGGACTCGACGAAGAAGCGATTGCGCTGCAGAACCAGCTTGACCTTGCCGTAGTTGAGCGTCGAGTCGCGGATGAAGCGCGCAATCTCTTCGGGGAGTCGGGTCTGAGGGGAGGGGGGATCGTTTGTTTCCAGATCGCTTAAACTTGTTCGAGCAGTTTAGTCAGAGGTTCAAGCCTTGTAAAGTCAGGGAGGACCGTAACAACACTACGAATAAGCGCAACCGAAGAAAGGATACAATTCGATCTCTGACCCTCTGGACTTCCGCTATTGCTGTATTCTTCGGACGTCATGACGAGCTTCAAATTCTTCAAGAAAGAAGTGCTCGGATTTTCCATCCAGCCGCGCCTGAAGAAAGGACAGGGAGATGGAATCTCCCATTTCGATACATGGCATGTTAAGTGCTTCTGCAAACGGCACAGACGACCTGAAATGACATGTATCCTTTGGAAACCGCAAGCTCGCAGATCGCACCCGGTCACCTCCATCTGCGAGCTCTCAAGCGAAAGCGGATATCCAGTATGAGAACTTCCAACTGTACAGCTGTTGCTTTGGCCCTACCTTGGACAGGCGTTCAAGGACGGAGATGATCGTCTCGGTCTCCAAGCCCACAGAGACAGCGGCGTAAAGGGAGTGGGGAGTCAGGTTATACTCGTGAACGCACTCTGGCCTGCAAACCACAAGCTAAAAGGTTAGTTGACATAACTCGGCCCCAAACCCCCACTTACGGACACTCGCTGCAGCTGCAAGCCAACGTTCAAACACCGGAAAGGAGGAACACAGCTCCCCTTCTGCTCTCCGGACGACGCAGTCTTCTGACGAGATGGGAGAGGGTACCGCAAGGACACGGACAGGAACTTGCGGACCGGAAACGCTTGTCAAAATGCAGTGCCCAGCGCACTGCTTAAGTACGGTCTCTAGAAAACCAAGGACCACAAACAGCGGGAAGACTACGTAAAGTGACCAGCATCCGATCATTGACAGGCGCCAACTCGTGCTCAGGACGGAAACAAATGTCCAAATAAACGTCAAAGCTTACAACAAGCCAGACGAAACAGAAAAAGAAAAAGGTTCGTGACTGTGTCTGTGTCGTTGTCACGTTGTAGGCTAGTCCAAAAACCTTACGGGTAAGGAAAGGTTTCCAGACTGGTGGAACAAGTTCCGTGCCTAAAACATGCACGCTTTGTGCCTCTAAGTCGTCTCCGTCAAGACGCAACTCTGTGATTAAAAGGTGTCGCTGCAACCTGAGTGACGAAGTCATACCTGCACACCGGCTCAGCGATGGCGATGAGGAAGTCGTAGGCCTGCTTGTAGATAGGGGAGTAAGTCTCAAGGAAGATGCGCCCGTCCGTGCAGATCCAGAGGGGCCGGTTCACATGGTCGGGCTTCAGCTCCAGCTTGGAAAAGTCCCGATCATTGAACGTGCCTGCACAAAGTGCATCTTTCCATGTTGGATGTCGTTCAATTCCATGTCGTCGTGTCTTTTCCCGTTCAACCTTTATTTTCGGAACGCTGTTTCCTGTTTCCCTCATTCTGAGGAAAGGTCTTGTCGCTTTTTGTGCATGCATCTCCATCTTCGAAAACTCACGAAAAGGACAGAGTGGCACAAATAGGCCAACCAGCTAGAAAAGGATAGAGGCTCAAGCAATACGCGAGGGAGAATCATGAATGTTGTAAGCTTTCAATGCGCACCTTGCTCTTCCAAAGGTTCTTCTTCGTCCAGATAATCATCTTCTGGCTCTGATGGCATCTCCTCATCGAGCTCAACGGGATCTGTCACCTCTTCTGCTGCCTGCAACCAAGGTGATTAAGTGCTTATCTACTGATGGGCAATCCTTTCTTCGCATAAAGCATTATTGACTTGGCTTTTGATCCTCCAATTCTTGTTGATTAGCATGTAACCGGACGATATAATGCAACTGAGAAAGACTATTCCTTTCCAGCATGGAAAGCTTTTAGTTCTTCGGTTCCATGGAATTCAGTCAACATGAAACACAAGCTGCAGGTCCTTAGCAAAGTATTGAGATCTTGACGCCATCTTGATCCCAGCTTTTCTGCCGAGACAGCATCAGAAGGACTTTATGATGTTGTGAGTGGTGTTGAGAGTGTGGAGGTTTGTTCGAGTCTGTTGATCATAAAAAGATCGGTGCTAATTTGGGACCCTCACCTTGCCCGTGCCTTTCTTTGCCTTCTTGCCTTTGGCAGAGGCCCCTGCCGCGGCCCCTGAAGTCAGACACGGCAAAAAAGTAATCAGAATCTCTCACACCCATTTAGGCAAGTGGGGCACATGTATCCAGACTTATGATGACAGCTGTCAGGTGAAGCGAGTGGCAGACTTTTTCAGCCCAGCAGCATCGAGCGCCATCAAAGTTCTGAAGATCAGCAACGGGGCCATAGTCATCATTGTGTACCCATTCAATCTCTCTTCTGATCCCACTTTGCTCCCACTTTGCAAGCATGTCCTAAAAAGGGGGACCCAATCTCCATTTCATGACGTCAAGCAGACTCCTCACACTCGCGTTTTTCGAAAGAAACAAACCATTTTGCAAAGCGTGAACCATAGCTCAATATCGAAGCTCACGCGTATTGCACGCAAGTCTGTAGGACTTGGAGGAATCGAATCTCAGTCCTGCAATTTTCCTGCAACACCCTGGACTGATTGAGGAGCTATCAACCAATGAAACCAAAGTTGGCCAGTGTCACACACATGTAGCAGATGGCGTATGGGACAAAAGTAGAACAGCCAGAACCAGAATGCTGTGAGCAATTGATGACACCGGAAAAAGACAGCATTCATGGGAGTTCTCGCGCTGCGACGCACCCGCCTCCCCGGCTGCCTTTCTTTTCGAGGACATGGATGCGATGGGCCGCCTGGCTGGTCGCAGTACTCTTTCTACACGGCAGGCGCCCTCTCAATAGTAAGACCCTCCAACGGCGTTGAGCTACTTGGCTTTCGCGTTACAGGTCCCTAAAGTTCGAAGGCAACAATAAAGGCCAAAGCCTAAGGTCAAGCGCCCTCACACAGAGAAAGCCTCGAATCTCTGGAGAAGAGTTCCAACTCACGTTCATGATGCAGACAAGGGTGCTCCTTGAACTTGAAGGTGAGTCTTACCTTGCGTGCGCATATCCAACTAGTATTCGCTGCTGCTAAGTGTGCACGCCCGCCGGCGCCGGCAGAAGTGACGTTACGAAGTTGCCGTTGTACAGCACAGGCTCTAGACAGTTCCTGATTCTGGAATATACCAACTGGTAATACTTTTACCTGCCTGTCACAAGGTTTAGAATTGAGCGTCAGGTACCAAGTTTGAGGTAACGGTGTTTTTGGCGCCAAAGCCTAGGAATCGGATGATCATCTTCAATTCCAAAAGTGAGTTCAAGTTGGAGAAGGGCTTCAAGGCCCACCACAAGACTCATTTGGCCCAAGGTTGTACGACAGCACATTTTCTCTACGGCCCGAGGCTTTGTGGAACGGCGAGGGATGCGGTTCACTAATACTAATAGCGAGTTGCGCATCTCTCCTACATGATGCTGGGAGATTGAGCTTGTTGATTAGGCATGGAGCCTAAAGTCTGGGACGGGGAGAGGAAGGCAGGCCTCATCAAGGCGAAATTTGATGAGCTGTAAGGGCCTAATGCAGTGTCTCACTACGCTTGTTCACAAATGGAAAAAAGCAGCGCACCTGCTGGCAATGCTTCCTGAATCAATTGAGGCTTACTTGGCGCACTTTGATTTTTGCAACTTTAGCATCTTGTTGAAACTCGGTACATGGTGACAAAAGCAGGCTCCTTTTGAGGTCCAAAAATCACATCAACTATAAAAGTTCTGGAAGCTCCAAGCCAATTCCTTGCGGCCAATTGACGATAGCTCTCTTTATGTTGTTCCCAGTTGTTGCGATGCTGGCTTTGAAAAGTTCAACGTGGCGTTTGGTTTTCTGGAAGCTGCAAAACCACGAGGAAAATTTGCAGACTTTGTATGGAGAAATTCTCTAGATTGCTCCGTCGGATATTCCAAGACTGGACTCGATGAAGTTACCTGTTCTTTACCTCTACCCACATTTTCTCGTCATGTGCACGCAGGTATTTGAAGCACTTCCAGAACCAGTCCGGTGTCCTCTCCTTCCCGCCCCAAGCTAGCCCTATCCATCTTCACCATACTTCCCCCCCTGCTGCGCCCAAAAACCAACCAGCAAAGCCTTCCCCAAACCCCCAAACCTTTGCCCCGCCAGTCAACCCGGATTTCCCAGAGGGAACTTCTCAGGCACGTTCAGAGGGCTTTTCCCAGCCTGCACTTGCGCCGGTGACCTTCACCGGGGGGCGTGGAGCTGGTTCCAGGGGTTGGCCGCTAGAGAAAGACCAGGGGAAAGCGCTGCGGTGCCCCCCACGAAACAATTCTGATGAGGACCTGCGGAGTCTCGACAATGCGGGGAGAAGCAGGCCGTCTGAACAGAGGGCCTTGTCTGGTCTTTCGGGCGGGGGGCAAGAGAAGGGCTGTGTGAGGGGTTTGACAAAGGATGTCGATGGTACTTGGCAGACGGACTGCAAGGAAGAGGGGCCTTCCGAAGAGAAAGTTGACACGAGGTGGGGCGGGAAAGCATGTTTGGATTGGCTTGGTTCGCAAAGTCAAGAGGATTTGCCTCAGCCCGACTCTGAACAGCCGGTCAGGGTCGTCAGTGCACTTCCGGAGGGTGCTCTTCCCAGGCTAAGTTGGGCGCAACTCCCGGACGGGGCCACCGTAATCGTGGTCAGCCCTAACCTAGTCACTAGCTTTGAGGGGTGTCCGGCGAAGCAGAATGTAGTGAGCCCTAACCTGGTTGCTAGCCCGAATCTCGACTCTGGGGACTGGAACGGGAGTCAGGCTCTGCTGCCAGTCTCACCAGAACGGCTCACAATAGGCGATGGGGGCAGGCGCCACATGGCAGATGGGCGGAGTTCGGAGGGGGCGCACTCTGGCTTATCTGGGGAACTAGGTACAGGGCCGAAAAGGGAGTTCGAAGCAGGGGAGGTGATCCAAGGGGGCTCAAAACGGCTGCGGAAGGGCAGGGGGGAGGCACCAATTTGCGGTGCAGAAACTGGGTGCGCTGATGAGGGGCCTGCTGCTGCCAAGTCGGAGGGAGATCTGTATGCAGGGACTCAGAAACAAGATTGGAAGAAAGCGCAAGGAACGAAAGGCGGCCTTAATGGGAAGCATGCAGGGGGTGAGAACAAAGCCAAGGGCCGGGGCGGGCAAACGGCCGGGGATCGCAAGCCGCAGGAGATGCGACTTCAAGAGTCTCGGAAGAAGCAAGGGGTAGGTCGGGAGAAATGTAAATGCAAGGGTGGGGTCGAGACCAAAGCGAAGAATTCCCGGACTGCGAGGGAGCTGATGAGGCTTGCGGATATGGAGTCCAAACCAGGGACAAAAGGGGAAGGAATTTTCGGGGTCAAGAGGCGGCGGGTTTGCAGTCTGGCCGCGCTGACTCAAAGCAGCGGCGATGCCGCTGTTGTTGATGTGGGGGCCCATCCTTCCAAGAAGCTCAAACTTCTTTCCGGCGGTAGCTCACTCCGAAGCCTCGGTGTCACGCCGCCGCTGCTTCCGATGCAAAAGGCGCTCCGTGCTGGCAAAGCCCCAGCCGCAGTGCAGCGTCCCGGTTCCAACTCACTTGCAGCCAAATGCGGGCTCCCTCGTCCGCAGCAGCAGGATATCCATCACAAGCAGTGCGAACCATCAGCTGAACCTACTGCACGATTGGTGGTCAAATCGGGTGCCGCCCCTAGCAACCCGAAGAGTTTCGCAGGAAACGGGGTCTGCGAACCTAGTGTGTCGAACCTCATGCGGCAGCACGAGGCGGGTCTAGCCGGGAAGCGGCGAAGCGAAGCGTTGGAAGCGCTGGCGGCAGCCGCCCGAGAGCCCATGTGCAGCATCTGCTACACGGAGTACGATGCGCGGCGGTGCTACCTGGCCTGCGACGTCTGTGACCGGTGAGCGTTTTCCCGTCCTTAATTATGGCCGGGGGCACCGTCTTCTTGTCAATCTGTATAAAGACCGCTCCTCTCATTCCGGGTGGCCGTTTTCCGCCCTCGAAGGCTCGGCTCCATTATGGACTTGGTGACGAACGGACGACGTTCGGAGGGTGCAGAAAGTCTGTTGCTGTATTTGCCCCTCTTTTGGAGCGGATGTGCTGACCAAGTACTGCGCTTGTTTTCGACAGTCCCAGCTTCAGTACCTGCTCCGGTTTGTTCGCACCGGTTTGCGTCCAAGGTGTATCTTGTCTGACATACATGTACGATCCAAGTTCGTGGGAAGCTTTGATGTTTGCAAAACGCCCTGCGAAGGCATTTTAAGTCGTCTCTTGCGGTCAGACGGTGGTCAGAAGATTGTGTACCTCATTCCTTTCTTATTGTGATTATTGGAAGCAAAAACCTTCTGCACTCAGTTCTGAATGTTGCTTCAGGTAAGGTCTGGTTTTCCAAGCATCGTTCTTTAGTTGCGCGTGAATCCAGGCTCCAATTCTACTGCCAAGTTCCCCCGGCCGTCTGCGTTCTTAGCACAGAGAAGGCTGACTTGGTTAGGTGCCACTGTCAAGAGCATTGGACTTTTTGGTGTCCTTCTTCAGGTCCAAGCTCACAGGATCTTGCTTGTCTCTTCGTAAGGAACCAACTCAAGAACTTCCAGTAAACACAGGACAGTAATCATCTGCGAAGTTGGTAGTCTCATTGAGCCCCTCTCTTCTACAGATGGTACCACGCGGAGTCGTTCGGGGTCTCTCCAGAAGCCGCCGTGGCCCTCATGAAGTTCAAGTGTCCGACGTGCATGCGGCGGGGCCGACCGTCCGGCTGTCCGATACCGGATCCATCCGCCGCGCTCGCGGCACCGCTCAAAATCCGCCCCAAACTTCACCAAAAGGCGCGCATAGCATATGCCGCGAGCAGAGGTGTGGTTCCGGGGGCCCAGAGAGCAGGCTTGGGGGAAGTCTCCGAGGAGGCGCAGGTCGAGAAGCGGGACCAGCGTTTGGTGTCCAAGGACATCGTCAAAAGCGATGGGACTGGCACGCGAAACCGGTTCATAGCGTCGGCAGTAGTGACGGAGAGCGGACAGAGTACAAAGCAGTGTAAGATTGGGGCGCCCAGCGACAGTGGAAGGGGCGCAAAAGCGAAGATTCTGGAGAGTTGCGAAACGGCGGTAGAGGTTATCGGGGCTCCCCCTGCAAAGAAGCGCCCGCCGCTGCGTCTGGTCGGGGGGACTCACCCAGCAAATCTTAGAAATGGAGTTCTAACGAGCAATCGGGAGCTGGCTCCCGGGGGACTCGCGGGATGTCCGCTGGAGGAGAGGTCGAGCGGGCGGCCTTTGACAACGGCGACCAGAGCTGAAAACAGCGCCTCCGAGGCGCAAGGGGCCAGCGAGTGCGCTGCGCTGTTAGCGCAGCCGTTGACTGACTCAGCGTGTTTGCCGCACTCTGCGCAAGCGACGGCGGTCGGGAGAGCCAGAGGCAGTCCACCGTCGAAGAAGAAAGCTTCCGCTTCTGAAGTGATCAATAGGGTTCCGGTGGCCGGAACGCCGAACGGCGCCGAAGCGCTGGGAAGCTCTTGCAGCGCGGAGCAGGAGACGGGCCGGTATAGAGGGGAGTCGACGGCCGGCGGAAAAGCACGGATACGGGAGGGAGGGGAAACGGAAAACGGAACGCGGAAACGGATCCAGCCTACGAAGCTTGGGCCCGTTTCTCAGCCTTCGGCGATCGGTGTACCCAAGGCGACTGAGGCGCGGCGTTCAGAAGCACCGGTGCTTTCAGAAGGCCCTGCTGTGCCTCGATCGGCTGAGCGCAGCCGAGACATACCTCCTGCCCAATCCGCACCTCCCCATGTACAGGGCCCCCAAGGAAACCTTCGAGAGAGTCATGCTGCTACTGGGTTTCCCGGAGGCCCTGTTTTGCCGAGCGTGGGTCGGTACAGCTGGGAAGCTCAATACTACCGGGCTGCAGACGAGGCCTCCCGAGGGGGGCCGGTTCTGCCGGACCGTATTCACACTGGGGCGCCTCGGGGGCAGAGCGCTCGGTGGTCGATTGACTTGAGCAAGGTCCAGGAGGTGGACGGGAGGAAGGTGAGAATGGGGACGGAGGAGGTTGACGGAGTGCAGCAGCTGAGCTGAGGCGAGGGTGTTCACACCTAGGGGGGAAGAAGCGGAATTCGGGGGTAATGGTGTGAACAGGGATGTTTGGACTGGCGGAGGATTGAGCTGCGGGGATGAAACGGGGTATTCACATTGGTGAGGAAGAGGCAGAATCGGAAAGTGCTGGGGGATCGGCGGTTGCGGGACGAGGTCGAGCGGACGGGGTGTTCCAGACTGGGCGGCGGGAAAAGGTCGGAGATAAGGTGAGGATGTGATCTCTGGTGTTCGATCGAAGCGGATGTGCAAAGATATTGCGCAGGGTGCATGGTCTGTCGAACCTTACTTTGGCACGCTTGCCTTGACATGCCAGTGGCATATGCGTGTCATATCGAGCGGTACTCTTCGTTCGACTCTGCTCCGCATCGCCTTTGACGACAGCACAGCACAGAAAATTCGTTGGTCCATAAATCTTCAACTATAGACTGGTTCGTACTTCTTTAAAGTGTCATGTTAGTGCGCCCCGTTGCAAAACAGTCCCATCATCTGCGGAACTCGAAGGACAGCCGATGACTCCGCTGCTGATTCGTGTCCCCTTCATTTTTTACACTTGTTTGGTTGTATATGCTTACAGACGATCAGTGCTGATCCGTGACACAGGCTTCACTTAATTCCGTGCGGTCAACGGGGCAGCTCACCCGTGAAACCCGCATTTGCAGGTGGCCCGTCGAGGATACAACTGAAGGCCAGTATGCAGAAGAAAGTGCAGCAAACTGAGTTGGCCGTCACATACTTTCTATTGTGAAAAGCTGGTCGTATTGCAACGTCGATCAGCTGTTGCTATGACGATAAAGTGGTGGCCGCCTTGCAATGTTCTCTTTGTGTCGTTCGTCCCATGATGGCCACGTTGGTGCATATCTTGCAAAAACAGTACGGGATGTTTCCGCAACGGTACGGTGCCTCTTCTTTCAACCTAGATATGCAAGCATACGCCATCTCGTGGTAAGATGTGCGATGCCAGCGGTTCTTTTCGATCGACAGCGCATGCACCGTTGCGAGAAACGTTCCACGTGAATGTTATCAACAACATGTCTTTCACCCCAGCAGCTCGAAGTACTATTGACTATATGCAGTTATAGTCGCTTGGTGAGTCCGTCCGTATATGGTACGCGTAGCTGTACTAGATCAACTCATCATTATATGAACTACCTAGGCTAAGTAGCTACATGATCCATATATGCAGCCGGCCCCTAGTTCTGCGCATACTAAAAGTATAGTTTGTATCACGAATCGAGTCAACTTGTCACAGTGCTAGCTATCCAATCCCAAGAGTGCGGCGCGTGTGGACCGGAGTACGTATACCCGAGTGCATGTGAGCCAAACCGACCGGGGCCTGCAATTGTTCACAGTAGAATGGCAGTGACCATTCAATTGTCCCGGCCTGCAGTCCAGATTTCATGATTGCCAACCTCAGAGATAAAGTAAGCGCATGAGTAGCTCCTAATTGAATATTCACAGAGTGCAATGCGGCCGCGTTGCTGGTCATTGCTTGTTAAATTTGGATAATCTGCTCCAGCGGCAGGACGCTCAAAAGTTTATCGACTCGGCCGATATACGCGATGCACAAAAGGTATCATCTAGAGCTGGCTATAAACGATTCTTCAGTATCTTATCAGCAGGCTGTCCTTCGGACCAATGAACATTTCCTAATTCAAAAGTCCATGAGCCATTCCTGACTCGGTTCTAATGAACCTTAACTTTAGTTTATGTCAATCCCTTGTGTCTATGATGAGCGTGCTCGCTTTGAATCAAGGTCTAATCAATATCGGGAATGGGTTCAACCTTCTCCACCGACCCAGTCCGAGACTCTTTCCGCCAAGCCCTCCTCTGGATCTGTTCCACGAGCGACCCACCCTTCTTGCTCTCTTTCTCCTTCCACGTCTTCTCATACTTCCCCACACTCGTATCCTGGTAATACAGAAAAGGCACTAGCAGCATGATCCCGACGAACATGGGAATCGACCCAAAGAGCCACAGCATGAGCGTGAAGGCCAAGTAAAAGCCCCGAGTCCCGAAGGTGTACCAATTAGCCCCCAGCACCAATCCCGCCACTACGTACTCTGGAGTGATGTCGCCAGTCTCTGCGTCCATAGGGATGTTGATCAAGAAGCCGACCTGAGAAAAGACCACTTTGGCTTTGTCAACATATGTCGTTGCTCCAGTTCTTCCGAGTAACATCAGGCAGAGCGACTGTTTCCAGTGCAACGGAGGCACCCATGGCCACAAACACCGTGTAGCTACTGCTTTCTTCTCTGATGACTCTGGTGTTCAGAGCGAACAGGTCCACACCAGTCAAAACATGGAATCAGAATCGCTTTAATAAGTTCCGGTCAGGCAGCTTTGCTAATGAACCGGACTCCGGACAAACGCTGGCTGGTGCGTAAGCTGTGATTTCAAAGTGTTGGGGATGACTGCGAGACTGAGATCACCGGCGAAGCGAACAAGCTGTGCTATTTAAAGCATTAATGCGTTTGTAGAACTTCTTCTGTTACATGATGTTCTTGCAGTGCCATAGACACATACTGCTGAAGACGACAGCAAAGTTGCCAATGCCGCCGCTCCCTTTCAAAAATTGACAATTCAGAAAGTAACATTGATTTAATTGCTTGCTCTCAATGAAACGCTCGACTCACATGGTTGAGATAGCGTATGCTCTGGATGTGGCACATGAAAGCCCCCACGAACGCGATGAAGATGAGCACGAACTTGGCCCACAGCACGTTGAAGTTCTTGGACCCCAGGACGACGGGCGCGAATGCGCTGATGTCTTTTGTGGTCACGATTGTGGCGATTGCTGAGCTCAGCACGATGGCGGTGGTGGCAAACAAGGAGGAGGCCATGACCGAGTTCCGTAGGGTCTGGACTGCCAGGATGTTCTTCTTGTCCTGGGTACAGGAACGACGAATTTCAGGGGGGTTCCAAAACCACAAGGTGACTGGGTCCTTGAAGATTGCAAAGAAGGTCTCCATAGAGGCAGCTTCTAACTTATGCCAATCCCTGAACGGGACTTACTCGATCAGAATTGACTGAGAAGGCAGGAACGACAGCAGGGGTGGCGTCTTTCACAAGGGGTTGATCATTATAAAACTGGTGCACCGCAGGAAAGCTGGACATTAAGCGGAGCAAGCTATATAAGAAGAAAAAAGAAAGTGCTCTCCTCCTGGGTGTCTCAATGTCCAGTTGTTGGATCCGAGAGGAGCTTGACAGATTGCGATGGCAATGTTCAACTTCATGGGGCTTGTTTTGGAAGCACTTGATAAGATTGTTGTTGGAGCTGAGCATGCTGCTTCTTTCTCATACGTAGACCCAAGATGTGAGGAACTTGAATTCACTGCTCCTCATATTCAAAAGCAACAAAGTTTCGTGTCTATAGAGCTCACTTGATCAGCCAAGATGGCCCGCACCCACGCTCGCTTTGCCAGATGATTGACCCCAATCACTGTCTTCAGAGGGTCTTTCTTTATCCGGTAGTACAACCAGAGATGGTATAGTGCAAAGAGGATCATACTGAAAGGTACAAGTGTAAGGTCGAGGATACCATGCGACGAAATGAGCGAGGAACCCATCGATGCACTAGGTTTGATATGATGCTTCCTCTGAAATGCTGTGCAAAAATGTCCTGAGCAGAGGATGTGTGCATACAAAGATCCGGGGGCACTGCACTCTGCAAGTATAATGAGAAGAGCTGCCTACACGTTGTGACTTCCACCAGCTTCGAAAACAGATTGCAGCTCTCTGCTAGCGTCCAGCTAGCGCATCACATAAGCGATATCAATCGGTGCAAAGTGCGTGCCCATTGCGAAGCTCGTGCCTGTAATTCTAAAATGAAACCCTTTGCAAGGCCTCGCCTCAAAGTAGCCTGCGCGTGCAGCTAGAAATCACCAGATGTGATTAGCACAAGAACAGGAGTGGAAATTCTACAGATTGCCTGCGCCTTGCAATCTCCTTGAAATTTCGCAGCTGGGTGCTGCCCACTTCTGTAGCACTTCTGGCTGCCAGTGCAGCCGCAGCCTATCCTATCCTAGCTCAGGCTGCGCTTGAACAAGAAAGGCCACATGGCCCGAGTCTGGAGGGTTCCCTTCATTTAACCCAATTTTGAACTCCGTGGTCAAAAAGCGTCAAGTTTGACGGCGCAAGCCCACGGTCGCCCGCGCCAGCCAAAAGAAACACTGAGCGTGTGCTCTTGAAGGATAGAAACGGCTGCCGCTTCCAAGGTTCCCGGTAGTAAGTCTGGCAGCATGATCTGACCTTCCACAAACCAGCTTTCTTAGTCTGCAAGGTGGAGCTCTGCTTGTCAGGAATGATGCTGGGGCAGTGGGGGAGTTGGACTTGTGTCACTAAGTTCGCTTGCATTCTGGTGCAGCAGTTGAAGAGCTCTCCCTCTGTAAAGTTGGCCGTTTGATACTTAGTTGTATCGTTCTTCAAAGCTTTCTTCAGTGCAGTTTTCTTCAATTGCCAACGCTGTGAAGTCAGATTGCGTAGGTTATACATGCCATTGACCCTGAGGCCATCAAAAATCTACAGAAAATGGCGGCAGCTTTTGCAGTCAGCCTTGGCTTCGGGTTCTGCTCAGGTGTCGCGTTCATTGCAGGCCTCAGCTACTTCCAGAAGAAGCGGGCCAAGCAGCGTATGAACAGAGTAGGTTCCCGGACCAGGACACATTGTGCAGTTTCCTTGAGAGTTATGTTGAGAATATCTTCTAGCTTGAAGCAACAAGTGGCTGACTCGTGCGAATCAGGATTTCAAGCGGTTGAGCAGCAATTTGCAAGTCAGTGGTTCGCTGGCCATCAGTAGAACAAAAGCATCCTTGTAGAGAGTGAGGGTACCTTGAATTCAATTCAAGGGCGCTGGACCTTTAGTGGGCCAACGATTTGTGAAATATACATTCCTGTTCCTGTATGAAATTGGGTTCCCTTGTGAATATTGTTCACAGGCATCAGTTTGTAGTGCATAACAAATGCAAGGATGGAGTGAGTATTCTAATCAAGTGCCTGAACACGGTCCTTTGCAGGCTGTAGCAATTGCGGCGCTCAATCTTTTAGATCAGGACGACATCAAGAAGCTGATGAAGACAGACCTCATTCCGCAATGGGTGCAATTTCCTGAAATGGAGCGGGTGAGCGTTTTCCCTTGGAAGAAAGCAAGCAAACAGTCTTGTATATCAGTGGGTGGGTCGTGTATAGTGTAACTTGCTCATTGTTTGCGAAGCACAATTTCCAGACAAGGCAGCTGCAAACTGCCTTCTTGACTGGCAGGTCCAAGCCTTCAAAACTGCCATGGGACATCAAGTGTAAAACGCAAGCCTGAGCGAGAGTCTCAAGCCTTTACCTGCGCAGGTTCACTGGCTGAACAAGGAGCTCCGTGAGATCTGGCCTTATGTGAACAAGGTGCGGCATCCACTATCCAGAAAAGCTTTGCTATGCTTGCCCTTCAAGATGGTGGAACGATTGCTGGTGTTTGAGAGTAGGATTGCGCTTAGATGTTCAATGTTGTGGGAGTTCGTTTATCTGATTGACATAGTCGTTGGTTCACCTGCTTTAGACTTACATTGTCAAACTCATGCCCCACACAGAGCAAGTGGAATCCGACTTCAGTGAGGAACAGAATTATCTCTTGATTGGAGAAGACAATGGAAGGGAGGGGTCCTTCATTCTCATACGGCGTCTTCTCATGAGCTAGGACTCGCCCGGGGTTGTCAAACCACTGGCCACCATCTGCCAAGTTGGCAGACCCGTTAACCACAGAGTTTCTTACAGGTCAAATGGTGATGTTCATTGCAGGCCGCTTCTGCCATCATCAAGGAACAAGTGGAGCCCATTCTGAAACAGTATAAGCCCCCAGTCTTTCTGTCAATCAAGTTCAACAAGGTGAGAAAGGATTGTCTATGGTGCCCAGACTTCCTGAAGAGCCCCGGTCTGGCTGCATTCGTCCTCAGGCTTTTACGCCATGTACTGGACAAGAACAGAACAGCGCGCACCACGTTATGCACCTACTCAAATGTGCTCAGGGGTTTGTCCGAGTTTCGATTATCAGTCCATACATGCTCATGTCACTGACATAGTTGTGTCTCGACTCGCGCAGCTCACGCTGGGAACCATCGCTCCACAAATAGCAGGTACGTATCTTGATGCTATCAGGTATCGGCCAGTCACCCTTCTGTACCTGTTATTAATTTTCAGTTGCGAACTAGTCATAGGAGTGTCCAGAGGAATGATGTCCACTTCAATGTGAGGCAACACCAAACAGAAGGCTAGAACAAAATGTTTGACGTTTGCAGTCCTCAGTCGCCCACGTTCTCTTGAAAGCAATTCAAGTGTTCTTGAGCCACGATGTTACTTGTCCATGGAGAATTTGTTGGTGAAGCTGAGACGAACGGAGCTGAAATCATCTTATGCTGCCACGATCAAATTTCGCAGGACCACGATCTTTCTGAATATGTTATGAATGCTCCAGAAGCATTACACAGTTACTTCCGAGCAACTCAGCATTCCATGGTAACGTAGTCTACCATAGTTCGTCTCCACTCAGCAGCAGACTGACTTGATCTACCTTGATGTTCTTCTTCACTGGATCCGGCAGGATGCTGGGAAGAAGCTGTCGGGTAAATAACTCAAGCGGCAGACAGTACACACGCCTAAAAGGTGGCACACGGCTGACTGCAGGTGTGAAGGTGGTCGAGACCGACGAGGAGGAGATCATTTTGGAGGTGGACGTCAAGTGGGGCGGCAACCCGAGCATCATCCTGGGGATGACAACAATCGTGGGCCTTCCGCTGCAAGTGCAAGTGAGCGATCGAGAAAGCACCTTTCAATCACCACAGAGGGGCAGACGCTTGGTTGGCCTGACCCCGGCACTCCGTTGGCATGCCGCTCGTTGAATGATTGATCCTGGCTTTTGAAACGAAGCATTTTGTCGGGCAACGGCTGGATTTCGTGCAGGGGTCTGACCATATGTCGCTCTCAGGCCTTCTTCGTTTCGAACATGAAACGCAGGAGGAAGTAGGAAACCAGTCGTGGCGAAAGTAAGCTGGGATTGCGAGCAGGGTGCATCACTGCGCAAAACCGCACTTTCCGTCCTATCTGGCCGCCTTGACAAAACGTGAACCGCCCGATGACTATGGACGAAACCTTAAGAAGGAACCGCTTGAAGTGTCGACCTTGTAAATGTTACCAAAACGGTCCTTCGAATGTCCGCTAAGTTGTTAAGCGTAACACCTGAGATGCAGAGTACGAGGACAGAACAGGTAGCGCAGGGAAGGATCGGCGGTCCAATAATCCCAGATTTGAGGCACCCTACCTTACTTTCATCCTCAAAAGCAAGCAATTTTGCCGACAGGAGGATGCGGGTTGTTACTTCTCACAAACTGACCCTTACAAAAGAATCTTTCTAAAGACAGTTTCCTGAACCACGGAGAATCTCAAACAGTCTTCGTCTTGATGCAAACGTGTTTCTGGGGATCCGCAGGTCAAGGACGTCCAATTCTTTGGGCTTTTCCGGCTCCGGTTCCGGCCACTGGTGGGGCAGTTCCCGTGCTTTGGAGCGCTTACGATCGCGTTGCGGAACAAGGTGAGCACACGGCGCCTTGTGCCGGGCACTTCCTGCTGTGCCGTCGTGAGTCAACCCGCTTCCTCCGGCTTTGCGGCATACTGAAGAATGACAGACACGGCACAAACTTCGCATGAGTCGAAGAGCTGACGTCGAAGTTTCAAATCTGGTTCGAACTCGCAAATTTTCGAAGCCGCAGTATTCTTTGGGCAACAAACGTCTTGCTTGGATGTGGTCCTTGGAAGGTTTGGGCCCCACAAAGACTTTCACCTTTTTGTTATGTTGTGGTCCCAGGCGAGACCAGCATTCGGCATAGTCAACAGTCTGTAATACTGAAATTCCACTTGTAGAGAAATCGTTCGCACCCTTGTATTTGAACCAGTTGAAGGTTTGTACCAAAGCCACGGGTGGGGCCAAACTCAGAATTCCTCTTCTAAGCTGCTATTGCAAAGATAATCTTCATGTTCGCCGGTGTGCAGCCAAGCATGGACTTTCGATTGAAGATCATCGGTGGGGAGCTGCCCGGTATTCACGGCATCGTCGACGTGAGCCATCAGGATGCTCATCCCATCTAGAATCTGACAGAAGCATCGCGTTTGCTTTTGGAATGCTAAGATTTTCCTCAAAGAATCGTCTCCAATCTTTGCCGGCGTTTCCGTGACCGGGCCGATCGTGCAGTCCAATCACTTACCAGGCTGCTTCTCTAGGCCTCTTGTCGGGAGCACTGTAACGCTTTGGTAGAAAGTCTTCTTTATTCTGGGGGGATCAGATTCTGCACCGTTATACGACTTAGTCCATTAAATTCCTGTTTATGTGCAGAATTTGCTAAGAACGGCTGTCGTGGACTCACTCCTCTGGCCGAGCCGCATCGTCGTGCCCATCTTAGAAGGAGACTACAAGTGAGCATCGCGGCTCTTGGCTTGCTTCTCTCCTTTCCTCCCTTTTCTGTTTTCCTTTTTCCCTGCTTTCCTTGCTTTCCTGTCATCTCCTTTCAAAAACGGTGCCAAAATTCTGAAGCGACGGTGTTGAGGGACATAGTTGAGTGATCTTGCTCAACGAACTAGATTGCACACAAACCCGCTCCTCTCACGAGCAGCAAATGAAGGAAGAACACTAAGTCTTGTCTTCAGCATAAGGCTGATCTCCAGACGCATGCAAGTAAAAGTGCATATGTTGAGATACCTTCGTTTGCTTCAGCGGAACAGTTGGTCTTTGAAACAAGCCTTTTCAGCTCAACATCCCTCGTAAAGAGAATGTCCGATTTCGACTTCGACTTCGAATTCACTTCGATTTGAGTTGACACCGGGCCTTCAACTTGTCAACTCCCGTTCGTCCTAAGGTTCTAAGAAGACTTTCAGCGGTTTTTTTCCTTCCTCTCCTCTGTTTCCTGTACCCCCTTGCCTCGCCCTTGCTATACGTTTTGGCTAAGAAAACCCTGATTCAGTCTTTGAAATTGGGCGTACATCATATGCGGACGGCTTCACCCAATCGTGAAGGCGGAAGATTAACATCACTACTACCCTCCGATAGCTTCAACTTGGTGTTTTGTACCGGCCAGTGGAGAATTACGAGCTTTACGCCCAATCGAACAAACAGCTCAGGACAACTCCAGGTATTTAATCATGGTCAGGCTAAAAATAATCAATTGCCATTTCTCTTGCTCAGGGATCTGGAGTTGCGCCCGACGGGCACCCTGGACGTGAAGCTCGTCGAGGCGCGCAACCTGAAGAACACGGACTTCATCGGCAAGTCGGATCCGTTCGCGATCCTGTTCGTCCGTCCAATCCCGAGCAAGATGGAGAAGAGCAAGGTCATTTCAAACAACTTGAACCCCATCTGGAACGAGTCGTTCAAGCTCGTCGTGGAAGACCCCGCCACGCAACGACTCATGATCAAGGTGCGCGCGCGAATATGAATATTTCTTTCGTTATAGTCGGTCGATTTCAGGAAGGCGCCACCCAGTGCCGCTCGATCAAGGTGTGCGCACCCTTTGCAGCGTTTCCCAACAGAGGTAATCAGAAGCAGATCAAGTCTGTGATGGGATTAAACATTCGCAAACGAGGCCTCCTATGATGCGCTCCATGGAATCTCTTCAAGGCTGGTTGTCATCGGCACGTGAAGCTGGGCCGACGTTCCCGTTTTGCTTGTTCTTGCGGCCTGGTCAATATTCCCACAGACAAACCCGGAGATATGGCTGCTGATATTTTGGGCGCACTTGAGCTTGTCGTTCGAGCACGTTCAAGTTTGAAGCAGCGTCCGAAAAGATTCTTGTCAAACCTGCCCGAACCCGCGCAGGTTTTGGACAAGGAGGCCCTGGAAAAGGCGGAGCCGTTGGGCGAGTTGTCGCTGAAGCTATCAGACTTGGAACCAGGAAAGCTGTTAGACGTCTGGCTGCCGCTCGTGGAGGACATGGACAACCCGAGGGCGGGGAACGCGCAGGGCGAGGTGAGCCTGAATCCGTCCACGTCAAATTACAAGCAGACTCTTGGGAGTGTCTAAAGGAATACACAAAGGACCCTCTGAAAGGTCTGAAGGTGATTACAAACGGTCGCCATTCAAGTGGGACGGCGCAGTTATTTATGTTCCGTGTTTCTTTTGCGGATCTCCATAAATGGTCAGATAGTATGGCGTTGTGTCTCCTTCCCATCCGGTCTCTTGCGACTTTAAGACGGTCACGTGGTTGCCATGCTGGCAGTGTTAGCTGAGCTGCCAGAGCACGACACGGACGTCGAGAGTTTGCAAGTATGTTACTCTGATTTGAGCAAAACTGTTCAGAACCGGAACGCTGCAATGCGCTCTGTGCGGAGCATACCTGTCCATTGCATCAATCAAAATTCGTAACGTTTGTTTCCTCGAGCCCCGTAGGAAGGTGCCGAGTCTGGTCAACCCTGTGATGCTTGCGAGCGGCTCTACCAAAACGCACGAGTGCCTTGACAGGACTTATCTTACACGGACGGTACATGCCGCGACAGGGTGCCCCGATATTCCAGAGGCCATGTTCACACTTCCTCGCCATTGCTGCGTAACTGCTCGCAGTCGGGTCGGTTGACCACCAAAATATGAGGTGAAGTGTTCGGTCCTGCATCGTATCACCCCCACCTTGGGGCTCCAGATCTGCAAAGCGATGACGATATGAGCTCCAGCGTCGCTCCCTCCATCGATCGTACTCCTGAAGTGGCAGGGTGAGGAAAGCACGCTGACGTCACCCGCAGGTCCACCTGGAGGTGATGTACCGGCCGCACCCGCCCGACGGCGGCGCCCCGTCGACGTCCGACATTGCGGGGGACCTCAACATGCGCGACGGCCTCGATGCGCGCGCAGTCGATGGGCGCTCGCTGAGCCACATGCCGTCGATTGTGCGCGGAGTGCTGACGGTGACGGTGCGGAAAGCGGAGGAACTGCGCGCGGCGGACATGGGCGGCACGAGCGACCCGTTCGTGCGGGTGTTCATGCGCAACGGAGACATGAAGAAGAAGACCAAGGTGAGCTTCGGAGAGGTTTGGCTTTGAGTTGAGGCTCGATATACTTTTGAAGGGCGTGCTCATGCGCAACAGAGACATAAATGAGAAGACCAGGGTGGGAGGTTTGGAAATTAGGGGCTTGGTTTGCTTTGTAAGTTCGTGTTCATGCGCAACATAGTATTTGGACGTAGGTACGCCAGAACGGCCCATACTTGCGAATCCTTCTCACCCTATCAGAGACTGCTTTTGACGTCATTTCAGGGAAGCTTTCACACTGCCAGAAATCACCCTCGTTGAGAGCAGTCAGCTCAAATACATTCTATGACGCGAAAGAAGGATAAGATTCAGGATGGTTCTGGTTCACATTCAGAGCGAGATCTCGGGCACTTCAGGAGCGAACGTCAAATCAAATGTTCAGCAAGCTCTTGATGCAAACGAGCGGTCTGTTTGTTTCCAGGTGATCCCGAAGACGTTGAACCCCGTTTGGGACCAGACGTTTGAGTTCTTGGTGGAGGACGCAGCCCGGGATATGTTGCAACTAGAAGTGTGGGACCACGACACCTTCGGAAAGGTCAGCGGTCAAGCCGATAAACCCTGGCATCATGCAAGCCCCTTCGCCTTTTTAATGTTTGTTGGACCTTTATGCTTTGCCGAGGGAGGCATGGTGCAATGCACCGTTCTTTGGGATGCGGGATCCATTCCTGTTTCGCCTCGAAGCGTTTGCATGTCAAAGCATGGAGCTCCAATGAGCCGTTCCTGCCTTCCATAAAGTCTTCGCTACCACAGACGGAGCCTGACTCACTGATATTCTGGTCTGTTCAGGACTTCTTGGGGAGGGTTTCTATCACACTGACACGAGTTATGAAAGAAGGGGAGTACGAAGACGTTTTCAAGCTTTCTGAGGTAGACACGGGCAAACTCCACGTGAATCTGAAATGGAAACAGGTGGGACCGACCGGAAAAGTTTGAGAAAAGGGCTACTAGTCAAGACATGTATATACGAGAGATTAGACAAGAAAGGCTACTGCCCTTGCCTGCGCCAATATCAAGCAAGCCTGAGGCCAATAAGGCATGAATCTGCGATGCTCGACATTATGCGGATTAAGATCGTGGTTGACGCATGCATATGGCAGTCATCATTGCCGAATGATATCCGGCCATTTATGTACGGGTATTCAGCTTATGAGGTCATCATACACGCGCGCCATGCGCATGCACTGAGCACGTCTTGCGCGCAAACGAGCTATAGCTGCCATGCAGCACTGCTTGTACAGGCAATTCAAGCTGTATACCGCGGCAACAGCTCGTGTGCACGTACATGGTGCGGCCGAATGCCACACGGCACACTGACGTATCAGGCAACATTTGCACTTCCGACGCTTGAAAATCGAGTCCCATGATTCGCGGTAGTACAGAAAAAAGAAACACGCGCACATGCTCTATGTGACGTATATTCGCCTTGGAAGCCGGCCCAGATTTTGTATATACCAAAGGAGTGACAGGGACGATCCTAGGCTAGTGAGCGTTTGGACATCATCATGGGCATCTTTGACAGCTCGATCTGTCGATCTCGCTGAGTGTGCTTATACTTTGACGGTCCGAGCACAATGTTGTTTGAAGGGAACTTTACTTAGTTACCTGTTGTGCAGCTACTACCATGAGCGTATGTACATTCTAGGTACCTTGCTTGCCGTGGGGTCACTGCCTTGTCTTACACGAGCTGCTTCACACTGCCAACTCTTCTGAGTAGAAGTGACACTACGAGCAAAATCAATCCGTTCAAACGCAAAGGACGTAACATACAATCTGCAGGATGGGGACGGGCTATGAAACAGCGGCTATCGAACAAAGTGTACACCTGGCCCGTCGACTTCAAAGATTCAGTACCCGCCCTGGATGTAGTCGTTGAGCCGCTTGACCTCCTCGCGATGCTCGTCGACAACCGCGCGGACAACGTCACCAATGGAGATCATGGCGTGCATCTTGTGGTCATCCACGACGGGAATGTGACGGATCCGATGCTCTGAAAGCAACGAGATGCAATCGCTTGAGACTGAAGTAAGCACTTTTTTGTCGAACTTCTTGCCAGGTTGACACCAATTTGAATAAAACCTCGATTCTGATTGAGGACCAGGCGATGACGAATGCTCCTTGATGGAGTTTGCTACAGATAGGCCGACTTGAAAAGGTTGAGCATTCAAATCTGACGTCCTAAGTAAGACGTGTATAGTACGTGGGCAACCGAACTTATGATTAAAGTAGGCCAGTCCTGTTTCGAGTGAGCATCGATACAGCGATAGGACCCTGGTTCAACTGGATGATTGTGATCACTCCTAGTTATCACTAAACCTTCGCTGCATTGATTATTCAAAAGGTCCGTCCTACGCACCCCAACATAATGCCATGTGCCGACCATTATAATCATGTACATATGCAGGGCCAGCCAGGAAACCGTACAACTGATGTGCTTTTCCCCATCCGCATCATCTCAGTCAGCAATAGAAATAGATGCAGTGTTGCAAAAATTTTTCAGTGAATGTTAAAGAGTCTCTTAGCCAAGCGAGTCCAGAATTGTGGGTAGATTTCCCCTGGATCGGACAACTATCTACGACAGTTGGAGAAGATAAAAGGGGAAATCTGGGTTTTGGGCGCACCTGTCATGAGCTGCATTGCCTGGAGCACCTGGGTGTCCGGAGTGACCGTTACAAGCTTTGCCTGTAGAAAGGAGGAGTCTTTGTGAGAACCCTTTAAATGCGAGTTTGCATTAAATGCGAGTTTGCAAAAGAAAGGCTGAAGAGCGTCCAGTTGCAAGGAGTGTACCTTTTGTGAAACCACTACTTGCACTTTGGAATGGCGCAAAAGGGTCACTAACCGTGGGCGAAAGACGAGAAGAGAGGCTAGACAAGCTGAAAGTTCTGAGCAGCGCGTATCGTTCGCCACATCCAGATTACGGTGTCTTGAGAAATATAGAACGGGAATTGGTGCTTTCATTAAGACTAGAAATATTGGAGCAAGTGAGGAAACGTCAGCCACAGGCTGCTTTTGAATGTAGGAGCTCAGATATACAGGGAGAGCCCCAACCACTGCTTACTTCCTCAAATGCAGTGCTGCTCGACTCTTAAGGGCGTCAGTTCTCAACAAGCATCATTTCTTAAAGAAGCAACTCTCAGTACAGTGCTGAATTGCGGTATGGAACAAGATCAAAGAAGAGCAGAAGCTTGAGAACACTTCACAAGTTTCACTCCTGTGATCAGCCCTGGTCTTCTAGAGCAAGCGCTACAAAAGCTTGGGCCAATACTTGTCATGTCAAAATCAGTGCCATTGTAAGGAAGCAGGTCAAAGTTCACTTCTTGCTCTCATTGCATATAAGTCACTATAATAACGAAGTCACTATTTCTTGATCGATCACACTTGGATCAGCACACAATGCAGGCTTCAGAGCTTGAAATGAAAAACCTCACCTCAACCGTCATGATGTCCCCGACCTTCGTCTCTTTGGAGGTTCTGTTCTCTATGGCAACCTTTCGAAGGTAATCTGTCAGGAATGAAGTGGTGGCTTAAACATCGACAAGCAAGGCTGCGAATCTGACAAGAGCCTCCATAATCTCAGGAAAAGCAACAACTAATTCAGCAAATAAAGTTCGCATGATACTTGAGTACAGTGTGTAGTTTGCAAATTGCCGACGGGCGGGCTTTGGGGATGAACGTAAATGGTGCCAAGGGAAGGCAGACATCATCCAGAGTGGTTTAGGGTTCTTGTAGATAGTTTGGCGGCCAAGCGAGAATCAACAATCAGAAAAGACTCCTTTTTGCATCTTGGCAATCCAGGCTCAGTCTGTGAAAGGACTCATTCTGTGCCATCAGCAAAAAGGCTTCCAAACCACACCAAGACAGTCTTCCTGTCGTTTTGTAAGAGGAGCGCGCACCTCTTTCAGTGATGATCCCAGCAATCCCGTCCTTGCCCGACTTCATGACCACCAGCGCACCGACATTGTGCTGAGTCATCTGCATTTGATAGACAAATTTTGCTCAATCGCCAACATGGCTGCTTTTGTGCGCAAGGGATCATACAAAACAATTGAAAGGGCGACTGCTATCCAGTACAAGCAGTTCTCCTTGCATAAATCTTTGTCTTTCAGAAGCAGCTGTCCAAGAACCACGACTCCCAATTTCAGCGGCAGAGCAGATTGGAAATATTTTGGTTTGAAATTCCACAAAACAATGACTGGAATTTAGCAATCCTATCAAAGATTATGTGCGCTTGTTTGGAGAAAAGTCCTCTACAAAAAGAACACTGTTGTTACAGAAATGAATGAACAGAGCTATTAATCAACTTACACGCTTTGCGAAGAAGATGATTCTAATGCAAAAAACAAAAAATGACAAACTTCCATGCAGTCCAATGCACGAACCTGCCTCACAGCATCGTAGACGGTGTCATCAGTCTGGCACCAGAGGAAGGAGCCCCGCTCCTTTTCCCCCTTCTTGTTCCTCAGAATGTCTGCAATCGTTGACCTTTCCAGGTGCGCATCATGCTCGTCTGTGTCCTCAGCCTCTGCTGCCGCACTCTTTGCGTTCCCCCTCACTTGCAACCTGCTCATGCAAGACACCTGGCCAGCCCGAAGGGTCTGCAGGAGCGAACCCCTCAGGTCCAAGGCCCCCCGCTGCAACACCTTAGAGACGCTCTGCATCGTGGCCAGGGTTTTGAGAAGGGGGGGATGCAGAGCTCCTAGTGAAGAGCCAACTTTTGATTAAGAGTAACCAGAAAGTACTCGATTCTCCAAACCTCCTTGCAACGCAAAATCTATTATATGAGCAGCCGATGAGGTGCGGCGATTTAAGCTAGTGCCTCGCCCCGTCCTTCCCCAAACCAATGAAAAACTGAACCAATTGAGCAGAGCAGAGGCGAACACGAGCAGCCGTGGTCCCGTAAGATGGTTCTTGGGCGCTCAATGACACGAAAGTTGATAAATGTAGGAATGCAGCAGGAGCTCCGAGTCATGCAGGAAGAAGCTGGCCTGCATTGCTGAAAACAGACGCGTGCACAGCTTGAGTGTGAGCAGACTGCAGTCTGCAAAACCAAAGTTGAGTTGGAACCCATGTGGGCCGTAGCAGGTACCGTAGTTCGCCACATCCGTTCCTCTCCGGCAAATCAAGCATACGAGGCTACTTCAGGTATATAAGCTCCGCGACATTACCTATCATAACGAAACTGCCGAGATGAATTTCCTCTTATCACTTGTGCCACCCTGTTCTCGTTGATCACTCAGCAGATAATACCAAAACGTTCAGGAAAATAGAGTACATACGATGAAACATAAAGATACTCTATCCGAGGAGGACGTCTGACAGAAGAAGCCCGTGTGCCAAGTCAGCAAGCAGTATGAGCGGTCCGATGAGACGTTTGTGCGTTTGGCTGCCGTCGATGAAAAAAGACTTCGAAGTTCCACACAAGCATCATGATTGCGAAGTCCGGGCTCCGTCAATGCTGCTTGAAGCTGGCATGCATGACGGCCTAAGGGCTATTTCGTAGATACAGTTTCACACAAAGCACTCTTCGGATGAATATGATGCACTGATATTACCAACACGGTTCGATTGATCGGTGGATCTCATTCGGCATTCCCAGTCAAGTACTCGTGCTTCGATGTTTGCAAGACAGCGCGCTGTGATGTGACTACAGTTAGGAAACGGTGTAATAAGTTTTCCCTGTCACCCACCTTGATAGTCGAAACGTTAAGAGTTACTCGTTGGCAATCTTAGCGTGACAACCTGGCAAGTCATCATATCGTCCACAAAGCATTTCAACGACAAAGATAAGCTCTGAGGTGTGCCGTGCAGTGCTCAAGGGCCGGGGCAAGGGATGCGGATTTGCATGGCTCTAAATGTCGAGCGGATCATTCGGAGATTGTAGGACCATCCCGTCACCACTCTTATCTAGGATGCCCGTCCGCAGAATTGACAAGCTTTGTAAAGGATGCAATGATGGCCGATGTGTGGAGCCTTAGCCCATGCTGGAATAAGCACCCAAAAAGTCGGCTTTTCTCAATGCCGAAGTGTAATAAGAACGACAGATTTGTCAAGTGCAGTCGGCAATGAACGGCTTGATTGCATCAACAAACTCCGACACTTCGAGCCCTAGTTTCAGATCCACTTCTCCGGCCCCAAGCCAGAAGAACGGTGGCGACAAAGTCGTGATGGCGTCAGACAGGATGACCTGCAAATGTGAGGTGCGATACACATCACGTTAAGGTGGGAAGCTTGACAAAATGACGGCGCAACACGAGCCCGACAGATGTAGTAAAACTTCACGAAAAGTACAGAGTGCACCAGAAATGTAGAACGTCAGAGTCACACGCAACGAAACAGAAGTACCTAACATCATCAAATGGCAGCCGTCAGGATAGACTACTGACTCTCAGCATCTTAAAGCTTCTGTTCCGTAGACGAGCCGGCTGAGAAGTCGAAGTTGGTGAGTCAACTTCTCAGCCGGCTGAATGTTGGAGGAACTTCAGAAGCCCTCGTTGCGACTTCCAGGAACTAAGGCGCTTACCGGAATGTCGGTCCTCATGCCAAACGGAGTGACGCTGTTGTGCGTGTAGCCGGTCAACTCGTCGGACACTTCAGATGGCGCAAGCCGCACTGCAGTGAAGGCGTATTGAAGGCGGCTGAGTGACTGTCCAAAAAGAATACAAACGAAGGCAACAACAAAAAACATTCGTAGAAGAAGCAGAGTAGAGTGGCAAGGACTGAAACTACGATAGAAAAGGCTCAGACGACTTCTTGGACGAAGAAGGCATTGAACGACCTCGATTGTGCTTGATAACGGAAGCCATGAAAGGTCTCGCTTTGAGGAAGTGAGGAAGCTGTTGGGACATAGCAAGCTTCATGGGCAAGCACAGAATCCGCTCTCTGTTGCCGGTGTGGTGCGACTCACTGTTGATCCGCTTTTTGGGAAGCTTGCCCTCGTTCAGACCATAAACGAAGTTCTTTAGTTTCTCTGTGTTCAGCTTCGCAACATACTGCACAACGAACGTCGACGGGTGTGATCAGTCCGGCAGTTGATGCCTGCAAATCGAGCATTGAGCGAACCTCATTTCCTCAAAACAACTCAAGGCGGTCAAAAAGCATCAAGATCAGGTGCGGGGTAGTCCATTCGCCCAGGCAGAAAGCCATACCTCAGGATAGAACGACAAGAAACAAGGAGCCAGATTAGGCCCGTGAGTACAAGCAAAAACTGATTCTGAAACAGCCAAATCTAGATAAGGCACAATGGATTCCAACCAAGGTCAAGGGGCAGCTAGGTTAACTAGATGCGGGAGGAGTGGGATGGAAGGTGGCGTACCTGGACGACCACGACATAATACTTGGAGTTCCTCGGATTGCTGCAGTTGACAACATCGGCGGGCGCCTGCGTATTCGTCTGCAACAGCACATGCAGGCGACAGTGAGCCAGCAAAGTCAATGACTTCATTTTTAGAAAACGGGATCAGCAGTTGGCCAACTCTGTCGAGTTCACGGGCCCCTCTTCGAGAGAGGCTTGGAAAGGCTGGCCTGAATGAAGAACCGAGAGGGCGCCTGCATATTTTCATGAATTACAGTAAACGGCGGTTCACAAAATGGGAGTCATAGCTTTTCCGTGTACTCTGGGTGAAGAATGGTAGGATCACTTATTGATTGAGAGCCTTGAGTGTGCCAAGCAGGTAGTCAACTCTGCCAAGTTCGGAACACAGCGCGAACAGGCTAACCAGCTTGAGAGTAAGGATCACTGTCCAGGGGGGCGGTTTCCACTCTAGGGGGACGGCTGGTAGTGCAGGCAAATAAGGGGTGGGGGGGAGAAGGGGGGGGGAAAAGAAGAAAACAACTTCTGGCAGGATCGAACCCCATCGAATTGGGGAGTGTTTGAATGCTTCCTTCCAGGATGGAGCTCCTACCTTGCTAATCATTGCAAAGACGACTCTCCAGAAAAGATCCAGCACGATGGCGACTCACCATGACTATGCTCTTGCACAGGTGGTCAACCGAAGGCGCCCCCAGCAGGTCTCGCCGCTCCTCGAGGCTCCTCTCATAGTAGTCTTCTGGAACAGCCTTGAATCGCACGGTTTGACAACCCAGCGATCGGCAGATCTTTTCCAACCTCTGTCGCGTGGTGCATGACGTTTCACCCTCCTCCGCATTTGTATGAGCGCTCAGCCCATCGGGCTTTGCTGCAGCACCATTTGATTCACTGCCTTTGTCTACTGGAAGCGCAATCTTTGGTGCTTCGCTTTGTAGACCGTTTGCCCCTGTCTCCGACCTTGTAAACTGCTCCGAGATATCCCGCTTAGTTTGTGCTTCGTCCTGCGATGTCCCAGCGTGATCTGGCCGCTCAATTGTGCTGACAGCAGCCAAGTCCACATGCCTGCCAACTGAGTCTCGAAGATCAGGCGGACTTTTCTGCCGAGAGGCTGCTTCCGCATCCTGCGTACCTTTTGCAGCATTTTCCCTCATGGTTGAAGCTTCTGCACAAAAAGAGCCTGGCCGTCTAAGCTCCTTCATGATTAGCTCAAGGTCGGCAATGCGGTCCAATATCCGCGTCTGCCTCTCTGCCAGCCTCCGCAATGCTGGGCCATCGGCCGGGACATTTGAACCGTCTGATTGGGCCATGCTCATTGCAGCCTCTCCTCTTCTTGTCTGCCGCACCACCCGCCTCTGCAGTCTGCCACCAGCTTTTAGATGTAAAAGAAGCTCCAGAGCGGCTCCAGAAGTAGAGTAGGTAGGACCTAGGTACCTAAGGCTATCGCTGTCGCTTCGTTTGCTCCTAGAACTTGAAGGCCAGCGCCTGCATATTTAATGAGTGAGTAATTTAAGATCATAGGAAGGACCAAATTGCAGAAGATAGACGTAAATTTGTTTTACATTCTGCTGAAAGCCACTGGATCTAGCTGATGTCGTATGACTCACCGAGACGGCTTCTGGCGCCCCTGGCAACAGTCGACGAACCTGAGACAGGTGAGTGGTAAAGGTGGCTTCCGAGGGAACGGCAAGTTATAAGTATGCCCTTTCTAAAATGCGCAATTAGAAATTTCAAACATTAGAAATTTGAAATTTGAAATGCGCAATTTTGCAATTCTAAATTTGCGCCATCTTCAACTATGGTCCAACTGATCAGCCCCTGGACGTCAGGATCTTGTGAGCTCCACCAGTGGCGCAAGGAAAAGGCCCCCTCGAATCAACAGCAGCTTCTCAGATCTTTCATCAAGGGGACATCAGATGCAAGGAAGCTCTAATCTTACAGCGCTGGTGTGCCAGTCCCACAGACTCCCTCTTACGAGCTGCGTGTGGCTTGATATTCATCTCTGGAAACGTTGGCGGTTTTCTCAACAGCATCATACTACGCGCTTCCTAGACTTGAGGCGCGTCGAGAATCCTGCTTGGACTTTGTAGAGGCTCAGGGGTGCTGAGCAGAGCAAAGAGTGTTTCGCCACTGCCATGAGTCATGCAGACATGATCACCCCATTTTCGGCCAGTGTCGGGCGAAACTGCCTGCACTGGGCCCTGACCAACACCCAAAGTGCGCTGCGCGCGGCCACCCTGAATGTGCCTGCCCTACAACCCACTCCGCTTCTCAAGAGAAGCTTGCAAACGACTCCATGTGCCACAATCGCCAGCATAAGCGAGCAGTGTCCCTCTCGGGGGGGCTTCCAAAGCTTGGGGCGTGATGATTTGCAGCATAGCAGTCTCCCAAGGCTGCGGGGAATTCACTCGCAGCCTTACTGGGGGAAATCAGTGTTTCTCTCCCCCGCTTCTAGTTCTTCCAGCCTCTTCTCCCCCACCCCCCAATGCCACGGTGGCACAGCAGCAGCCCATGCGAGCGGTCGCAACTCGCAACCATCGACACAGAGTCGGTGTTCCTCATCTGACTCAGCGAGCACTTCTTCAAGATCTGCAGACGAGAGTGTTGAGCCCCCCAGCGAAAGCGGGGTGCGTGTTGCGGTGGGCTCCATCCACCTGATCATGGGGCCCATGTTTGCGGGCAAAACGACTGCGCTGCTCGCGCGAATGCAGGATGCAGTGTCGGCCGGAAAGTGAGTGAACATCCTCTCCTTGCCTCTGGCCTTCATACTCTTTGCTCGATCGTTCATATAAGACCTCTTTGTGCAGTCTTCCTTTCCACAAGATGTTTTCTGTAGGGTCATGTGTCCTGACGCCAAAGACTGGTTCACGGTAACCCGTCCTGAGCTCAGGCTAAGACACTTTCTGAATATGGCGTTGAGATCCCATTCGCAAAGCTGAGAAAATGTGCTGACAACCAAGTTCGTCCATTCACGCGCTCAACGGATGTCACTGGGAATTGCGGACGGTTCCTGGATCGTGCTTCAATTGGAGCACAGAATCCTAATCTGTTCATGTTTGGGTAAACGGCAACTTTCCTCAGGAGGCTGATCTTCTGGGTCAAAAGTGTCCACAGATCCATTTCTGTGAAGCCTACTTACCATTGTGAAGGTGCCATCTTCCCTTTAATCAAGTTGCACATTGCACCCAAGTCTCCTAATCCCCTTCTTGTTGACGCCTGTTTGTCCGGCCTGCACTCTCCCACCAAATCGAATTATCGATGTGGGAAAAACTGGGGTAAGAATCTTAAGAATATCAGCCGCATTTGTTTTTCCGCCTTCTGCAGAAAGATTGCGCTAGTGAAGTCGGGCATCGACGTGCGGTACGGTCTGACGGACGTTGTTTCGCATGACGGGACCCGTATGCCCTGCTTAGCGGTGAACACTCTGCAGGACTTTCGCACCACCATAGGGGATGCGGAGTATGACGAGGTCAGTTGTATGCAGCATCTGACTTGTTCTAATTATGAAAGAGCAATCTGAAGCAGGTTTAAGGTGTTCTGGGTGTCCACTTTGAATCTAGTGGAAGGATGGCAGATGACACTTTTGCAGTGCAAGTTTTCATCTATGTGGTCGATTGGAAGTCAAGGAAGAACACGTTTTGGGGGTCGAGGAAACACGAGAAACCGGCATGTTGGCAAAGCTCAACGTTACTTAGCTGTCTAGCAAACTTGCCGTTGAGATGAATGTTGCAATCGAAATTACATGTGAGGCACGCTGATCTTCCCAACGTCCTGCAGTTCCGTGAAGAGGACCCGAGAATTGAGTAATCAGTAAGGTTTCCTTCAAAAAGTACGAGTTTCGTCGAGTAGCACCAACAGTACTTTTCAAGGAACGACCCTCTTTTCCTAAAGCACGATATAGAATCTCATGCCGGTCTTGTTCGACAGCTGGAGGTCATTGGCATCGACGAAGCCCAGTTCTTTTCGGACCTGGACGCCTTCTGTCGGCAAGCAGCGGACAGAGACCACAAGGAGCTGGTGGTTGCTGGTCTCGACGGAGATTTTAAAAGGTGAGTCCTAATCTTGCTCTTGACGTCTTGGAAGCCTGACTTTAAAGGGTATAGGGTTTTGCACTTTCCCTCGAACCTTTCCGAGATCAGTAAAAGATCCCCGAGCGCCATGCACGGTGTCCTTCTTCGACGTAGTGTAATGACGCTTCAGGAACTTTGCAAAGGGCACCTATGGTAGCGAATTTTCTGGCCAAGTGGAGCGAACCGGCTACCTTGCAGATGGGGGAAAATTTAAATTCGGGCACCAATCTGTTGATTCAGTCCCATTCATTGACTGTTTGTAAATTCAGACTGATTCGAAGGAGGCTGCGATAGCCCTTTCGCGACCACGCGGTTTGCCTGCTTGATCGCAAACGTTGAACTTGTTTCTACTCAAAACCATTGCCTTCCTATCACGTACGAGCTTCACTGCGAGAAAGCAATACCATGCATTTGACTGCCGATTGCATCCTGAGAACTCCCGTCACCTAGGGAGCACCTCACTCTTCGAAGCTCGGTCTTTCGCTTCCCTTTTGACACCCGCCTTCGCATTGCAGGCGAAAGTTCGGACAGCTTTTGGACCTGGTCCCCACTGCGGACAGCATCGTGAAGCTGTCTGCGACTTGCGAGCTGTGCAAGCAGCCCGCGTCGTTCACGCTGCGCACCACGGAGGAGACGGAGACGCAGGTGGTGGGAGGCGCGGATAAGTATATGCCGGTATGTCGGAAGCACTGGGTAGAGGGTACGTACGCCATAAAAATGGCCCGGACTTTTCTGCGGCGGTCGAAGGTAGGAGAGCCTGCGCCAGCAGCAAAGTGAGGGCCATGGGGGCAAATGGGAGAGGATCGAGGTTTGCAGGTTGATGGGACCGGCCAAGCTTGATTCAAAGGGAACGATTGTCGAGACGTACCAACTTATTATATAAGTCATAAATCAAGTGCGACACTGTGTAGACGCACCGACGCGTCCTTTGCTTGTTCAGAATCTTTCTGATGTTTGATATGGCGGTCTCTTTGTATTACTCAATCAGGAAGGCCGTGGAATCTCATTCATCTCAGTGAGCACCAACCATTCTGAGTCCATGCTCAAGTATTAACACACGCAGTAGATTCAGTAGCATGATAGAACGTACACACAGAATTCTGCCAGATGTCGATCAGGAGGTCTCTGCTGCCCGTGGCCGCACGCCCCAGCTAATATGCAAGTAAACATGTCGACTACGGGACTCTCTGTCATGAGCTAATTCGATCCGCATGCCATCATGCATGTGATGCCGCTAGGCTGCCGACCCACTATCATGTGAGATATAGTGGGCGTCCCAAGACCACATGCAAATAAGCGGCCGCCTAAATCAAGGTTAAATAAGCAAGGATATATGGTGCACACAATTTTGTTACCCGCACGCGATCAAAGATATCGCTTCCTGATCGTATATGGGCCCGCCGCTGATCATCACTCTCGGCCATACACAGTGCAATGCATGACGACGGCCAGAGTATACCGGTCGCGTACGCATAGTGCCCCCCAGTCCAGAGGGCCTTCCTTCACATGAAGATCTCTGTAAGGGGTTTCGTCTTCAATTGGCAGCCTAAAGGACACTTGTAAGTGGGCCGCCTGCCTTTCGAAACCTCCCGAGCACGATTGCTGGCTAGGTAATCGTTTGCACAACTAAGGCAAGCCTTGGCGTGACCACAACCGAAAGAAGCTCTCCGTGTCGTCTCGCTCCATTGCTCGAAGCATATGTCACATCCGCTAGGCTCGTGGACCTGCAGAGGGTCACAAGAAAGATTGCTCGAGTGAGCGCATTGAGCGTATTGGGATCGCATGCCAGTTTCAAGCGCCCGTGACATCCAAAAATATCAGAAAAGAACAATCTTCTAGGCCGCTTTGGATGTGAAAATACCCCTTACGAAAAGATAATAGCTTCGAATGTCTGGCTTGAATTTCTGATGCAGCATTCCTTTGATAGTCTTACGACAAATGTTGCAGATTAGAGATGGTGAAAGTCTGGGGACTTGCGACCAGTGGACGAAAAGGGAACTTGAAGATTTCAAAAACCTCAGGCATGGTAGATGGAGAACGGCATCTTGTAACCAGCAGCAAACGTTCAGAATTTATGGAAAGCTCCTGTGTCCTCATTGGCGTGACGCCATACAACAGAAGGTGGCCACCAGAAGCGGTTATCTCAGCTACGTACCTTGACAATCTCGTCTTCTCTTTTTTGGCCAACGCAAGCTGGGTCTCCAGGGCCCGCACCTCTTCCTTCAAGGCGGCCATGTCTTTCGTTTTTTCTTCGAGTATGACTTTGTATGCTTCCAACTTCCTGCATGCAGAAAGACGAAGAACGTGACGAGGGTGCTTTTGCAAACTAAAAGGTTCATGTGCTTTTCGTTAAGGCAAGTTTCTAAAGGCGTTTAATCTATCCTTCACCCCTCCTCGAACCCTACAGTCCAGTGATGCTAGGCGTGTTTATGACTGCGTTTTCCTCTCGCTTGCGGCTATGCTCACATAGTTCTTTGGAAACATGCAGCGTCCCAGGTTTTGCGCGAATCGCCCGTGGCAGCAAACATGAAATATCGCAAAGATCTTACGAGCGCAACACATAGAGTTGAAGACATAAATGAAAGCATTGTGCACTTACGTAGTCAAGTCCTTATTGAGGGAGTGCTGATCATCCTGGTACTTTAGGAATCTCGCCTCCTTTTGTTGCAGCCTCCTCAAAAGATTCTCCGTCTCAGCATTGTCTGTCGTCTTCGACTCTTTTACCGCCCTATTCCAAGTCTCCGCTAGTTCTTCAGAGTGTAGCGCCTTCAAGCACCTGAGTTGCTCGAGAAACTGCATGATTACATGTGAAAATCAGGAAATCCAAGCTTATTGTATGACTACTACAAGGAGGAATAACCTACTTCGCTGGAAGAACCCTTGAGTTAGAGAAGGGTTAGGCTGGGGCTCGATGGCAACGGCAGATTGGCTGCTATGATGAAGTATTACATTATGTTAGGCTTCGACTTGTGTCTGACTGAGAACAGTTTATCGTGGGAGCCAGAACCACGTACTCTGCGTCAAGCGGTCACGGCGTTCGGATAACGCCTCTCACCTCGTCCTTCTCGGACGCTCCTTGCATTTCCTGGAGGCGCCGCTCTTGTTCTTCAATCTGCTCGACAGCCGTTGCTTTGCGGTTCACTTCCTTCTGGCTTGTTCCGGCGGTCACCACTTCAGGAAGAAGATGCTTCGAGGCTTTCCTTGTAGTTGCGGCTTCCGACTCGCCGCATCTTCGTTCCGCCTCTTTGACGCTTATAGCTACCCACCTCCGTGAACGTTTGCGACCGCGCGGAAACCTGCAAAAGTGAACATCACTTGTGCAAGATCCTATCAAAGCAAGGGGTGTGCGCTTTGGAATGTGCTCGTCGGCTCCATCTATCATCATTTCAGCTTAAGGTCACGCAGACCTTACAACCTTGTGGTCTCTTTCTACAGAAAACTGCACCCGTTTGGCTGGCCGTTCACAAACTTATCCTGCAACAAAATCACAGCGGTGATCGAGGTTGATTCTTGCCTTTCACCAAAACCAGAGAAAGGCGCTTTGAAGCTAGAGGCGAACCACTTTCAGTCAATCAGTCATTTCCTTCTCCTGTTCTCTAAGGAATGCGCTTGCAAAAGTGATTCTCAGGACCTCGATTCCGGATCTTGTGATGAGAAAAGCAGTCCAAAGCACATCCTCGAACAGTTTGGTGCTGAAAACAAACAGGGGAGGTGCCGTCAACAACAAGGAACTTTTACTGTCGGTAGAGACCCCGGTCTCGGAGGTCGTTTTCCCTAGTAGCAAGATAACAGAACAGCCGCCGACTTCCATTCTCCTCGACAAGGCCTTGCACGTGCTGCAGCCACGCGCTGAGCTCTTTCTCTACGTTCCGAGAACTGATTGGGAGTCCGCTCTTAATCAAAACCCGTCCCCATTCTCTTCGGCCTTGTCCCATTGCTTTGAAGTGAGCGTCCATTCCTTTGGCAGCGCTGATGCCTTCGCGGTTTCCTTTGATGACGAGGACGGCAGCGCCTGGAGAAGCAGAATAAGCGGTTCCCTTGGTTTCGAAACTTGGGACAAGGATCACGTCATAGTTGACAAGCAATGACAATGCGGAGTGATTGTGAACCCCCTTCAAACGTTGCTGTTTGTGCATATCATCAAGGGATCTAACAGAATCAAAGAAGACAAGAATCTTCCAGAGCACGGGTATCCAGAGAAGACTTCACTACCTCAAACAACTCTCTAAGCTGGTCCTGTATCAAACGAAAGATTCATATGTTCTCAGAGAAGCGAACACGTCCAATGATGGTGAACCAGCACCAAAAGTTTATTGGTCATGACCCGAAATGCGTCCTGAAACTTTGAAAATAATCTTGAAGACCCTTGGTAGGCTGCAAACGCTGTCACCCAACTCTACGCTTATCCATCTTCTTGTATCATTTTTCGAGTTCACGGACCAAGAAGTCCTCCACCTTGCAATCGTTTGAGAGCCACGAGCCATCAGTAGAAAAAATGAGAAGCTCACCCATGTGGCCGTCTTTTCGTGGATTGCTATACACGTTCTGGAAGTGCCATCGGTAGCCAAGTGTCTTCTGGAGGCTTTCTTCAGCGACCCCGGTCCACTTTCCATCGAGAACTCCAGTGCGCAGATTATGGACAACGACAGTAGGCGGCCAGATCACGGAATCAAACGGAGACCCAGGCCCACTGTCATCTTCCGGTGCCTGAGCGTTCACAGACGGAGGTGCTCCCTGCTTCGAATAGACCCCGGGCCTAACAGAGCTTGCTCCTGCCCCTTCTTCTGCCTCCCGATTATCGGAAAGCTGAACCTTGATCTCCTGCTGCCCTGTCTCTGACGATGCTTTCAACCTTTTTGCTCGCGGCTCCGCTAATACACTATCTCGCCTCCCTTTTTGAAACAGCTGCTTAGGGCTGTGTCCCTGCTCGAAGTCCTGTCCTGGACCATCTTTGCAACGTGACATCGGACGGGAACCGGAAGCACAGAAACTCATTTCGCGCTTGCTTCGAGCTCCCTCGACGCTGTCGCTAGTCCCACCCTTCCTAGTCGTTTCTCCTTTCATTGCTGGAAGCTCATTTGTACATCAGTTCTTTTAGCTTTTCTTCTATTTGAGCTTTCTCTGCAGACTGCACCTAATCCGGAGTGCTTTGTGAAGGACACAAGTCACTGCGGTGTATTTCCCTTCCAGATCCGTCGGGCGAAGCGAATCCGGTCCTATCGTCGCCATCAACAGAAAAAGCTCCACTGTCTGACCCCCCAGCACCGCAGACCAGGTTGCATTTGCACGGTCCGCCTTTCTCAGAACGAACCATAGGCCGAGCTCTGAAGGGGGGGATCACTGGCAGGGAACGTTGATTGGACGAAACTGCACCCGTGGATGTCAGAACGCTCGAACTCCCTGTCATGCCCGAATATGGAGACACCCTAGTCGAAGAATTGAAGCTTTGGGTGGGATGTGAATTCATCGCAGGGGTTGACTGCGGATGCAAGCAAAGAGTGGCAGGAGCGCAACCGAGAGAAACCAAATTTGGCGAGGCCCAGTTTGTCGTGGTCTGACTGCTCCATGGTGCCCAGGATATAGAGCTGGGCCGAGGAAGGGGCACAACTAAAAGGCCCTGTTGCGAGGGGTGCAGAAGGCGAGTATGCTGGAGTTTGTGCATGGGGGAAAGTCACAGCAGCTGTCTGGGACCTCCATTGCGGACCAGCAGGCAGATAGGGGTTCTGTTGCTGCCAGAGCGAAGGTGGCCCGCCGGTCATACCTAACGGCTCTGCGTAGCCGCTGCTTGGCTGCATGCTGGAGCGAAGTATGTACTAGGACAAGAAATAAAGTTCGCCTGGTCACTTATAAGTGACTGCGTCTCCCAGAATTGAAAGACCAGTGTGACGTAGTACGCTGTGGCAATCTGCGGTGCCAAAGCTCATGTTTTGATCCTGTCAATCGAAACGCGGAAAAGTCAGCTGTTTCGAGGCAAATCTCGAGCGCTTAGCGGAGAGGATTAAAACAGGGTGCGCAAAGCGAATCGAATAAGGGAGGAGCTCCCGCAAAAATTTGCGAAAGGCACACCAATCTTGCGAAGAGAGAGGCTGCCCAAGGAGCAAGACGAAAGCATTGTCGAGGTCTTCTCTTTGCATGCTGATGTCAAGACAAGCCGGACTGGATCGAACTTTTTGTTGGTGGGGCGTACAACAATTGTTGACCTTCTAATGTTGACGAAACTGGCTACTACCTACTGGCTGGCGTAAGCTGTCGCGGTCACGTGCGCGCAGGTTTCCCTGAAGCGGCCGCGCCGGCGCGGGGCGATCGTCGACAGTGACTGTGTAGCGCGCTCGGGCCGGTCCCCAGTCGTCCGCTCCAGGAAGCCATTATTGACGGATCACTCAAGCTTTTGTTAGGCGCAGATGTTATAGAAGCGCTGATGTCGCTTCTAAACGAAAAGAAGACTCCGTTTTGTGGAGCACAACACTGGCAGTCCAGTAAAGACGGCTTGCGACCTTAATCTCAAGTGGTAAGACTGACGCTCCGCTACATTTCATGATTCTTGGCAAAGGAATGCCAACTATTGTATAGATGCGAAAAGGGTTTGGAGGAGTCTCCTCCTTAAAAAGTTGGCATAAGCTGCACGCACTGTCTCATCAGGGAATATTGCAAAGTGCATGATCGAGGCATCAGCCATCTTCTTAAATCAGGAAGGGTCTAATGCGGCTTACTTGGTGCTTCTTTGAATAGGTAGACCGTTGAACAAAACCATTCAATTCGATACTTGAGCCTTTTTCTCAGTCGTAAACATTGGTCAACCATAGGCCTTGGCTATGTACAAATAGTAAGCCTAAGAGCCTGGTCCATAACGCCATCCTAAACGACTCCGACACCGGCTTTCGATCGAACGATGAAGATGCCAACAGCAGTTACTTTCTCCAGACAGAAAGATTAGCCTGCTTCCGAAAACTTGTCAACATGCTGACTGTGCCTTGGTGATGAACTTTCAGCGGTGACAACGGATCTGTTCTGATACAAGAAACGTTTCGCGAAAAACACTGACCTATCCTTGCTGTTTTTGTTCAGAGTCGGCTTGTTTGTTGATGAACAAGCCAATATATCTCACTCTTGCAGGTGACTTGGTTTCGGCTGAAAATACGTGGCAAATATATTGGAGGCCTCCAAGCTTAGCGGACCTACTCTCAACTCCAGCGGACTCAGCTGCATACAATCATCTTGGATCCAAACAGAGGGCCCTCCAGACCGTTGTGCATCAGCTCATTCGTCCGTCATTGGTTCTGAAAGAACAGTAGTGTGACTCCTTTGAAGCTTCTCAGCACGTCATTGGTTCGAGACTTGCCACAAGGAGCGGAAAGAGGGGCACGGGAAATCCGTTGTCTAATTCTAATGAAGTTTCTGTCCTGGAGTTGGCTACACGTGTGTTGCCTTGGAGCTTCGCACGCAACGATCAGCAGCAATGCAGACAGATCTTGATCGGATTCAAGCGGAGGGTCCCGCGAAGATCAGCCGTCTTCAAACAGAGCTTGCGGCGCTTCAAAAGTGCCTCGATGCTGCGAACGAAGAGAAGAAAAGGAGAGAGGGGGAGCTTAAGAGCAAGCGCGCGGCGCTTCGCAACGTTGTTGCACAAAGAGACGGCCTTCGAGCGGGCACTAGCAAGCTTCAAGAAAGGGTCGCCGCCGAGAAGCGGAAGCGGGCTGACATCAGCAAGGAAGTGTCCCTGCTCCAGAGCGAATTGGAGCGCGCGCGTAAGGCGGTGCGAGACCTAGAGAACGCCACGGCAGCGCGCGCGCGCGAGAGCGACCGCTTTTACTACGTCCTCGCCTTTAACGGGCAGGTCGGTTCCATTCCGCGCAGCGTCCTGGCATCAGCCCCAGAGTCTGTTCTGTACAAAATGTACTGCGGCGCTTGGGACTATGCGCGAGACGAAGACGGTCGCGCAATCGTCACGTGCCACCCGGACCGATGGGCCGCAATTCTGGAGCACCTGGCGACTGGAGCGGTTCCCTTGCAGCGGGACTCGCAGCTGTTGGAACAGGCGCGGTTCTGGAATCTGCGGAGACTCGTGGCACGCTTGGAAGCACTCACTCCAGGAGTAACCGTCAGAAATGACCGGGACGAAATGGGTTTCAAGGCCCGGCTTACGTTTGTTGACGTCACGAGCGAATACGACAAGTATGGCGCAGAGCTAAGTCTCACCTATGCGACGCCCGGAAAGCGCTGGTGGAAGGTGAAGGTGGACAAAGATGGCGTCTTCCAGTACCCGTTGTGGACGCCGGATACAAAGCTCCGAAAAGTAACAGTCAGAAGCAAGTTCGGACTGCTGTTGCACGGTCGAAGGTTGTTCGCTGATTGGGAAACGCAGGAGTTTTCTGAGGGTAAGGTTGAAAAGGGGTGGGGTCACAGATGGTCTGATTTAGGCTACAGCATCCATCAGCTGGTGAGTGAACCCTTGGCTCGAGCCCATGATAGCCTCGTCATTGAGATACAGACTCGTTATTTGGACGAGTAAGGACGGGTATGCGTTCACCATGGTCGCCAGGCCGTTGACACGTGTAGGCGAATCATTGAAGCGTCCCAAACCTTACTAAATTACTTGTGGTTACATTTAGCGAGCTTGTCTGTACTCTGGCAGTAATTGAAGGACCGGTATATGCATGGCGACTTGCCGTGCCACACAAGCAAAGCAGGACGCCGCCATGGCAGTGACTTGTCTGGTAAGTAAATAATTTTGAAACAAGGTTCACTTGGTCATTCCAGTGACGAGCCTGTGCATAACGTGCGGCTAGCTGCCCATCGACTCACTTCCAGATAGTACTATAAGCAAACATAGTTCGACATTTCTGTAGACGTTTATCATTGAGCAGATTACATTGACTCGAACAGCATACGCACCATGAGCTCTTTTCATGAGATATACAGTGCTTGCCCGGCTCTTGAACTTGATATGATCCGACGGATTAAAGAGCGTGTTCAATGCGCGAATCGGTTTTACTGCTACAAGTACAACTCGCTTACACCATGCCAACAAATCGAGGCATGTCAAGCGCTATACAGATCCAAAAGTTTGAAAGTCAGCTAAAGTTAGTCCATATTAATTTACTCCACAATAATTGTCATTGCATGATGACATTTTGCATCCCGGCGCAACCAACAAGCGAAGGTACACTTGCATTTCCGTGCGCGGGCAAGCTCCTATGAGTCAGGATGGCACATGGCCGTCTCATTGCATCTTGGCCCAGGATCCGAAGGCGGGCCCAGGAGGCATCACAACTCCATTTCCCGCCTGCAACCCGCCCTGATCCATATACCTACTGTCACAGGCGGCTAGACATTGTCCAAGTCGAAGTCTTCATGCAGTTGCACATCAAGTCTAAGTAACTGCAGTAATAAATGAATAGCGTGCGAATCAGGTAAGTATCTGAGTTACTTGAAAAGTATCATCAGAGCTAGTGTACGGTATCAGTAGAAAATTGAGTGCATGTCAACCCCACTTTTCACCCTGCGGCACTGCCTCCCAACTCTAAGCAGCAGGCGGTCGTATCGTGGGGTCATTTTCAGGCAGCTCTAGTGCTGACTGGAAGCTCCCCGTCCACACGTCTCCACAGCGTGACCCACTGGAAGACGAGCTGCAATTACTCAGTTGACTACCCATGCCCAACGGCGATGACTGCAATCCTTGCGCCACTGACCTATCCCTCTCAACACCTCCTTGTGGACTTAGCTCCGGTTGTTGCAGCCGCTCTGGCGAGGCCGCCGGGCTCAGCTCCTGAGCTTGACCTGGTAACGCCCCCGCCCACTCTTCTGGCGCTGCTTCGTCATCCAATGGACGGGCGGCTTCTTCTTCTGACGTGTCCACTCTTGCACGCTTCGCAGCCTGCGTGTCCGCCGTTTCGGGCTGTTCATGTCCTTCACCCGTTCTCTGCTGCTCTTCAAATCGTGCATCAAATGTTCCTGCCTCGTTCACTGGCTCGGCAAACGACTCCGTCGTTCTACCCCCGTCCTCAGGCGTCGCTTCTCTAGTTTCCGCTCCGACTTGCCCCTCTTCCGTCGCATCGTTTCCTGCGGGTAAGTGCACTTGAGCGACCTTTGTTGCGCTTGGTCTCTGCACGTTCGCAGGGCGGGGGGGCTCTGCCTGCGGCTGTTGACCACCCGGGGGCGGTGCAAACATCCCCGGAGCTCCATACGGCGGCGCATACCCAAACGGAGCGTAAGCCATCGGATGATGTCCGGCCGGAAACATGGGGTAGGGGTAACCGGGCGGGTTACCAGGCTGACCGTAGCCATAACCGTGGTACGGGTAGGGCGCAGGAGGGGCCTGTTGGGCGTTGTCGGGGGGGGGCGTGCCCGCGTTTGGAATGGCCATTTGGGGGGGGTATGAGTAGGGGTGCATTCCCATCATGCCTGGGAACGCGCCCATGTAGGGCATGGGAGCGAATCCGGGGGGGTAAGGATGGGGCTGCTGGAGGGGGGGCGCCGGCGCAACCGGCTTTTCCGCCTCTTGGCGAGCGGGTTCCGACCTCACACTACTACTGACCTGCGCTGTACTCTTCTCAGCCGTCGGTGCAACCATCGACGGCCCTGGGGCTGCCACGTGTCTCCCTTTGGCGACCCTGGAATCTAGCGAATCCTGCCGGGCCGTTTCTGGCTGCCTGCTCGCGGGCTGGGCGCCATGTTCTCTCCCGATCCTAGTTGGTCCGGGCTGAGAAGGAGCCGCTACCGATGGCGCAGGCAGCACCCTAGGGTTCTGCTGAGGAGGGGGTTGCCGGGGCGCACTTGGTTGCGTGCGCGGAACTTTCCGCTGCTGCTGCGGAGCTACCGGTCGGCTCGGAGGGGGCCCCAGCTGCCTTGCTTGTGTTGGGGGGGGGTTCCCCGGCGGCTTTGGCTGCAAGTTTCGGAGACCCGTTGGATTTCTTTGGGCTGGGGGGGGTAGGATGGGAGGCCGGAAGTGGGCTGCCTGGGGTCGGGTCGGGTGGTGCATCGAGCCCCCCCGTTGCGAAATTTTCTCCTGATTGGACCCTTCTGCTGCCGGCGCAGGTGCCTGCCTGGAACCCAGGGTTACCCCGACACCCCCGCCTTGCTGGCCCGCTCCGCCGCCGGAAAACGCGTCCCTGACACCGGCTTCGCCCAGCCTCTCTCGCCCTTCGTTACTTGGCTGCATCAGTCGCGGGACCCCCCCGCCGCTCTGTCCCCCCTCGACAACCGCACTCCCTTGCACCCCCCCGTGTGGCGGGTTCGCCTCCGGCAGGGCGCTGTTGCTAGAGGGGTCCACATGTGGCGGCGCCTGTGCATCCTGTTGCGGGGGGGCAGCCGCAGAGCCGTCCAAGGGGGGGGCTTGCGCGTTGTTTGTGAGCGCAGCCATCATGAGACTCGGGTTGAAGTTGATCCAGGACAACATGCTCTGGAGGCGCCGCTCGAGCGCCTCCTTCTCGGCCTTGACCTGCATCCGCTCCTCGCGCAACTCATTCTTCTCGGCCGTCAACTGGAAGGGAAAGAACGAGCGCGCTTTTAGAACCCTTACAATCCTGCATTCGGGTTTTCACATTGGGTTCTCTATGACCAGACAATGTTATACTACATTTGACCTGCAGCCGCTCCTCGCGCTCTTCGTTCTTCTGCACGGTTGAAAGAAACGGGAGCGGTTTTAGGGTCTTTATGTTCTTATAGTCCCAGAGGTTGGAGTTTGAAGTTTGCTTCATACAGTGGAAGGTCGACGCTGAGCGTTTGGGCTTTCACTTGGAGCCACTCCATGCGCAATTTGCTCTTTTCCGAAGTCAGCTGGGGAAAAGGAACGACGGCGCCTGCCAAAACAATCATGGTCCTAGAATTTGATGTTCAACGGGTTAACCAAGAAGTAAATGTATGTTGAAACGTTGGACCTTTGACTTGAAGCAATTCCTTGCCCGGCTCCTGCTTCTGGCCATCAACTAGTAAAAATTCATGGATCAACTAATGAAGTTTGACACCAAGAAATAAACTCTGTCGTTCAAAAGTGGGACAAAAAGGATTCGTGGCTGGTACATGATCGAACGAAGAGGCACTAAGGAGCAAAGCACAGATCACGTGATTGGGCAAGTTTCTCGGATGAATGTACCACTTGTGCCAACCTTCAGCCCCAGAGTTTTCCAACTAGTATGAACACGAAAGGCCTCTGGAAGACACCTTAATTAACCCGACCACTTTGGACGACTCTAGCGCGGGGCTGGCGGTGCATTCACATAATTTATCGAAAGCCACGGCGGCAAAGCTCGCGATACTGAACAGATGGGACACTTTGCTATACGAGGAGCCGTGCAAGCTACACGAGATCTCGATTGCGAGGTTAAAAAAGTGGGGCGAGCAAGCGTAAGACCCTGCTCATTATCAGGCTCCTGCTTTCCGTTGCGTGCGCGCACCTCCAGCCCCTATTAGCGGATTGCAGCGTTCAACTGGTACAATCTGGTCGCAATGCGTATGTTTCTAGTGCTCACCTCTTTCGACTCGTCCATCAGGAGAGCGTGCTCGCTCTGCAGCTTTGCAATGTCGTCCCTCAGCTTCTTGACCACATTCACGCCGTCGTTTAGGATGCTCGCCTTGTCGTTCTTCGGAGGGCGGCCCGGGTCTGTTTCAGAATAAGAACATGCAAAGATAAGCTGTATGCAAACCTGGCTAGATTTTCAGAGGGACTTGGTATGTACCGGGGCTCATCCAGGCACCTAGTCATGATGTGTTGAGCAGCCTGAAGAGCAACTAAGGCTCTTATGATATTGCAGAGTAGAGTTTTCCGGGAGATGCCCCTCTCTGCTTGGAAATTTCCTTCTGCAAAAACCAGCAGCGCTGTAGCTTCTGATTGGTATTGTGCGGCCCACATGGTCCTGTTCCAGCCGATCAGACTTTGCTGAGGCAATTGCGGAAGAAGTCGGCGCTCACTGACGCCGCTTTAGTTCCTGCCCTGAGTGAGGTCACATGCTCAGACAGTTAAGACAGGTGCTGCGGAGCAACAGCAACCCACCACGGTGATCCGGCGCGTGGCACAGTAACACGCCGCTCTTGTTTCCAGACCTAGAAAAGCAGACACATCAAATTCTGACTGCTCACCGAGCACCCCCGCCAGCTCCGCAAAGTGCTCGTTCATGCGATCCCGCAAGAGCTTCTCCCGGTTGGACTTCATCTCCTTCCGAGCAGCGTGCACCTCGTCGTCTTGGCTCCTGGTCCCCGAATCGGACGGTCCCATTGCCGTTCCTGCAGAACCCTCCGCCCTGCGCAGGCCGAGATCCTTCAGTCAGCGATGGCTATGTGTGAGGTTTTTGAGGTCACACTGTCCGTCAGGCCTTCGAACGGCGGGACTGCTCGTGCGGCTCCGACTTGTTTGGCTGAGAAGCTTGTCGGGCTCTGAATCTGGCAGTGGAGGTGCGGACGAATGCAGGCACCCCAGCTTCAGTTCTGCCAATGGTGAGGACTTCGCAAATTTTCAGAGAGCGGCAGGGTGGGAGAGGAGAACGGCGGCCAACTTAACTTGGCAGTCAAAGAAACATGGGAGACCGCATCAATATTCAACTCCATCCTGTGGATGTGGAAATCTGCATCCAGGGTCCAACTCGACTTGATTTGCCGACCTGAGCAGAAGTTGAGCCGAAGAAGACTGTTCCTCAAAGCAATTTTGATTTAGAGAAAGCCACTCGTTGCTGAAGCCACGAATCTGTTGTCAAGTCGATGAATGTTGGTGACTGTCACTGTTTTGATTTGCATGCCAACATGATCGACGAACCAATGGTGCTCCCAGATGCTGGCACTGCATTTTCTGGAAAGTGAAGCTTAAAAAACGAGTGGCAGACGGAGACAGCGACCACAATGTAGATCAAGGCCGCAATGCGGCCAGCTGCAAACCGTTGGCGCGCATGACTCCAATGCCTCTAACAAAGCAACAGATTATGGCTGTAAAACCATTACCAAGAATGCTCATTTTTGGACAACATTTTCAACGAATGCCTGACAGAGAAAAGTGCCCCATTGTCAGTGTGGCGAGGAAAGCTGACACTTTTGGGAGTGCGGACAAGCAGTAAGTCGCCAATCAATCGAAGAACCAATGCGGGCCTAACAATTTGCCATAAACTAGCATGTCCCTCCATCAGCTTCTTCAAATTCTATAATGTACAACCACACTAAGGTGCACAGTAACGCAGAAAGGGCGGGAGCAAGCAAGAGCTGTCACACTATTTGTAAAATGCACACGGACAGAGCTTTAATAAAATGCAGACTGAAGCAAATGCACCTCAAGGCCGATGTCCCTCTCCAGCCCTCAGGACTTCACAGTTCGATATTTCCACCCCAATAATGTAGCCAACCGAGTCTAAATCGGTCCACTTGAGCTGACAAGGCACGTCATTGCAAACAGTCGGCACCCTGCTATGGTAAAAACGACCATTTCAGCGTGCATGGATTCAGAGCTCAACTGCTCGCAATGCAAAGGCATCCTGGCGTTGAAATTCTCGAATCCCATTTCCCACCTGTTCATCGGCTGGAGCTGCTGCTGATGCAAGAACGTCAAGTTCCCCGAACCTCCATGCCCCCCGCCTTCATACTGCATCCGCTCCCCCCCCCTCAGCCAACTGCTCTGCCCGTGCGTCCCCTCGCCACTCAAATCCGGCTGCGGTTTGGCGTCCTCTACTCCTAACCGTGCATAACCCTCAATGTGACCCTGTCCATTCTGCACCGCGAGCGGATTGTACATCAACCCGTCCAAGAAGCCACCATCCTCATTGGAGACAGGGTTGAACGGGAAGTCTAGACTGAGGCTTTGCTGGTACGGCCCTGGCACATGGTCCGGGAGCCATGGGTTGCGGTTGTGGTCTGCCATTGTCAGGTTGAAGCTCCGCTTAGCATCAGTATGTTGATCCTGCACGAATGTACCTCTAATTTCGCAGTTTCAGCTTCTGCTTCAGCACATTCCCGTCAATGAGCCTTCGCAGCCGGCGCCTGTTGTCTGGGGGGTTAGGGCTCAATGCCGGTCACTACCGGAATGCCGGGATCTACATTAACCAATAGCAACATTATGCAGTCAAGACCGCAACTGTCAGTAACGACTGAATGTGCATGCCCATCCTTCCCCAGCAGCTGTAGCCGCTTCCTCGGCCTTCAGCAAGCCTTTCATTCTTTGACGCCACCCTTGGAGAGGGTGAAAGGCGCCTCCCGAGTCCCTTGCCATTGTTGCCATTGGCCGACTCCTCCATATCCCTGCCAAACTTTGAAATTGGGGATAGCATTTTGATTCTGAAAGGCAGGGTTTATTTCAGGACTTTTTGAAGTAAAGCCTGATCTCATTGGGACCACTCTCGTCCATTATGAACTTCAAGAAGCAATTTGCGGCGTCCGATGGAAGTCGTAGGATTGTCAACGGCTCGGATGCCGCAACGCGATCAGTTTAAGTCAAGACACTCGCTACTTGAGTCTCTTGTTAGGGAGGCCCTGAGCCTTCGAGGAGATCAGGGTTTAAAAGATTATGTGATGTACTAGTAGCTCAAACTTCAGAGCGCAACGGCATCGCTTCCAGCTGCATTTCACCTTCATTGACCAACACTGCTTCTCATTTCATCAGCAGTGACGGCATTGCAGTGGCAGCATTGTGAAGGATTCTGGTTTTTAACTTACTGTGTCGAAGTCGGTGATGGCGTCCGCTTTTGCACCTCAGGCGTCCTTGCCGACAACCAATCTCTTCAGTAAAGAGGTAGCTTTCTGCAGATTATCTGTTGGACGCTTGCGTTGTCGTTTTTGAGCGTCGCCAGTCGTCCAAATCGTTTTCAAAGCGTTCCTGCCTATCAAAGACCCGGTCTTTGCTCAGAATGAAGGCTCCTATCCCCGCTTCTTCCAGTACACTAATGGTCTGCAAAAGCTTTCTTAACTGAAAGCACATTGCGTTTGCGTGCGGTATTGTGGACATGCCTCAGGGCCAGCCGCTCTTTCCGCCTTACTTCTGTTGGATTTTTGAGTGACTATTCATCAAGTGGTTTGCTGAAATGTTTTGAGAGTGGTGTTAAAATGGTGGCTTGCCTACTGGCATATTCTTTGGGATCTCATCTGAGGCATTCAAGGGGACTTTCATGGATTGTGAACTAGGGGGGACTAGAAGTAGGGGGCTGGTTTGTCACAATCACCAAGCTCTTGGCAAACCTGCTTCCAATGGCAGTCCAATTCATTCAACAAAATCCAGTCAGCTACTGAACCAATCTCTCTCGGCTGAGCATGCAGCTTCTTGAACCTTGAGGGCCGTCCACCTTTTTCAACCAGCCGTTGACATGTTCTATCACAGCAGTGCTTCCTGCTTGAGATCGTCACAATGGATTGGACTGTGTCTTGCAGCGATCCGGATACTGCAACTGCACCAACCCCCTCTCATGGCAAGCAAACCCCCTCGGCCTGCCTTCCATACCCAGACGCCATGCAAACAGTGCACGATCAGCTCCTCGATGCACCATGGCCCCCACGCCTGGTTCCGAGTACACCCCTAGTGGCAACACAAGCTCGATGAATTTGATGACCGGGCTCGTGAATGGCCTCTTCTCCTTTAAGCCCGCCTGGAACTTCATGAAGGGGAAGGCCCGACAGATGATGGTCGACAGGGGGGACGCGATCGGCTTCCCTTGGAAAGAGCGGCTAGAAGAGCTCAAGAAGCACGATTGGGATGCGGAGGTTGAGGCCGTACGGGATCCGGGGTTGGAGTATCCGGAGTATTACACGGTGCCGTTCCACGCGTATGATAGGGGGAATCTGTCGCTGGATGCGGCGCTGGAGGTCGAGTTGGCGGCCAGGGCCGTGCACGCGACGGTGTTTGACACAGAGGTGACTTTCAGCTTCTTTGATTTTTGCACTGCTTCCTGACTCCTCATCTATCCAGGCTGTTTCCGGCGCTGCGACTTCTGGCCATCTGTATGTGCGGAAGTGCTCGAGCTCCGAGATCACTCGCATGAATGTGCCCGGTCTCTTTGGATCCTAAGCTGGTGAAACAGAAGTTGAGGCCAGTGGCTTGAACAATGGATTTGTGACTTTCGGTCAGTGGCTTCGAATCTTGTCGACAAATGGTGCTATCTTTGAGAAAACCCGAATTCCATAAAGGCTTCTGCTTCGGATTCTACTTGGAACCAAGCCCTCCTTTCCTGGTGACCAGTGTCTCTCCTAATTCTCGTTACAAGAACGACGATAGGTTCCCAATGGTGAGTAGATCCTTGGAATGGGACCAAACTCAGACCACCGAAAGCTGACGTGTGTGGTATCTGCGCAGAGGCAAACACTGGACCCGGAAGGGGATCAGCGGTTACGCGAGAGCTACCACGAGAAGATGCTGCCTATGCTCAAGATCGAGCCCGCCAAGATTGTGGACCTCGGCTGCTCGACGGGCCTCAGCACGATGGCGCTGCATAAGGTCCGTAAGACGTGTTGAAAATCCTAGAATCGTACACAGTGAATGCTATTCGTGAAGTGTTAGTCAACAGGGCCTTTGCGAGACAACTTGCATCGCTGTCTTGCTTGCGGAGTGGATTGAAACGGAAGGACCTTCTCGAGCAGAATGCGATCAAATCTGGCCTGTCGTTTCTGCTCAGTCTTTCTCTGGCATCTATCCCGATACTACTGCTTGTCCCTGCACAAAGCCTCTCGTTTCCCAGCTCTTAAGTCTCCAGAGGAAAAGATCGTCTATGCCGAAGTGCATATCACGACAATTTCTCGCTCATAGCGAGTCGCTGTGAGTCATCAACGAATATGCTGTGTTTGCCGTCATCTAATCGACCTTTTCTCGCCTGATTGCAGACGTTTCCCGAGGCGGAACTCACGGGGATCGACCTGTCAGAATACTTCGTTGCTGTTGCAAGCTTCAACCTTCGTCGACAAAACGCAGAAAAGGTATGACCGCTTTCTCAGCAAGTCTGAACTGCCTGCTCAGTGGCTAAGATGTCAAGGTGATTGTTATCTCTCCCTTGCGAAATCGACGTAGGACCTTACTTTCATCAAAGCTTTGCATTGAGGCATTTGCTGAGGGTCTCGTCGTGCGGCCAAGTTCACCATTTCCAAAAACAACGAAAAGTTTGCCAACCTTCGTTGAAAAGCTGACAACACCTCTCCGTCTTCATGTCAAGATTACATGGAAACGTATACACAAGTCGAGGCTAAATAAGCTGTTCCGTGATTTTCACCAAGTCGACGTTTTGTGAGGCTGGTATACAAGCTCTTGGTGAGTGGTACATATTCTGGGCAAATCGAGGGGCAGCCTTTCTAAGGTACCAGACTACACCTTCTACCCCTTTTTCAAAGCCGTCTTTCGTCGACTAGGGTCAAAGGTTGCCTTATCCTACCTCGTTTGAGCCGACTAAGACGCCCAATGACCACCGCCCGAAACCGCCACACAGAAAAGCGAATACTGGCTCCCCCGGTAAGCCTCACGGAAGGAACCCGCACCTGCTCAGAAACTCGCAGCTTCGCAGCTGATTTTTGGGCCATGCACCACGAACAAAAGCCCGTCACCTTTGCCTCCTCCGTTATGTCAGGACAAAGACGCCTGATGGTCGCCTGTCTTTTCCGCTGTCCAGGGTAAGGACCTCCCGATCCGGTACGTCCATGGGGCCGCGGAGCGGACGGGTATCCCGGCAGGTTCCGTAGATCTGGTGTCAATGTGCCTGGTGTGTCACGAGCTGCCGCGGGCTGCCACCAAACAAGTGAGCGTCTCAAGGTCTTGAATGCGCAACGAGTGGACAGCGTTACACTGTCAAGCCTCGCAATGTCAAGTTGAAAAGGAAAAACCCTGTGTACTTGGTAGAGCACGTCTCGCTCTGTGTTGAAGAAGAATGTACCCAGGGTTTTTTTTTTTGGCGAATCTGCTTTCTCGTGTTTGAGATGAGGCGACTGGTGGGCCTGCATCCGGTGATTCGGCGGACGCGGCGTTTTGCGATATGTCATCTTTTCGAGCAGACCCCCAATCCCGCTTTTTGCAACAGTTCTCGTTGTCGCTTTTTGCAACAGTCGTCGGCCGGATTGCGGGACCCACATCATTTCCTGGTCACGATCTGCTCAAGAGATCGCCTATAATCCCTCTTGTACTCGTCATTTGACAGCCCTCGCCGTCAAGCGCTTGAGTGAGACTCGCTCATGTTCCGTGTATTCCGGTCCGTCCGCAGATCATCGAGGAAGCGCACCGGATCCTACGGCCGGGTGGCGCCTTGTGCATCATGGAGATGAACCCGCGGTCGCCCTTCCTTCAAAAGATGGTCAACAACGTGTTTGCGTTTACCGCTGTAAGTCCTGCCGTCCAGCGAGGATCGCACGGACAAACGATCTCTTATGACAAAAGTCGTGGGTCAAAGTGTCGGCTTCTCGTCCTGTTCTTAAACCCGTGCAGCGGGGACGCGATTGCTCTGTTTTTGTTGTCCTTCTAGTTCTTTTTGGTCAAGTCAACATTCGTCTCAGTGATAAACTCACGCAATTCAATTGGAGCAGATTCTTCTTATAGTAACCACCTTTTAGAAGGGCTGCGTGCCTGCAGAGCTGAAGTTGTTGCTTTGGCAGCCTGCGTAGCTGCGGACAGCGACATTGCAGAGGAGTCGTAGGAAGGCGCACGAAGAAAATTCGCTGCCCGATAGCCGCAGTATCCAAAGCGGTCTCCCACTGAACGGCAAAGTGCACCCGAACGCCTGATCTGCCTTCGGTCGGCAGATTGGAGATAGTAAACGGTGTTATGACCGCTAACAGCACTACTCCTCGCGTTTGCAGTTCAAAGCGACAGAGCCTTACTTTGACGACTACAGGACGTTCCCGATCGAGGAGGCGATTCAAGAGCGGGGTTTTGAGGCGGTCCAACAGACCGAAAGCAGCCCGCGGCATAGGACCATGGTAGCACACAAACTGTAAAATGTCTGCGAGGAAAGCTTGAAGTCATTTTGAGCCATTTTTTGAGCTTATTGAGCGCTATTTTCTTGTACTACCACTACCTCACTCTGAGGAGCCAAAAGATGCTGAGATGCGTCGAAACAAGCAATCAGACGAGTTGCGGACATAACTTTCGCCCAGAGCATGGCACTCCAGCCAGGCGCATGTGTAGCCCTGGTCATGGATCATGCAGAAAGCCATTCTCTGAGTCGAACAAGCGAAAGAAGAGCTACCGGCTCGCCTGCCTAGGTTTTTGACCCTCTCTTTGCCACTTGGGAAATTGAAGATGCTGTGCCCGAGGCGCTACTAGGTATCGGTCGCAATTAAGGGCAACCAGCGACGAATGCACAGGCCTGCGTGTCGCTGCATACGACAGTGATCCCTGTCCGACCGTCTAGCACGTACGGTGGCCCCACTTTACAGAACATGGTGACATGTATCAGGTCATGTGGTGGCCGCGACGATCCACGTCGGAGTGTTCACGTACATGTAAAACATGGGCGATGAGGCCGAATCAGCCTAACTTAATAGTGAGCCTCCATGTCACATCCGGCCAATCTCAGTTTAAACTTCGCAGCTGCCCTTTGATCGGGGATTGGAACATGCGAGGCCTGCCGCCGCGCCGCGCTCATCATCATTTCAATCCCGATCAAGCCCATGCTTGGCCGCGGCGCATGTGCCTCGGCCGCCGCCGAGTATACGATGCCGACGTCGCCAAAGCATGCAATATGACCCTGAAAGTGTGGTCATGGAGCAATTACTGTGAATGAATCTGCTCTCTCCTCAAAAAGGGCTTTCTTAAGCTGCAATTTGCATTGCTTTTGACCTCACTTTTGTCTTAGTCTTGCAGTGAGCGCTCGGTTGTAAAGTACCGTACGTTGTCCTGTCTTGCCCGTATCCGATCAGCTCAATTGATCGGATCCTGAGCGTACTCGCGTTGAAACTTTGAGCCCACAGTACGTTGCGGATAGCTGCAGCGACTCACATGGAGCAGCGGATCACAATATGGCCTCACCGGCCCTTTTCAGTAGAGTTCAAATTCGTAATTGGGGCCTACTGGATCTTACATGCTACAAAGTGCTCCATGCTTCCGTCTTAAGATGGCACTTATTCTGCTGGACCTTTCAACGCTTCGCAGCACTCAACGTAGCTGGTCGTCTTAAAGGAGGATGGCGCCCAATCACAGCTTCAAGCTTGTAGCAAGGCTGATGCGCCCGCTGTTTCCTCTACTGCCTGCGAGCCCGTTTTGTGCCGGCTGCTTTTCATCGCGTTCAGGAGTGGCGTTTCCGTCCGTCTCGGCGTTTGACTCGAGTTGCAGCTGCAATGAGAGGAAAAAGCAACCGGTTTCAACGTAGGATGCAGATTCCTGTGAGAATCATGTGCAGGTCTGAATTGTGCCAGAAGGAACCGCCAAGCGCACCAGCATTCGAAGACGGACAAAAAGTCGACGGCCGTTCCCATAGTTTGCACCTAATGATTGTCGTTTGCACTCTCTGAGTTTCTGTGGTTCTGCCAACGGTGTGGATCGTTGGCTTGTTGGCGGCCAACTCTCTACAAGCACGCAATGAAACGAGGTGAGCCGGGTTCACAATACCTCCAAAGATCGTCTTAGCATGAAGAATTGCTAACAAGACGACCACCCGACCTTCAAATGCAAGTTTAAGTTCAAACCTCAAGGAGAATTCGCATCGATGTTAACGAGTCGGAAAGGAAGCCTGGCAGTGCGATGGGGGTCTCACCTCCGTCAAGAGAAACTCCGCCGTCCAAACCGTGTCCTCCTCTGCAACCTGTAAACAATGTGCACGTCGTTATGAGCTCGATGTGCACGTCGTATGAGCTCAATGTGCATGTCGTATGAGCTCCACGTGCATGTCGTATAAGTTTAGAACCTTTCGATGCAACATGCGACGAAGAAGGTTCTGTTCACATGCGAGAATCGTTCTGAGGCCTAAAGTCCTGCTGGGAGAAGTAATGTGATGCCTTGTTAAAGCTCTTTGGAAGGCCCAAACTCAAGTCTTTGCCGAGTTAGGCATGCTCAATGCTTTACTTACTTCAACACGCGGGCAAGACTCTGAGATCTTTAGCATTGTACATGGTCGATCTTACGGTAGAGGCGAGGTAAGTACGTACTCTTCAACGCCAAAATTTGCGCAACCTCCGGACAGCCCCATCTGTTCGACTGATCTCCTCAACTAAAGAATGACCAAACTTTTCAAACGGTGATTGCTTGTAATCGAATTAATTCCATTCTGCAATGAAGCATCTTCCGTCCTTGCGCAACGCTCAGACGCTGTGAAGTTTCTTCCGCACTTCCATGTTGAGTGCGGCTCGTAACAGTGCGTGCATCAGGCTTGCGAGCGAGCGACTGGGCGGAAATGCAGGCACAGCAAATCTTCGGCAAGTATGATGTTTGAGAGGGACCCGTTCCGACCATAAGCTGCGGCATTACGACACGTCGAGAGAGGTCCACCTTGGAAGCAGAGAGGAAGTGCCATGGAGAGACACAGGAAAGGGGCCTCTTATCAGAAGGCAATTCTCGAGAAGACTCTCAGGATACTCCAAAGTCACGATCTGTGCGGATCAGGAATGAGAGCTGCGTTCCTTTCGCTTTTCCTCAGGAATAAGTCAGGGCTCACCTGAGCCGGTGGACAGAGGACGGACGTGAGAAGACTCAGATCGATCCCGGTATCCTGCACCGCAGACTACGGGGTTAACTTCCTCGATTGAATGCTTGCTAGTGGCTTGCAACAGGCGACTGAGCAAACAAACGCGCCTGAATTGACAAACAAAGTGTCGCACACATAGACTTGCCCTGCAGCCAATCTCCGACGGATCCAGGGGCTTTGCATCATACAAGTTGTGTTGAGCATGTAGCGAGAAATCGTGGACACCACACCGGGCGCCTAACTTACCGACGTGGAGGGCAGAGAGTAGTGAGCACTCCGATCTAGTTCTCGGATGGTTTGCACCCTCAGGCCTGACTGCTTGGGAGGCGCCGCCACCTGTCAAGCAGGAATAGAGATGGAGGGATGAGATGATTTATCAGTTCTACAAATGAAATGTTCCATCCGCGAGATGGAAGCCATTGTGAAGCAGTTGCCTTCCGTCCAATGCTCCAGTGCACCGGTCTCTGATCGAATTCAACTTGGTTCGAGGGCTTGGGCCACCACAGAGCTTGCAAATCCGGCAAAGCGTCGACAAAGCGCCGCAGAAGACTGCCGAAGTATGTCTGGTTCAGCCAACAGGAATTCTCAACTCACCTGCGAGCTCGAGTTTTCAGTCTCGTCCGCGTCGAGAGTGGCAATCTCCTGCACCTCTGCAAATCGGAACCAGAAAAGCACTCTCAAATTGTCCAGAAGCCGTATCTACTGTGATTTGTGAGGTTCATGAACGTGCTTCCGGGTTTGATAGCTCAATTGAAATCTCTGTCAAGACTCTATAAGATGCAAAAGAGTGTGGAATGTGGTTGAACGGCCTTTCAAAGATGTCAGCAAGCCGTGATGACTGTCAATCAAGATCAGTCTCAGACCTCAGCTACGAGCACAGCCGACGTTTGCGAGCACATACTGCAAGGCTGATTGGCATGGGGGCCAGTTTTTGAGAGACGAACATGGCATTCAGGAGCGCTTACCATCCTCCATTTCTGCATTGTGCCGACTCCGATCGGGCCCTTTGGACTCTTCTCTGCGTTCACAGTAAAGGAGCCATAAGCGAGGGCTCACACACATCTTAAAATCAATCAGCGAGCGACTGGAAGAATCAGACAAAGAGGTCCGACTTGATACGCTGCGGATCTCATTCTCACTCGTGGGCCTTAGCCTCTTCTGGAGCTTGATTGGGGGTTACAAAGTTTAAAACACTTCGATCCATAGCACAAGTCTTCATGTGGATACACGAAAACTAGTGAAGTCTGCATTTTCATAGCTTTCAACCTATACGCGGACCCAGGGCCATGTCAAGTACAGGTTGAAGGAATCCAGGCAATCGTCCAAAAGCTCACGTTTCTGAAAGATTTCTCCTCCGACGGTGTTCTGCTGCGGCGCTGGCAACCGAAGCGTCGGTCTTGACTGTGTCAACTCCCCAGCCCGACTTTGAAGTTGGCGGAGGGGCAGCCTAAAAGCACGATGAAGGGCTGATTGTACTTAGCGGTGGAAGGGTGGTTGTTAAAACTTGAACAAGGTGTTTCATCCAACATGTTTGGAAAAACTGCTCCTCCAGTCCGCAGGACAAGCATTTGGGTGTCATTCACAAATTACAAGCAAAGACTCTTCTGAAATGAGCTAGGGATGTAACTTATTGGACCTCTTTCAAAAGTAGGTTGGTAGTTTTATGTCCACCAGATTGCAACTCCATAGGGGAAAGTTGGTAAAAGAGAAGGTAGAATCGAGGGGCTGATCAGCAGCCAAACCAGCCTTTGATGCAGGCGAAGGATCCAGGATGTTGTGCCAATACTTTTGAGCAAATCAAGCTGAGCAGCTTGGAATAGCTCGTGTACTTCTGGATAAGAAGGGAGTCAGATTTCGACCGAAGAACAGCCAACAGTACTCCGCACAAGATAACATGACAATCGGTGTAGCCTCTTATGACAATTGCTGTTTCCACCATTCGGACTCTCAACAGCAGCAGCGTCACATTGAGTAGTAGACTCACCGATGCTTCTGCCCCCCTCCCTGTAGGGGATTCTGCATCTGCCGCAGTGTTGGCTGCTGCTAGCATGCCTGTTATGCTCCTCCGTCCAAACCGTTTCGTGGACACCCCTGGCTCGGACCCATCGCCAGCCATGGTGTCAAAAAGAAGCTCACAGTTTCTGGCTTGTTCTTGACTCTCTGATGGACACGAACGTTAGAGCTTCAAGTTAGCGATTGCAGGTGGTGTGATGTACTGAGAGTAGATTGTACTCTAGCTTCCAGATCTCATGTCAAGGGATGAATTGAAAAGCAGTGCATGAGAGCTGAGACTCTGAGCTCAGAGTGCTCATGAGTACTAAGAAATAAGGCTGCAGGTTGTCAATGCAGGCCCTTTGGTCTTATCTCCAACCAAGCTGGACGAACTCCGCGAGCGAAAGCAAGGCGCTGCTGCGCCTTTTGGATCACAGAGTTGCCTTCACCAAAGACCAACGCTCCCAGCTGCACCAAAAAGCGGCTGCAGGACTGCGGAGCAGGATTCCTCACAGCTGATGCACATGTAGAAGAGCTGCGGCTATCAATCAAATACTTCCTACTAGTAGGTGATTTGAATAAAGAAGAGCTGTTCAAAGAGCTGAAGAGCAAACTGAGCAGATGTGGACAAGGAACCCTAATTTTCTGGCGGTCATTCGGACGGCCCAGTCTTTCATTGCAACGTCCGCTCCTGAGTGGGACCGTCCGAGTGAAACCTCCCCCATCATTTGAGCCAGTAATTGAATCGAAGCAGGAACAAATCAGGAACTGCCACTTGGCTGGCTGCTTGGGGACTTTATCCAGGCTCGCTTTTGACGTCACGATCCTCCAAACCTGTGACGTGGGCCTGTCCAGAGCAAGGCAGAGGACGTCAGCAACGGCCCGCGAAAAGCAAAAGATCTGCGACCACGAAAGGTGCGCAGGAAGTTTTGAGGAAGCAGATTGAGCACCCTGCATTCTGCATTGATCCAGTTTCCAGCACCCGGGTTGCTAGGCAGAGGTAGGAGTGAAGTGGGAAGCCGAAAGAAAGTCTGTCAGGTTGGTAGCTTAGATTCGCGCCTTCCGTTGTTTCTCCTTCAGGAACACTCGTCGCGGCCCAGACAGACCCCTGGATGAAAGAGTTTGGCACCCGCTTTACGGACGGAAGTGTGCGGGGGCTGCGTGCTTATTGGGATTTCCAACTCTGGCTGCAGAGAGGCAGCTCCTACCCTTCCTAAGTTGCAGGTTGAACCAGTCACAACTTGCAAGATGACAGTGGTAAAGAATCTCTTTTTGCCGAGTGAGACGGAGGGCTCCGTCTGGCGGCGGTACTTGCTGCAGCCCACCGGGTGGCTGCCGCTCCTTATTGGCACCATCCTTCTCATCGTGGTCAACGCCCTGGGCTACAGCCTCCAATGGAACTGGTGAGTGGTCAAAATTACTAGCATCGTCTTCACTCGTTTGCTTGTGCTACCACTGTCTGTTTTCCTCCACAGACCACATTGGCTCGCTTCTTCCACACCACTTTCATTTGTTTTGCAATACAAGAGAGAAAGGGACTTGGGAGCTTCTTTTTAGTAGGAGCAATCAGTGACCCTCGATGGGGATGGTGGTTATCAACCTGCTTTACCATTGAGAAGTCTATAAGTGGCTGGGTTTCTACCAGTGGCCTTTCTCATCAGCATTGCAGAGAGGAGCAGAGTTTTCTCATCAAGCACTACGGCCGGGCAAGTAGCAGTCATTTGCGATGATTGTAAGTATCACTCTTTTCTGAGGCGTTCTGACACTCACAGCAGTGGCCACAACGGCTTGTCTCTCTTTAGACCCAGCCTGTTCCCCCTTGTACCATGGACAAGTCCTTTGGAAGTGGGGAGGCAAGCGAAAGGTAGAGAGAAGCTGAGGGCGGCGCGCTTCAGTGTGCTTGAAGTGGGCTTTCTGAACACCTATGGAACGTCGATTGACACATTTCCTCAATCACAGCAAATTGAGCAGGGACAAATCGCAATCTTTCGTCATGCAGGCTGATCATCTATGGCATGACAATGCTGCCACTCTCGCCTTGGGTCAGCAATCCAGTGCGCTTCTTCAAGTGAGCGAGCCTACTTTGTTCCGATGGAGTCGGATGCTGGCTTCCTAGGATGTTTGTTCCAAGCTGTTTCAGCATTATGTATTAATGTTCAGTGACTCATATTTAGTGACTCTTCAAGGCTACTATGGCTGCTGAATCTACCAAGCAAGCTGGATGCCTCTTGCGTCTACTCAAGCTAACATTGGTGGTCGTGGCACCCCTGATTCTCAAGATAAAAAAAGCGACTATATCTGGATGACCCTCCTTATTGGCATCCATCTGTCTAGTGGTCAGAGCACTGTGGAGTAGTCTTCAACGGGATTTATTGACTCTCAGATTCCACAGGCTTTTTGCTCCTTTACTGGCCAACACCTTTCACAGGACATTCTGATTGTCCCGTATTGGGCAGTTCTTTTCATTCAATAAATGGCACCATGCACCTGCCATGTGTCTGGGTTCGGAGATACTAGTAAGGAAACGTGACCAACTGCTGGAGAATTAGACTTAGCTGCAAATTGAAACTACTTTTTTCCTTTTGCAGTGGCGGTCTGAAAGAAGATTCCAAGTCCAACTCCAGCATCCTCCTACTGGCCAGCTCCGCTTTCATTGTGTGGATTTTTGCAAAGTCCATTAACAATGCCAGCACGCTGGGGGCCAAGTATGGGGTCCTGGGCGGCTTCGCTTATGGTGCGGACATTGTTTTATGAGGGTCCATACTCGTGTGTCTGCTTCTTAGTCAGAGGTTTCGGGCATTGGGTTGAGCCTTCAAACCTGACCTGAGAGCGTAGTATGAGTATCAGTACATATGCGTTGCATTGTTGCTGCGCTGGTTTAAGTACACAACCATTGGAAATGTTGTGCCGGGTATGCATCAGTTGGCTTGCTCCTCCCAGCTTCTTACCCTCTCAGTTGGTGTATCAGATTATGGTCTATTGTCTTGAGATCGGACTGTCAGACGGCCAAAAATACCCAGGCCGCAGGCAATCCCTTCTTGCAGTTTAATATGACGCTTTTTCCTTAAGGGTCCAAGTAAATTTTACCTCTTTAAGCACGAGCCTGCGGATCGAAAAGGTCGAACATTGCAAAATAAGCATCTGCATTTGTTTCTAATAGCTGACGACCCCTGGTTCTGCCGCACCCTTATGCAGCCACGTACTACACTTCCTTCTTCTCGGCGTCAATCGTCATCTACTTCCTGCGCACGCGCATGGGTTACAAGTCGCTACCAGAGGCGATCAATGCGCGCTACGGAACGCTTGCTTGCCTCTCATTCGGGGCCGCCGTTCTGTACCGGCTCTTCCAGGAGGTCTGGAGCAACTCGATCGTTGTCGCGGGTTTCTATGGGACAGCGGTGAGGGGTCTGCTTTTAGCTGGCAACTCGAATTCTTTCAGATAAATCGCAGGTAGAACGTCTGGCGACCTCCATGTATATTGGTGTGTGTGCCCGATCAGGAGCGGTGGTAGCTTTTACGAAGTTGGACGAAGAGACTCAATATGCGAACGTAGAGCACCTTCTTCTGGAAAATATTGGTTTGAGCTCTTATCAGAAAGCAGTCTGAAATGTTGATTATCTGTGAGCTCGTGGAACAGGATAAACGGGAATGGAAAAGGGAACGGTTTGAGTTTTTGTAGGCTCCTCAGACTCGAGGACTGCTGTTTGCGAGGCCACATTGGTGTTTCTTCCTCTGCTATCGCACCAGAAAGGCACGACTGCAGTGTTGTCAAAACATTTTGCACCCACGATGGGCCACGGCACAGTGAGGTATTCGAGCACTCAAGCAACGGGACTCGCCCGCTGGGCTGGCGCTCACAGAGAAAATTTCGAAACGGGAGCACTCAAACGAACCTTTCCATTGCCTTTGCAGGGCAGCGGCCCCTGGTGGACTGCTGCGATTCTGAGCACGCTACTGCCGCTCGTGTACAGCTTTACGGGGGGAATGCGGGCCAGCCTCCTTACGGACGCCGTTCAGGTGAGCCTGTCAGCGCAAAAGTGAAACATAACCCTGAAACCACACGTGTTGCCCTTGAAGCGTCCGAAGTGCCGTTGAGTTTGTATAGAGCGTCACGGGGGCAGTGCGGGCCAGCCTTGTCACGGACGCCGTTCAGATGGGTTCGTAAATGCTGTCCGAACACGTGTCGCCCCAGTCCGAAAACGACCATAAAGTTTGTGTGTGGCTGCACGGGGATTGGCGAGCCAGCCAATCCCCTCGACGGTTGCTGTAAAGGTGGGTTCGGTCGCGCTGTCCGCACTTGTGTCGCCCAGATTCGTCCGAAGCGTCCAAGAGTTCGGGAACGCGGGCCCGCCTCGTTACGGATGCTGTTCGGTGGGGTCTGGTAACGCTGTCCAGAGATGTGTCACTCTAAAAAGCCGTACGAAAAGCTCAAGCTGCGAGCCACGTCTTTTGTGTCGGCCGTCTAGGCGCTAGATTAGGTGCTTAAAGGTGGCGGACGGCTTGGTAATTGATCTCTACGAACTCGACAAGACGCTTCGAAATTTGGCGAAGCTCTCGTCGTGGGGAGATCGTTTCTCATCCAGTCAGCCGGAAAACGTTCTTCCGAAACCAAAATTCTCCTGTATTCAGCGTCCTAATTCACACGTTCCCGTCACAGGCCGTCATTGCCATCGTGTTCCTCATCGCGACGCTCGCCTACCTAGTTCCCAAGGCCGACCGTCAGCTCTTCGCCTGGAACGGCGCCGGTTCCTGCGCGCTCGCCGCTACGCCTCCGGGCTTGTCCACCTTCAACGGGTGCGCGCTCGCGGGGGGCGCGTTCCAGGGTGTGAATGGGCTCACGGGCCTGGCAAAAGTGCAGTCCGCATTCACACCGGCGCGCTGCAACTACACAGGTGGGGGGATGATAGGTGTTGCTTGCGATCACGTCTGATCTTCATGGACGAGCGTTAATTAAGAGTCGGTTGTCGTTGGGGTCAAAGGCTTGCGAGGCCTTTCTGTAAAGGCTATCAGAGCGAAGCCCGTTGCGGGTTTGTCTTTGCCTGAGAAGTGAGTATCTCGCTTGCGAATGCTAGATGCGCGGGTTCAGTGGGCTTTGGGACCTGGCATACGACCAACTGGTGTACAGCGGTTTCTCTCAAAACTGACCAAGTTCACGAAAATGTTTCGGGGCGGTGCAGTGCACGGTATCGAGCCTCGTGCTTCAAGAAATGGAACCAGTACCTACCGATTTCAGCGTCTTGGCCCGGGTTTGGACCGGATACATTCCAGGTTTGAACCGACTGTTCCGCGCATTGATGTCGACCTTCAGATCCGTGCACCGCGCAATTTAAGATATCCGTAAACCGGACAGGTTCGAAGGAAACCGCTGTACTTTCCGGCTTACTGAAAATACATCTGGGGGGTCGGCCCGCTGACGTTGACGCCCAGACCGCTGACGACTTTTCGTGCTTTGCAGCCATAACGGATCCGGCCATGTGTTCCCTGGTGAAGGGGGTTTTCTCCGCTCCGAAGTGCGCATTAAAAAGCGAGCCGGTATGCACCGGCAATGGCGGGGTCTGGAGCGCGCGCAGTCCTTGGTCGCTCGCGGGAGGATGGGACCTGCTCATTGTCGGCCTCATGCAGGTGAGGCTCCGTTCTTTTTGCCCGTCCCTTTTGTGTCTTTCCTTGCTTGTCTTTCAACCGTTGTTTCCTTGCTGGTTTCCTTTCCTTTTCGTCCAGCTTTTGCTTCGATTTCTCGTATTCCTCGCGTGGGGATAGAGCACGATTGAGGTGCTTGCATCCAAGTCCCCTTGCTTTGCTGTAGGTGAGTTTGGGGTTATGCCGCAATCCCCATCTGAAAGTGTACAGGAGTGGGAAGCCTTTAGAGCTCCATCGTCCTCTTTTTTAGAAATTGGGGCACATACTCTAGAAGCGGGCGACTAATCAGCGAATCAATCTCGTTATGTCATCAACGGGACAATCGCTCCTCACTGTCGCAGGGCATTCTGAGCTACCCCTTCTTCGACCCAGTGTTGACGGACCGCTGCTTCCTAGCCGAACCCAAGGCCATGGTTAAGGCGTTCTCTCTTGGCGGTTCTCTCGCGGGTTGTTTCATCATTCTCTTCTCCCTCATTGGAGTCTTCGGCAACCAGACGGCTATCCTTCATCCGGAACGGTAAGAACCGGGCTGCCAGTTCCCCTCAATTTGTGAGTTCCTGAAGTGGGAAGTTCGTTTAGAACATCTATCTTCATTTCGATTGGCATCAATATGTTCCTTTCCAGCATTGAATTGCCTTTAAGCAAGAGTGCTGAAGCGGAAAGTACCTAGAGTCTTGAGGATGAAGAAAAAAACGGACAATAATGTTGCCTCTTAGGACGCTTGACACTCCATTTTGCAATGAAACTTTCCATGCGGTGTCTGTGACGCAGTGTTGTCTCCAGCCGCGACCCGAATCAATCCTGTATTCTGGTGGTTGCGAACGCTCTTTTCCCAAAACCGCCAAGCCTAGATCCTTGTGTCGCCTTTAGCTACTCGGGATGAGGTCCGTCCTGCTTCAAGCGGAACGTGTCATTTACACTGTTCCTTATGTCTCGCAGCGTTCCGGAGGCTCTGTTCGCCGGAATGCTGGGCGGGGCCCCTGCCGCCGTTTCCAAGTATCTAGGCACGGCGATTTTCAGCATCATCAATATCATTTTCCTAACCGAGAGCATCTCGACCGTCGATTCGACCTTCACATCGACGGCCAAGCTGTTCGGGCCCGAATTCGCTGGTGTGATCGAAAGGGGGGCGCCGGATACGCCGGCCAATGCCAGCAAGAGGTGAGGGCGTGTCGCACCAAAATATTACACTTCCTGTTCTTGGTCTAGCTCGGCTTCATCGTGCGCTTTGTACATTAGTTCTGTCCCATAGCGGCGCTTGAGCAGCTTCTTCTTGTGAGACTGGAGCCTGAACGGGGTCATTGATCCTGGAGAGATTTATACGATTGCGGCACTCTGAAAAGGTCTGCCAGCCACAATTGTAAGACATCCGTCGTGCAGGTCTCTGCGGACGATGGCTCATTGCCACCTCAAAAAAGTGTTGCCATTATTCTTATTTCAAGTACGAGGTTCCACGTGGTTCGAAGAACAATAGTTGACTATTCAAGGGCGGGATTTTTGTATTTTCGTTTCCAACGAACAGGTGTTACCAGCCGCTTCTCGTTAGTGCAGCATTCCTCGCACCTTCCATCTTTCTGAGTTGCGCAGAAACTTTCTTTCGGCCGCCGCTCGTACGTTGAGGCTGAACTCTCGCCTCCCTATGCTGAAATGATTTTGCCGGCCAGGTGCAAACGGTTTAAGGATCCGTTCGACTTAGAACGCGATGAGTTGAGAGATCTTCCACTCGACTTACTTCAACGATCGCGTCGGGGAACCGGTTCCTCTCAGGCGACCAGATACTGCGTCATGGACTCCCTTTGGTCGCCAAACGCAATTTCAATTTGAGATGCCGGCTGTCGGATGATACTTTACCTCAGCCTGGAAGCACGAATGTACCTCGACAATTCACGCCCGAATGCTAAAATCCTCTCATCACTGTTTGATCTGCTGACGTCGTCTTGCTGACGTCGTCTCGATCAATTTTGTGCAGGCATCTGTACCTGGGCCGTCTCGCCATCGTCATCATGGCTGGCGTCGGGGGATCGATCCCCCTTAGGCGACCAAATACTGCCCCACAGAGCTGCTTTGGTCGCCAAAGGCAGTTTCCAAGATGTCATGTGGGCCGTCGAATATTTTTTCCCTCAAAATTAGTCGCGCTTATCAACGTTTAATCTCACTGATCAACACTGCGCAGGCATCTGTACCTCGGCCGTCTCGCCATCGTCATAATGGCCGTCGGCGGAACCCTTCCGCTTCTCGCGGACCCCAAGGTCCTCAACGCGACCACCGTGAGCGGGACTGTAGTGCTCGGGCTGGGCCCCCCGGTCTACGCCCTCATGTTCATCAAGGGCTACCGACCGCTCGTGTTCCACCTGCCTTTCTGGACCGGGGTCGCCTTCGGCGTCGTCTTCCAGGTGAGTCTCGAGTCCAGGTTCTATGGGGGGAGAATAAAGCGACTGTCTCAAGTGCATGCTTCGGTTAACTTTTGAGCCTCAACCATTGATGACCTGACCTCTGGAAACTGTAGCGAAGCAGGGGAAGGAGGCTCTCTTCGGAATTCAAGCAAGAAACAACGAAATTCATAACAAAGCTCTCAGCTAAAGAGCTCCACAAACGTCTGTGACCTGACGGTCGGTGCAATCCTGGCTGAACCAGATGACTCACAGAAGGTCTCCTTCTGGAACTATCTCAGCAAAACGGGGGACTCCGTTCATTCTTGGGTTTTCCAGATGTGAAGAACCCTGGAAAGCAGGCCAGGTCAATTTCTTCACCAGTATCGATTGTTTTTGCGTTGAGCCAGATTAAGATCCATATTTATTGGCAGCGGGTGGACGCACATTACCAGAACTCTAAATACAGATTCTGACGTTCCGCACCATTTTCTACCCTAACCTCCAAAGTAGCCCCAACCCGCCGCTCGGGCACCGACTTACCTCAGGCCGGCGATTACTTGACCTGAACCCGTAGGATTGGTTCTAAACGCTTAACCAACGTTCAACTAACGCCACTGCTTTTCAGTTATCTTCCGCGAGTTGCTGCCGCGACTACATCAACGTCAAAGGCTTTGCCATGGGCTCCGGGTCGGAGCAGCTGCTCCTCGGGTTCAACGTCATTGGGTCGCTGTGCGCGTGGGGCGTGTGCGGAATCTGTCTTCTGGAAAACGTGCCGGCGTATCACTTACTGAAGACGCCGGGCGCGGACGAGTCCGTGCTTGGGTCAATGACCGGTTGGTTCCGCCGGGGGAGGAAGGACGACCGGAAGGAAGCGGAAGCGGACTACGAGGACGTCAAAAGCGCGGACGTCGAAACGCCCGCGAGCGCGCGCTAGGAGCGATTTGACAGTCAGCGAGGCGATTGCCGTAGACTCCTTTTTCGTTGATAGTACTGGTCGGAATCAGAGCTTGTACTCGGAATCTAGGTTGCATTCACTGTGTGGCGCGCACGCGTTGCATAGCCGAGCCTTTTGAACGAGTCGCGCAAAGGAAAAAATTGCTCGCGTGTTGGCTGGGGGTTGGACAAGGACAAGGACTCGTAGCTAGATATTCCCGTGAGGCCCATTGCTTCAGGACCGAAGCCGATTCAACGAAACGCAGAGTATTTTCTGACGGGTCAGAGATCAAGATTCAGACCATCATAAGCTTGCAGGATAATTTGAGAATCTGAGTCTGGGCAAGCATCGGTGTAGGTAGTGGCGAGGAGCCTAGAATAAGCCGCTGGTAAAAGCTGCCATCGGCCAGCCGACGCTGCAGCACACGTTGGAACAACAATCCATACCTATGCTTTTCAGGCCGAATTCGACCGTCCGACGTGATCGATGATATAATAATTTGGTCATTTTAGTGAATACGTCTATGATCGTTCTTCTGCAACTCTGTGCATGGCCATGTCATGGATCATAATTAAGCCGAAGCGCCTAGTGACTTTAAGGAAATACCAAGTTGCGCTTTGGTTGCAGTCCCATGGCTTGCCATGCTTTAAAATTTCAAAGCATTTGAACCATTAATGGGCGAAGCGCCGGTCCGACTTAACCAGTCGTCTTTGATGAATGATGCATCAACCGTTGCGCGGGCATCCGGATTCGGCTTTAATTGATCTAATGATCTAGATATATCGAACAAGCCCCGGTGCCTTGGGCGGCCTGCCGGCCATGCATCATGTTGCTGGCGCATGGGCGCCTAGCTGTTGTTTGTAAGTTCTCAGTGGACCGGACACTGTGCGCATATATATCATGCAGCGCCTAACAGGCTCGCAGATTTCACGTGCGCAATGCCACCGCGTGACATAATGCACATGATCAGTATCGAATTCTATAATTCATATTGCGAATGCGCAAATTTTCATGAAAATCGGGTCACAAGCAGCATCAATCTTATGATATCTTCGTATTGGAACGCGTACGATGATTGGACAGCCGAAGCTGCGCGCCGGTTTGAACTACAGATGTATACCAACACGAACTGCACTTCAAATTCAATACCCTACGACAATCGTTCTATAATTTGCCTGGTCGGCGGCAGTGACGCATATGCGATCTGAAGTGCGACGTCACATGTATAATTCTAAGTATAGATAAGAATAAAAGAACCAGTTTCAAGAGAGCCTACTACCGTCTAACTCCAATCAGAGAAGCCTATGGCCGAATTGGGTACGGCATATTTGAAAGAGACCATCATACCTATGTATGTAGCTATGCAGATCGGACAAATGGTATTAAGCGATTGGTCACAAGTCCGGCACATAAAAAAGGCTTGACTTGTAGGTTTGGCCACTTGCCTGATTGATCGTTCTCACCCACTCCGACCATCTTGTATGAATTACGTACCTACTCTGGTTATCATCTCATGGACCTGGGAGCAAGTGCCTATTCATGATCTCTTCTGGACATGACTTGTAGCGATGGCAAGCTTCAAATTCAAAACCAGATTGGGCTTCGCCGGAGACCGCATGCTTCCTGGCTCCAAGGTAGCTAAAGGCAGCATTTGTTGAGGACTTGCCATCAAGAATAAATTACCCCGTACTACTTTCTTCGGGCGCAATGTTTCTTGTGTGATGCCCAATGTAGCTTCTGATGCTCTTTGCTGCACATGGGCCAACTTCTGATTCAGCCAGGGAACTCAAAACATTGAAACAAGAAGCTGATCTTTCCGTTTTGGAACTTCTTGCTCTTGGTTGAGCCTATAGTAATCACTCTCATAGAGAGCCAGCCTTGGACACAGCTGTGCTCAGACCTCTTGAGCACAAGAAACCCAAGCTAGTGCTATGTTGAAGCAAAGTGTGTTGTCTCCTTCTCGTACTCGCAAACGCTAGTGCAGTCCGATGAATTGCAACAGAAAACGAGGGGCTCAAACGGCCACATTTGTGAGACTCAAATCTTCACACAAACAGACAGTCACTATCTAAACCTTTCTTTGTCTTATCAATTTGAAGCGAAAGAAGTAGGTGCAAAAGTGACCCCACAATGATCCATCTACGACAGGGCGCCTTACCTGCAGTAGCGCGACACCCCGCAGCCGCCACAGACACTCAGCATCCTCTCCGCTGACTGTGGCTCAGCAGTACAGTGTTCCCACGAGCAGACCGTTGGAGCGCCTGTGGACGCCGCCTTTCTTTGCTTCCACAGAAATTTGAGACGGTTCCTTACCGTGGCACTTCCACGCCGTTGTTTATCATCGCACTCTTCATCCAAGACCACATACTACGGCGCTCAGGGAAGGCTAAGTCGATTATTTTTGAGCAGGGCTCAAAGATGGCAACCGCCCCGCAGTCTTTGAGCTTTCTAAACGCGTCTATTGAGTCGAACAGTCGCATCAGCACAAAGGTGCAAAGCTCAAGCTCGACAGTATCGGTTCTCAACTGCCGGCCGTACTGCTGTTCTAGACAAGTGAAGCCTCCCGCTAGGAGCTTCACAAATTCTGCATCGCCAGCAACCCACTCAATGCTGTCGGGAGAAAGTGCGAGCGCTATGGTGAAGTTGGTTATCACCGTTTGGTTCAACTTGAAGCTTTCATCCGGTGGCATGTTTCCGTACACTTTCAGAAGGAACGACATTGCGGGAAAGACAGATGCGGTCCGGATGGTGTCTCTGAACTCCCTCGATATAACGGCAAAGTTGAATAGCCCTTCCAACCCCCAGGTTATCATGGACTGGAATGCCTCAAGCGCAAAGGATCCCAGGTCTTTCACCTGGAATGTTTCAGATTCATTCCTGCCAAGAAGCAGGGCACTGCTGAATTAAGAGCACAACTGATCTGCAGCCCCATCCTCTTTTAGGAGCGCCAGCGCTAAGACGTCGCTGCAACACATCTTAATGATGAACGCGAAGGCAGAGTGGCCAAGTAGATGGGTGGCATCCATTCTGTCCATACCCACTAGACATTCTTCCAGGTTGGTGGGGAGCTGCTTCAGGAGTTTTCGCAGGATAGCACCTTTCTCATAGACAGCTAGCTCTTGCAGAGTTCTTGAAAATCGGATGACAGAGTCTGCTTTTGGTGAGTCCCTCAGCAGAGTCAGAGAAGCTATGGCCTGCCATTGGTCGAGCGCCTCGCCGGTCAACAGCTGGGCTGCATATGCAGCAACGGCGCTTTCCATCCTCATGACAAGGTCTTGAATTTGTAGCTCGCGAATTGCCAGCACACCATGTGACAGATTCACAGTGACACAGTCAAACGAATGCCTCTGGCATGAGCAAAGTCGTCCGACATCCGCCGCCGGTCCTCATTCAAATTGCAGCTTGCTAAACCGACAGGCTGCTCCTGGCCCTGGGCCTGTATTCAGAAAGTTGGTGTCGGATTTCTCGGTGTCGGATTTTGGAGAGTCGTAGCCAGCAGAGGCTCGGTGCGGACCGCCGAGTTCGTCATAAATTCAAGGGTACCGTTCATCGCACGGAACAAAATTAAGAAGGATAAGTAATCAAATAAGCTGAGATAATAACACGGTATCACTGCACCGAAATGGGGTAGGGTTAGTATGGGGGCTTAGGCTGGATATGGGTGGAAAGCGGGTATTAATTCCGGTTACAATTTCTGGTTTTAGTAGGGGTTTTGGTACTAGGTATATGATATCGAGTGGCATATATTACGCATTATGCATATATTACGGTATATCTCCCTAGTCTCATAAGATGTGCAGTCCGGCCCCATTCCAATTGCAGCTAGGCGTGCTCTCTCGCGCCAGTTCCCCTTGAGGACATTGGTCGGAACTGGCGCGAAGAGCAAGATCTACAAGATTTTCGGCGCGAGAATGAAGGCGGGGGTAGGTACTGACCGGAGCGTCCTCTTCGATGATGGGAGCCTTGCAAATCCAATACCCGGAAATCTGACACCAAGTTTATGGTTATCTGGGCCTGGGCCTGGCTACCGGAATTAGGTACCTAGGTAGGTACGGTAGTATTGAGTCTACGCATTGCGGGTGGACTACGGTACGTCAAACCACGCCCGGGCAGAGAGTACTGCTTCGGAAAAACCTTTATTACTTTCTTGTATATTCAGAGACTAATTCGATTGTCCCTATACATCTGACCCCCTGCGCTGCCTATCATAAGGGCTTGATAGGCTTTGGAGTCTGAGCTGGCAGTGACGAATTTCATAATCGGTGCAATTCGTGAGATCTTTTGGTGCTACACGAGGCAGGATGTGTCTAGGTCTGGTCATCAAGATTCAAACCCTGGGGCCTGGTGGCAGTGGCAGAGCCAGTACAGCTCAATAAGGACCTTGCTGGGGGCTGCTATGCATAACGCATAACTTATAAGGGGTTGGTCTCACTCCGTTCGTGCCCGGGGGTAATAAGGGGACATGTCCCTGGGAGGCCTGCATACTCATATCCAGGTTAGCCGGTGAAGGTGGCCGGTTTCATCCGCAGTTATCAGAGGTGTTCCGGTGCCCGAACGTTTAGACGTCCAGGCGTTTCACGGGCTGCAACTCAGCTTCTTTACCGTACAGAGGCTATCTAGCTGGAAGAGAAGCCTCAAGTTAACCGTCGGCCTGATTGGAAGGATTTGACGGATTTTGATCGTGTGCGCTGCTTTGATTGGCTCGGTTCACGTGCCCCGGTCCGCAATCGTCGATCGGAGCACGCGTACGGCTGCATGTCGGTGCTTGGCGAGAAGCGATCCCCTTGCGCGCCCTTCGACCCCTTCCCAACCAATTCTCTGCCGACAAACATGGGAAACCAATCATGAACCCTGAATGACATTTATCGAGCCACTCTTAGCTTGCCACGTGGAAATCATGTCAGGTATGAGCCGTGGATTTGTGTTCGTACTAGGTCGGGCGTATCTTTTTCAAAATTTCAAAATTTGCTCGCGAGTCGCAGTCGCAGCTCTTGAGTTGTCTTGAGTCTTGACTCAAGACATCAGTCTGCAGCTGACGGGCCAAAAAGAACCGGAACGCCGGAAGGGGGGTGAACGCAGCAGCAACGCTGGGCGAACGGGGGGACAGCAAAGAAACGCTTGGCGCTCACAATCGAGGCTACGGTACCCGCTCCTGCTCTCTCCTCAGAAGAGCATTGAACTTGAAGAAGTCTACCTACCCAGAAGAGCATTGAAGAAGTCAATCAAACTTGCAATCTGACGGATTTCTTGCTCTGTTCAAGAAGGATCTCAGGACAGCCGCCGCCAGCATGGTAAAGTGAAGCTGTTGGAAATTGCTGGACGGTGAAGGGCGCTAGTCGAAGCTGCTTCGCATGTCTGTTAGAGGCAGACACACTCAGACGTCCAACAATGCGCATTTGGTGCATTGAAAGATATCAAAGTTGCAGTTCAGCTTTATCATGGAGGACGCATTTAAGCTCTTACAGAATGCTAACAGCATAGACGAGTTGAAGGAGGTTCTTAGCAGCCTTGAAGAGCTCTTTGCACAGTGTGCAAAATCTTCAACTGTAGGACCCTCCAATAGGCGCAACCCTGGAGCGACAGCCAAAACCCTAGGTCCTTCAATTGCTCAGTTGCTAAAAATCTGCTTTGGGAAGCTGAACACTGCATCGACCAGCAGTCAAGCGGAGACTGAGAAAGCCTCTTTGTACGCATCTGCTGCCATACTCAGCATTGACGCTCTCAGCACCTTGCACGGTCTCAGGCCGCTAGAGGTCGAAATCCAGCGGTACAATCTGATTCGAAGGCTAGTGTCATGGCAGAAGCACAGAGCAGCCCTCCTTCAGGGTTGGATTCTATTTGCAAGCCTTAGATGCCAGGTTGCGGGGTTGCACGCCAGAAGTGATGAGGAGAAGAAGGAAATGCTGATAAAAGCAAGGGCCTGGCATGTGAAAAAGGTGGGACTACTAAATCTAAGAGCAGCTGCGAGCGGGGGGCCTGGCAGAGAATCAGTGGAGAGCTTAGTTAAGGTGAAGGTGGTTGAGCTCCAAAGTCCAGGTCAGGAAGAAGCAGCCGAGATGGTGACGCTTGTGGTTGGGAGCATCCTGAACCTGCTCATCTGTTTGTTGGAAACAGCGCCTATGAGCATGACAGCTCTTGAAGAGCTGCGGCCAGCCATCGATATTTTGGGTTTGTGGATCAGGTGAGCGAATGCGGCCTTGCCGCAGCATCAGCAACTCTTTACGAGACTCGTGCTTTCCAGTGACCACTTTACCTCTAGAAACATGGCCATGTGATTTTATGATGTCAAACATCTGAATGCAACTTTGTGGGGGCTGTTATCCATATTGCTAATCTCGTTCACTGGAATTGCAGCAAGCTGGATGATGCTACGGCGGCAAAGCACCGGGACTCGTTGTTCCGGTGCTTGTACAAGGCCGCATGCCAGCTGCTCCAAATGGTGACGTCGCCCATCGGCTTAGCCTGCCACTACTGCAGCTTAGCCCTTCATGCCTGCAGCCAATCTTCCTCGAACACTCGGTATCTGCAGGTAACTTGACACCTCCCGTAATGCAATTTCTTGAACGCTTCCTGTCTTTCTTGACGTCTTGCTTGGATGTTGGAGCTTACCACCTGAGATGCTTGACATGCTCTCTGATGCACCTTGGCATTGTCACAAACCCGAATCTATGCAGGTGGCGCAAAAACTGAGCCGCAGTCTGACAGAGAGGGACCCAAACAAAGGTCTTGCTTTCTACCAAGATTGCCTCCAGAGCATTTCCGTTGGTACGCAGGTGCGTAACAAAGTTTGCAATCTGCGTCCTCTGTGCATTTGCTTACAAACAGGAAACTCTTCCAAATTGACTGAGCAAGCCCTGAAGCACATCATCAAATCGCCAAAGCCAGGACCTTGCAACTGCTGTCCTTTGTGGTGCCTACCTCCGACGCGTTTCTGAGTGTGCGTGGTCATCCTCACATGGCTCTCTTTTCCTTCAGGGGTCCAGTTCCTCAGACATCCTGGCTCTGGTTGCAAGTTACACCCAAGCCTGCATTGATCACGCATCTGAAGAAGCCGGGTGTCACATGATGTACAACCTGTCACTTACTCATCAGGTAATGCTCCACCGCTCTGAATTGTAGATGTGTATCTATTTCCAGAAGCTCAGCTGGAGCTAAGATCACTTCAAAGGACCCCGTTGTGGCTTTCTCATTTCAGCAATAGTACACTCTTCTGCATGAAGTTTGCACACCCCTAAGCTACCAATTGGAGACAGGGGCTAAGTCCAATTCATGCATCATCTGGCATACCTGACCAGTCTTTCGTCTTGGCAGATCACTGGTCTCCACATCCTGCCATTGCTCCTTAACTTAGAACCCGACCAGCTGCTGAAGCTGTCAAAAGGGAATCAGAAGCGGTCAGCCAAGCCTTGCTTGCAGAGCTACCTGTCATCTGTTCAAAAGGCGATGTCTGCAGTCGATAGCACGCTCAATGACCTACTGCAACTGGAGAAGCGCCGGGTAGAGAAGGAAGCTTTCTCAGAAGCAGAGGCAATCCTGCTCTCACTCGTCCCAGTCCTGGAGCTCCTCCGCAAAGCTGCCTCTAGGCACGTTGAGAACACGTGGCAGGCTTGGGTTGCGTCTGAAGGTAGCGAAAGGCATGGAAAAGGAAGTGCCGCTGGAGTGGAGGCTGTGCAAGGGGCAGTGGAAGAGGGCCTGCTGCTTTGGGTCACCAGCCTGGACGTTTTCTGCAGGTATGTGATACGGGTCTAGGCTTCATTTGAGTGGTTGGCACAGACTGTTTTGATGCAGTCTGAGAGTTTGTTGGATCTGCAGGCCTCTCCTTTCTTATGCTTAACCTGCTATTTCGCAATCCGTCTTCAATCTCACGATACTTAAGCATGCAGACCAGTCCTCTTGTGTTAAGTCTCCTCCAATCCTGTCTGTGTAAGGTAGACTACGCGGGGCAATGATAGGGCAAGTTTTGGGTACAATCAATATTGATGATGCATGCCTAACGTCCTGCAGTCTGCGGAAGAAGAGCAAGTTGAGCGGCGATGCATTCACCAAGCTGTTGACCTCGTTGCCGTCCGTTCTGTCAACCCGGATGCGACTGTGCCTGGCGAAGGACGAAGAAAAGGTTAGCAACTCCCAACCCTTTCATCCCAGTCTTCTCCCCAGTCGTCTCTTGGGCTTCGATCGTTGGAGGCTGCTTCGAGTCTCCCTGACGTCGCTTTGGTGACTGCTGAGAGACGCTGGTTGATTACTCCCAGCATTGATGAAAATCCTGCTTCAACAAGAACTGGTTGTTCGTTGCCAGGTCCTGACCGAGTTGCAGCTGGCGAGTAAATGGACGCAGAAGCTGAGCGAGCTTGGCGTGGGTAGAGAGCTCAAGGGGCTGTCCTCAGGCATGTACAACCTGGGTGTGCAGCTCTTCAACCAGCACCGATACGACCTGGTGAGCCATGGCTACTTTGCTTCCAACATCGCCTTCTTGCAGGCTCTGGCTCGAAACTGTGCTCTTAAACAGAGCCTTAGACCTACGTCCTTCGCCATACAGTCTGCTTCGCGTAACCTTCTGAAGCAGGTCTGCTCTGTGTGACCCTGCATTGACTTGACACTCAAGAGGAGTGTTTTCGCAGCGCCTAGGTCATTTATTGCTATTCTCGTCTATGGCAGGCCAAGCATCCCCTCAGCGTCGCGAGCCTCGCTTCCTGGGAACGATTTGACACAGCGGCTGCTCCGGTTCGCCCTTCCGACCAGTCGCTGTCGTATCCCTCCACGATCTTGGAGCAGCACTCCCCCTCTGACGTCATCCAAGACGCCTGCTCGAAAACAGCCAGCCACGCGGACTGCATCCGCCGAGAAGGGGACGCCGAGGCCGCCGCGGATGCGCTAGTGCCTGGCTTTAGGGGACTGTGTCGCATTGCCGGCGCGCTGCCAGGAGCGGCCCTGCAGATTCTTGTCAAGCAGCTCGATAAGGTGAGCAGTGACACAAACACCTCCGCAATCGAGTTTTCAAATCGGCGCTAGGTTCCGGCGATATCCGCTTCGATTAGAGCTGTGACTTGATTGATATCGCTTCTGCTGGCTGGTGCGTCTTGAGGTGGTTGGTCCGGGCTACCAGAAGCAGGATCACAGCTCGTCCCCATCTTGAATTGAGATCTTTTGCTTGATTCCAGAGTGGGCAGACTAGCTATGAGGTGCTTTTCAGGTGACGAATGTGCTCATTTTGCGGTCCCTGATTGAAGCCCCTATTTCTTCGCCGCAGATTCAAGCGCTGGACCCGTCCTTCTTCGTCCACAACCACGTCTACCAGAAAATCCTCGAGGAAGACCGGCAGCTCGCCTCAAGCAGCCATTGTGGGCTCATCTTTGAAGAAGTAGGCCACCCGCACTTCGTCCGCTTCGCGTCGAGCTCATATTCGACTTTATCAAACGCCGTTACTCCGGAAGGGTTTTCGCTCCTCGTCTCTCAGCGTTATGGAAGCCATGCTGCTAGACGCTGATCTTACTAGAAACTTGCCGGATTGACCGTCTCTGTACAAACGTGCGGTCAGTGGCTTTGGAATACCAGAGTCTCTCACGCATAAGTAATCAGTGAATGTCTTCTGTGAATATTTCAGATACTGGCTGGCCTCCAGAGCGAGGAGACAGCAACCTTTGCTCCCGCGGTCTCGTCCCTGCTCAACCTCATGCTGACAAGCATCTACGCTGAGAGCAGTCACCCGATCCGGAGAGCCCGCCTGCTTATGGAGCACGCTCGGTTGACAGCTGCGGACGACGAAGCGACCTGCACCAGGAACCTCAAAGATGCCATCAAGCTCCAGGCAAGCCGAATATGGACGTTTGCGGAAATCACCTATTCGCTGGCAAGTTTATTTTGGTTCTGACGGGCGGACTTCATGAGGATTGCTTGCGCAAACGCTTTCATTCGTTGCAACTCTACCCTTCCAAGAAGTGCTGGCTAATCTCGACTGCCGATTTGGATCCGCGGGTCTTCGATCTCGGGTCACTTCTTGACACAGCACGCAGAAGTTAGAAACGAGCGAAGACGTCAATTTCTGAAAGGCCTGGCGATCGACAGCAGGTGAATTGAGAAGGTTGTCCTTTTCTGCTGCAGCAAGCCGTGCTCAGTGACTCCCGGAAGGCGGGCAAGGACGGTGGCTTGCTTGCCTCCCTGCGCGACGAGTGTGCTCTGGCGCGGTGCCGACTGCTGCTGCTCAAACACACGGACGCCCCCCAGGTCAGACACAAAAGTGATCCCCTCACGAAACTGCTTCTTATCGATCGTTCCATTCAGCCAGCATCCGCGCCCAGTATTGAAGTAGTGCACAGGTTGGTCTACTTTCGCGCAGGCTTTCAAAGCAGGTTCTTGCTATTGAGGAGTCACTCGGCGCACTCTCTTTTAAGCTGCTGTTTAGCGACGTTATGCCCGGGTCCTGCATCTCGCCAAGAGCACTGCTTTTGTTACACGTGCAAAAGCTGCAAAACCAGAGAGTCCTTCTTCTTCAATTCAGGATCTTCAGCCGGCGGTCCGGGACGCCTTCCAACTGTGGACGTCACTCCTGGAAAGGAAGGATGTTACCGAGGGATGCTTTCTCAGCCCAACGGCCTCTCAATCCTGTCTTCTTCAAGTGGCGGACCTCCTTGCAGTGAAAGTGAGCCGATGCTGTATCCCTTTCTGCTTTCCCTGTCAGCCTGGCGTCAACATTTTCCTGCGAAACACCGACAGCTGTTTCTGTATACTTTGTTCATCTGACTGTGTATACAGCCAGCAGACCGGCAACAACTGGCAGAGAAGCCTATCTCCAGCGTGTTAAAATAATCAAACAAACTCTCGTTTCTTCTCAAGCGTTGTGCGTTGCCGAGGTCGACGGTTTCATGAACTTCCCGCGCCGCTAAAAGGGTGCAAAGCAGTGGAACATCTCTCTCGTTCGAAAGACCCGCGGCGACCTACTTGTCTGCTCTTGCAGGGCCTTTCATCGTTGCAACAACAGGCCATTCAGCTCGTTACCCGCATCGCCCATGCAGTCAGCCCCAGCACGCCTCTCCCGCACCACTGCGCCTCGCTGCTCGCGCACTCCCGGCTCTCGCACCTCCTCTGCTGCAACCCCCTCCCCTCGCCAGCAAGCCTCTCTGACGAGGGGGACCGGGGAAAAACGCACTCATTCTGGGAAAAGTCCGCTGCTCTCTGCCCCGGGTCCCTTCTAGAAGCCACGGTGAAGTCACGCGCAGGCTGCGCCTGTACGGAGTCCCCGAGCACCAGCGAGAGAGATGACGTCAGCGCTTCCGCAGAGCAGGAGCTCCGTGCGGCGATAGCCCAGAGCGCTTCCGCCGGAAGGAGGTCCGCGACGGAGCTGGTGAAGCAGAGCGGACTGCTGCAAGCGCTGGCGGAGCGGCTCTTGCGCGAGGGGCGACGAGACGAAGCGCTGTGCGAGGCGACGGAGGCCTTACGGATCCGCTTCGGGCTGTTCGGACACACGTTCGGGGCGGGGAGAGAAACAGAGGGGGACAGTCACGCAGAGGGCGAGGAGAAGCAAGATAGCGGACGGAGCGTGACTTTGACGCCGACTGTCGCGGCGGCTCGGGTGGGCTGGCCCTCGCTGTTCTCTCGCAAGGAAACGAGCGGAAAGATCAGCGGACTTCACAACTCGTGGAGGGTCGTCGGGGATTACCTGGAGAGTCTTTTCTTCGTCGGGACGCTCTCCGAGAGCGCGGGAATGGTCGACGATGCGGAGCAGAATTTTCGGGAGGGGCGGCGGATCGCGGAGGCGGCAGGCGCCGCGCACGTTTGCGCGGCCTTTCTGTCGAGCATGGGGGAGGTGAAGCGGAAGAAGGGGAAGTGGGACGCGGCAAGCGAGGCGTTCGAGCGGGCCGGGGAGTTCCTCCGGGAGGCCCCGATTGACTGCGAGGGCTGCCGGGTGCTGGCGCTGGCTCGGCTGGAGAGACGAAAGGGGGATCTGGTGAGAAGGCGCCCGGGGAGCGCGTCAGAAGCGGGGAAAGAGCAGTCGGGGGCTCGGGAGCACTACGAGAGGGCTGCGAAGATGCTGCATGGCGTCGTTGGGAGCGAACCGGGGAGCGGTCGCAGGGAAAAGCAGCATCTGGTTGAGCGGGCGGGGCTAAGTAAGGGTTTAGGAGCGACGGCTGAGCTGGAGGAAGGTTCGATGGAAGGGGTGAAACGGAACCTGATGTGGGCGATGTCCGAAGCGGAGCCCAGCAAAGAGCTCGTCGTTCCGGTCAAACGGAAACCCGGCAGGAAGGCGCCGGCGAACCCGGAACGGACACCGCTCGCGGAGGCCCCCACGAACCACAAGACAGGACGGCCGGGCCGCAAAAAGGCGGCAGTAGAGGTAGTGACGATTCTTTCGTCCGACGAGGAAGCGAGCTGCGTCACGCGACTCGAGACCGCGAACCCGGCAGGGAAACGGAAAGGCCCTGTTCGAGGTCGCGCGAGCAAGATTGCGCAGGAGAGCAGCGCGTCGGAGCTCGAGAGCGAGGCCTCGTCGACCAGCGTGGCGAACAGCAGGGCCCCAGTCACTCGGAAACAGCCCCGGGGAAGGAAGCCGCGAAACGCGGCAACCGGTTCTGACGCTGCGTCGGAGTCGAGCCCACCCGCCAAAAGGGTTCCTGCTCTTCCGGACCTCGACAAGAGGCAGGAAAAGCTGCGGAGAGTCGTGCTGCTGGAGAAGGATTCCGTGCTGCCCGCTCTCCGGGGGTCCAGGCTGGGGAAGATTCCGGTGGGCGCAGCGGAACTGGACGAGCTGCAGGCGGGAGTAGGGCGCATTGCGCTGAATGATGCCGGCGGCGAACGGATGGAGCGGGGCTCAGATGCGGGGTTGGAGCCTTGGCTGCCGGCGGCGAGGGAAGAGCTTGCGCGGGTGCTCGTTCAGCAAGGTGAGTAGCAAGGAGTTGGTCTCGTTGGAAACCTGTGGTCAGTGTCGCACCGCCGTTTTACCGTTGGAAGGACTTAAGAAGCTCTGGTGTGTGCAGGTCTTCGACTTTCTTTGGTGACAACTGGTGGACAAGCCTGTTTTGCACGGGCGAGGCCCCCGGCGGTGTCCTTGAAGGCGTCGACCCCGACGGGGCCAGTGTGTTTTAATCGCACTTTGAGCCCAAGACTCTACAAGAATCATTGGCGGCCAACTTCCGCAGGCATGCAGCGTGCGCTGCTAGGTTGTTTCTTAGTTCTTTTTCTAAAAATTCCCTTTAAATCATTGCAGGCAAGTGCTGCTCCTCGCCAGAGCAAGCCCGGACCCTCTTCCTCCGGGGCCTCGCTCTAGTTCGCCACTGCCCGGCGGCATTTTCATCGTCCCTGGAACTCTCTCCACCCGCCCATCACCCCCTCACCGAAGCCGCCCTCCTCTACCACCTCAGCCTGCTTGCGCTGTCTTCCTCATCACCCCCCTCAGCTGCCCAGCATTCGTCCCCCCTGGAAATGCTGACTCGCGCGTATGATTTTTCCACGTCAGCACCCCTCCTGTTTCGAAAGATAGCCCTCCAGCTGGCCGCGCTGCACAGCACGCCGTTGGGGGACGGTTGCGAGTGCCACGTGTCAGCCGATGCGAGGATTGCGGCCTACTATCACCAGGCTGCGGTCGGAGCGTCCTCCATGCAGCAGCATCGGGCGATCCTGGACACGAAGCTTGCTGCTCTGTCTCGGACCTCAGATACTGAGGTGAGACATCAGAAACTTTGAAGGAAACCTGTGTTGATTTGCATGGGTTTTGGATTGCCCAAGCTGAGCAGTGCCTTTCAAAGAAAAGGAGTTCCATCTTTGCTGGACCCCTTGCCCCACTGTAGAATGCAGATCGGTGCGTCATATACTTGTGACATCATGCATCGCCACTTCAAAAGGCTGCCGTTGAGGGCTGTGATTCGTTGCGCAGGACAAGCAAGCAAAGGCGGAAAGTGGCGACCTACTCAGGGAGGTGCGAAAAGAAGTAAGGTGGGTTTCTCGGCTTCAATACCCCGACAATCGTGCTTGAGGAAAAAGTCTTGTTGACCGAAGCAATGCTTGCATTTCACCGTTGAACTGCAAGACACATGGTGCTCGGCCCAATGACTCGTTCGTCGATCGCACCCAGTCAAGTTGACGTGCTTTTGGTGGCCTCTGCCGGTTGCGTCAATTGCACGTTGGACGTTCATTGTGCCATCAGGCAAGGTTATAGATCTTAACTCCTTGCCAATGATGCTCTCTATCTAAACATTCACTGTTTCTTTGACAGTGCTCCCAAGCTGTGCGTCGGTCATTGGCCCGACACCCTCAAGGCGGACTTCCACAACCGCATCCTTGACAGCCTGCCCCCCAATTCCGCTGTCTGCTGCATCAGCGTCGTTCGACCCCCCTCTTTCTCCGGCGCGCCTTCTGACTTCCCCACAGCGGACGACGAGCGCTCGTCAGACGGCGACCCTTCCCTGCTCATAACCCGTATGACATCCGACAAGAGCCGGAAACCCGTCTCCGTCCGGCTCCCCATTCCGGTCTGCATGTCCGAGCGCGGAGCCTCAGCGGAACCGGAAGTCCTCCGGGCGGGGCATGAGTCAGCGTACGACGAGCTGAGCGACGACGAGAGCACGGGTGACGTCAGCGTGACGGGGGAGACGACGCTGAGGTCAGCGCTGGAGGAAGTGCTGGAGTGCTTTGCGGAGATTCTGGAGGAGAGCCGGCGGTCGACCGCGGGGCAGGTGGACACGTCAGCGCAGAAGAAGCGGTGGTGGCGCTGGCGGCTGACGCTGGACAAGAACCTGGGTGGCCTGCTCCAGTGAGTTGGACAGCGCGTTTTCTTGCTGCTTGCTTTGTCCGCGCTTCTCTTGTAAGTTTTCAAAGGGCTCTCCTACCGGGGAAAAATGCCTTCGTGGGGTGTCCAGCAATGCCTCGCGAGTGCGGAGTGCAATCCTCTGAGAGACATTTCACGTTTGGTCGTGTTTGCGTTTCAATGGCCGAAGTAACGCTCGCTTGCAGAAGAAGAGAGTCGGCCTGATTGAACGAGCTTTGCAACACTCCCTGATCTGAGCTGCGGAGTTTTCTGGACCTTCAGATATATAAGGGGTTGTGTGAGTATTTAGCAGAAAAATTGAGAGTCACCCAGGGGACAGCTTGGGGGCGGTGATGCAACGCACCCCTTGCGCCTGCATAGCCCCCGAGCATGCATCACATAATACATTCCTCACAAAGACGACTCCCTTCTAAAGCAACCTTTACATTTACACTTCCAGCAACTGGTGTTCTGCAGAGGCCTACGGGTTGGATAGATGCGTACGCACCTTCCCCACCGTGAAAATGTCCGTGACAATCTTGCGTATCTGTGCAGGACGATGGAGGACACGTGGCTGGGCCCCTGGCGCTGCCTCCTGGTGGGCGAACCCGCAAACCCCGCCGCTTCTGCCGCGCTCGTCGCGGCCGCCCGCGACCTCAAGAAGCGCATGGACGCCGCAAAGCAGGGCCGCGCCGAGTGGGCCAACCCGACAAAATCGGGGCCCTGTGTCGACCTGGAGCTCGTCCGTTTGCTGCTTCAGGGAGCGCACTCCCTCCCAGACGGGGCCCTCGAGTCGGCCGTCGCGGAGCTCCTCGGGTGGAGCCCCGAAGTGGCGGAATCCGCAGCGGAACTGCGCGAGGAGAGCGGACGGAACCGGACGCCTCGCGGCCGCGGGGGCGCGGACGAGGCGAGCGACAGCGGCAGCGAGAACGAGAGCGGAGAGGAAGACGGGCCGGAGGGGCTGGAGCTGCGGCAGGCGAAGCTGGTGGTGCGGCTGGCGGACGAGATGCGGCGGGTGGCGATCGAGGCTGACGTCAGCGACGGGGATGGGGACGTCAGCACGGCGAAAGGGGGCAAGGGATCGCGGAAGCCGTCACGGGGGAAGAAGACGAGAGGAGACGAGGACGCGAAGGGCAGGAGCGGGGAACGGCTTCCTGTAGTGCTAGTCCTGGACTGCGATCTGCAGGTGAGGTCTAGCGTGACGGATGCTTTCACAAGACTCTGTTCTTCGGTGAGGGCTTCTCAGAAGGACCTGCATGTGCGAGCCCACCGTTGGTATTCATTTTCAAGGTCTTTTGAGCGAAAGCAGCGAGCGTTCTTGACGCTTCGATTTGTGTGCCCGGTAAGTTACGGGCCTGCAGCTGCATTTAGGAATGTTCAGCTGCTCGGTTTTCTCGCTCGGTAGTCGAATCGGCATGCGAGCGCTGCGGAGATCGGTCTCTGATAAGTCACTCAGAGGACACAAAGGCCAGAAAATGTTTTAATCCGCTATTGCAATGGTTTCTTGACGAGTTCTCTGAACAGCCTGAATCATCTAAGCATTGGCATTAGAAATTTCTAGAGAGTTAGAACCAATTCCAGGGTCAAAATCCTAGAACCTTAAAATCTCTACAATCTTAGAATACTCCTTCGCAGGCGCTGCCGTGGGAGAGCCTCCCCGTCCTCCGCTCCTCCCGCGTCTACCGAGCCCCCTCGGTCGCCAGCATCCGGGCACTCGTCGCCCGAAGCCGCCACCAAAGCCTCCTCGCGACGGCGACCACCGAAGAAAGAGCCCGATTTTCCGTGGACGCTTCCAACGCCTTCTACCTGCTGAACCCAAGCGGGGACCTGGAGGCGACGCAGGCGTCCTTCGAGCAGTGGTTCAGGAGCCAGAAGGGCTGGCAGGTCAGTCTCAGAGAGGGCGTGTTGGAACGCGTAACGCCAAGCTAAAACACCAGTTTCAGCGTTTCCGCCCCTAGCACTTGGCCCTGCTTAGAGTGACCGGTGTTGGTATTGCGCAAACCGAAAGAGGGCGTCGAGAGATTAATCTTCTTAATCAAATGTTCATTAGGGCTCCGCTCTGCCGGTTGCTTGGAAGAGCAAGTAGTCAAGTTTTAGGCGGCAACACTCAATCTTAGTTTAAAGGAGCGTCTGTTGTCAAAAAGCTACGTTGGAGACGCGTTCTTTGAGAATCTCGTGGCTGGGACAGGCTCTTTTCCTTTTGACCTGATGCGAATTTCGCAGGCGCACGGACCCGGCACCTCGAAAGTGCGAGGTCGGAGCCGTTCACTCTGACTCCCTTTCGCCCCCTGCTGGCCGACTGTCAAACAGCCATCACTGGGGCAGGGGTTCCATACCCGAAAGAGATTGACCTTCCGAGTTTTCTTGCATAAGACCAGCGCGTTCGACTCTGCTTGCGAAAAACAAACTTAAACAATGGCCTCGATTGCAGGGGCTGGTGAACCGGCTGCCGTCCGTAGAGCAGCTGCTGACGGCGCTCCAGGAGCACGACCTCTTCGTATACCTCGGCCACGGGAGCGGTAAGTGGCCCTCTGGATCCAGAACTTTTGTCCTTGTTTGATGTTTGCTTTCTCTTTCGGTGTCATCGCAATGAGATGCACTTGTTTGCTTCAAAGGAGCTTGCGAGCACGTCAAAACTTCTTTCAAGAATCTCTTATCGTTTCGTGTGGACATTTCGGTTGACACTGCATTCAAACGACCTGCAATGCCTCGCGCACCTGATCTCGGAGCATAAATACTCAAGAAGAAGATACAGGGCGCCGTCCGTCCTCTTACTAATCCCCACCATACCTCAATTCAGTCGTGTTCTCAGACCGTCTGCTCACAGGCCTTTAACAATCTCACCCAAACATTCCTACTATTCCGTCGAGTCTTGCCAAATTCTCAAGAATTGAACACCGCTTCTTCTCTGGGACTCAATGCAGGCGAGCAGTTCCTTCCCCCCCGCTCCTTGCGCCGCCTTCGGCAGTGCGCCACTGCGCTTCTGATGGGCTGCAGCAGCGGCCGGCTCACTCTTCGGGGAGACTACGAGCCGATGGGCGCGGTGCTCTCATACCTTATGGCGGCCAGCCCGGCTGTGGTCGCCAACTTATGGGACGTCACGGACGGCGATATCGACCGCTTCAGCAAGACGGTCTTGCAGCGGTGGCTTCAGCCCCGGAGCGGTGACGGGTCAGATAGCGAGAACGAGCAGGGGGGGTCGAGGGCAAAATGGCGCGCTGAGTTTGAGCTGCCCCCCCGGGAGGAGTGCATAGGCAGCGCGGTGGCGGACGGGCGCGCGGCCTGCATTCTGCCGTTCCTGATCGGGGCGGCCCCTGTCTGCTATGGGGTGCCGACCGGCGTAACGATGAGAGAATAGGGACCGCTGACGGATTCGATTTCAGCGGCGAAGCGAGGAATCGCTGAAGGACTTGGATACAGCAGCGCAGGTGGCAAAGCTAGACTGATTTGATCATGCTATACGAAGCACTGATCTTAGATCGCTTCTGCTCCAGGAAGTGCAGATAAAGCTCCAACGAGTCAATACCTACGGACAAGTTGGTAAGCTAAAGAGTCGACTCGAAAGTACTGTTCGTCAAGTCAAGTGCTCTGGAGTGAGTGGCATTCCAGCCATCTCATAGATCAATGTATAATGCTGGCCATGCTGCTAGTTAGTTCGTCTCTTCGTTACTTCTGGCACGTGGCTCACTGAATGTATTAGCCACAGCGCCTAAACGAGCTTGTAGGTCAGTGACAAGCTGCCATTGAGTCAGAACTTTGGAGCAGATCATGTTCCAACAAGCCGGCCATCTGCGCGACTGTTTCTCGTCGGATACGCACTCGCATGATCCGACTCGATCCGACGACTCATGTCTAGGTGTTGTGGATGATCGGTACACATGTGTGTGCAAGAGCGACGTGGGGATCTCAAAGTGATGACACGTGAATACTATTCTGTGCATACATGTTTGGCGTACGTTAGTACAGTGCAAGTTCTGGAAACTTAGGATAGAGCCAATTTCAATTGCATGATCGACTTGCATCAATCATTTAGATGGCCTGGCCGTGCTTCATTTGAATTTAGTACCTAAGCGCGGGCGCGGCGGCGCCAGCGCCAGGCCTGGCGTCGCCGTCGAACTTCCCGGGCCGGCGTCGGAATTGGCCCGCCGCGCGCGGCATGACGATAAGTAGTTCTTATGCATGCACAATATATGATTGGTTAATACGCGGTATATATATAAGCGCACTGCACATGTGCCTCAGTGCATCATGATCGTGATTATCATGGATCGCTTAATTGCATATCGGTATATACACCAGCGTAAACGTGACGGCAACTCAGCGAAGAGAGCATCATATCGGTTTCATGCAATTGTCAATTAGTGATTGCATTCAACCTTACAGCTTAGGATAGCCCACGCGCATAGTTGTCGATTGCGGCGCGAGGACCATGGGTAGCGCATACTATGATAGGATTAATACACTGCATATGTAACCTGCGGCCGGGCGCCTTGACGATCGAAGTCAATGAAGTCGAGATTCAAATAGGGGCCTTTGGAAACGCGACTTCAAACCGGCTGGCAGCATTTGGCGAATTATTGCAGGAATTCCTCAGGAAGACATATGCCCAACACGATGCATGGAGTGGATGATTCCAAATTTGTGCTGCATTAAGAGATACCTACAACTGCAGGCGGTTCAATGTCAACCGTCCTTACTTCGCTAGCAATGCACCCTGACTGTTTCAGCTATACGTGTCTCTTTGCGTGTTGCTTTCAAGTGACCAAGCGCGTCAATTCATCAGTGAAGCTAGATCTAGATCATCAGTAAAGCTAGCTCTAGATCAACTGCTTACCTATTGCAGTTGACTCGGGTTGCAAAAAGCGTCTCTTAACAGGCGTAAATAACTCAACACTACTGTTCAACGGCTTCCAGTTAAAACCAATCACGAGACATAAGATTTGTACGACCAACCCCGCTAAATGATACATATGTTGAAGAATGAGTGCCCGATGTCAGCGAGAGGTAATTCCTAAGATGCTCATAAATCTTGCCCTCATATCAAACGTCATCTTACAAACAGCTGCCAAAGAACTGTCGGTTCGCCTATTTCTTGTCCTGTGCTTCTTGCACGACCAAGAGGGAAGCTTGCTCCCCCACGCCAATGCGCAAAACGGCGTCCGCAACCGGACCCAAAACGAGTTTTGTGTCCGAAATTTCCCTGCCGGACATGGTCGCCGTTAGTGTATCTCTCAAACCCTTAAACGAGGGCCCTCGGGAAAGCGGGGCGGGGACTTCTCCTGGGAAGCAGGAGAGCGGTCGGGACACGTGGCGGCCCACGATGACCAGGTCGTACTCGGGGAGCTTGAGCGCCTGCGCGAGGAGGAACTAGGATGAGGGTGAGCCAACGACAGCCGCGCTCGCCGATAACAAAGCGGTCATCCATGAGACCAAAAAGTAGCGAAGAGGCCTCTGGAAGAGCGGCTATGTTGACGGTTGTATACAGGAGAGGGGAGACGCTAGGTGGGCAATAGCGAGCAAGAATCTTATGGCGTCCTGCAACTCAAAGCACGTTTCGATCTGCTATTGTCCCAACTACATCGTTGTTCGACGGTTGAAGAGACAGCTAAGAGCGGCACTGCCTGTCAGGACTGACTCCCACGCCCGCGCAGCCAACAGAACGCCCTATCATTGAAAAACTTTGAAATTCATAAAAGGAACGCTTGGTACAGAAAGAGTCCTTCCTGGCATTTCCTCCAGAGGTGCGGGAGCGGTGCTATGACAATCGTAGAGCGGAGGAAACACCGAGCACTTGAGATAGCAAAGGATAGGCAATACAAAGTCAATCAAGCGAAGATTTGACGGCTTTCAGGCGGACGCTACGAAAGCAGTAAGTGCAAGATGGAGAACAAGCTCAACCGCTTCTTATGGTGAGGAGGTCCTTCTCTTCGTGCCAAAAAAAAGAACGCCGAGAAACGGGTTGCAAGCCTCTGACCTGCACCGTTGCCTGCACGTTCCTCTCATCGACGTCCATTTCCTCCAGCGTCGCTCTCTCCCTGCGCCCCTCGGACCGATCCTTCTTGATCTCCGCGATCAACAGCGCCGCGGCGGCTTCATCCAAATCTTCCTCCCGGTTTGGCTCCAACCGGGCGACCTCAATACTCACATCCTCAGACTGCTGCGTCGCTTCAACCGGGGCCTCAATCTCCGCGCTCTGGCGCCGGCTAATCAGCGCACTCCCCTCGGAGAAACTAGCGCGGGCAGCGGGGGCCTTGTTGAGACGGAAGCGGACGACCGTGAGAGAGACTTTCGCGTGCGTCCCGATGCGGGTTGCGAAGGACAGGGCCTCGCGGTCGTCGGCGCCGCCGAAGAAGAGCATGACTGCCCGGGTGAGGGGATCCCTCTCGGGAGAAACGGAACGAGGGGACTGGAGAGAGTGGCCGGAGCTTTCCTCCGGGGTAACTAGAAGGGCGACGCTGCAGGGGGCATGCTTCAGCGTCTGCATCGTAATCTGCGAGAAGAGAGAGAGATTCTCAAGACGAGCTTCTCCTACAGTTGTTTGGTTGTGGACAGGAACCGTCCGAGAGCGATGGTTGGTTTTGCAATGCCGTAGCCGTTAAGTAACAAGCTTCTGCATGAGCAAGTTCAGCAAGTAATAGGAATCTCCTGATTGTTTACCTATGACCTTTTTTCTTACCGAGTGGCACGGCTACGACTGCTAAAACTAGGCAACGCTGTGAAGCATTTGCTGATAAAGGATAAGAATAGGGATCACAAGAGATTAGGCGTTAAAGGCTAGGAGCTCAGGTTCTGGTAGTTTTTTTGGGGCTAGTTTGCACCTGATTTAGCACGTTCCCCGCCCAAAATGAGCAGCTTTCCAAGCGCTGCCACTCTCTGATACGGCATCAGCAGCCTGTTCCGGATTCACAGAATCTGCCGTCTAGAGTCGTCAGTTTTCAAGCGTTCTGTATTGGTAGGCTTTCAGGGTTTGAGACGCAACTCAGGCCAGTCCCCCGAAATTCCGAGCAGCTTTTCGAGCGCGCAAGCCCTTTCATACGGCAGCACCAGCACGCTGCTCCACATGCGGTTCACCTGTTTTGAAAGTAAGACCTTTGTAATCTTAGGATGTGGGTTCTGAGGGGCGTTTGGAGATATGACCCACCTGGCTAAGCCCGCTTCCCGGGAAGTCGAGCAGCTTTCCGAGCGCGCGCGCCCTCTGATACGGCAGCACTAGCACGTTGTCCCTTGTGCGCTTTTTTACCTCTTCAAAACAAGGTTTGTTACGTCTTAAAACTAGGGTTCAAGGGGATATGGAGGGTTCGAACCCACCTGGTTAAGCCCACTCCCCGGAAAGTCGAGCAGCTTTCCGAGCGCGCCCGCCCCTCTGATCGTACGGCGGTTTCCAGCACACGTAACTGTGCGTGTGTTCTCACCTTTTTTCGAAGCGAAAATTTCGACTCCTGGAGATAAGAATTGAAAACTCACCTGGTTAAGCCCGCTTCCGGGAAAGTCGAGCAACTTCCCGAGCGCGCCCGCCCGTTGATACGGCAGCACCAGCACGTTGCTCTGCGTGCGCTCCGCGGCAGCTTTGATGTCCTCGTGCATGTGGGCGATCGAAGAAACGGCCACGGATGACGTCACGGGGACACGTGCCTCCAGGTCGTTGAACGACTTGAAAGCGACGCCGATGTTTGTCATGCCGAACGCGGGGGAGACCCTGAAGTGTTTACGGCAGGTGGGTCAGGTGATGATTCTGGAGAGTCGTTGAAACAGAAGTCTTTGACCCGTTCCTTGCGTCACTCTTTGTTTACTAAGGTCACCGAAGCACGGCCATCGGACGGCTGGTAACTTAAGGTTGGCACTAGTAGGACCTGATAGATTTGTGAAACTTCGATGCAAAATTCATTGCTTCCAAAATCAAGCGGAAGCTATGAAATCTGTGGAACTTCTCTGAAACAGATCTTGCCACACTTGAGTTGAAGAGGAGACTTGAAACGAGATGACAGAAAGTTGACGCATAGAGAGAGCTTTGAGATAAAAGAAAAAGAGTATAAGAGACTCTGATCTGCCACGTTTATATCAGACGGCTTTTCCTCCAACTCTGAATCGTCAGAAGTCCAGATTGGTCTCTAAAAAGCGTTTGCATGGTTAGCCTGGGATGGAAATTTAGGGTGGTATGTGAAGTCACTTAGTCAGAGAAAAGCAGGTCAGAAGAGAGACTCAACTGGCATGACTGTTATGAAAGCCCCCGCATGCCCATCCAAACTGCTCTTCAAGAGACAGTCTTTCTGCTTGGACGGTCTTCCTGACAGTTGGAGTTCAAATAGACAAGCTGATCGGGTACCCTAAGCGAAGTCGCACATCAAAACATGCGAGGTACAAACACCCACCTTCCCGCCCAGCGCTGCATAGTGAGAATTGCGGACGATCGTTCGGACAGTTCTTGCAGATGGAGCGCGTGCACTTTCAGCCCCTGTGGCTCCAACCCCTTCGCCAACTCCGACAGGTTTACGGCCCCCGGAATGTCGTTCCGCCCGAAAAGGCAGGTCAGCAAGCGGAGCTGCTTGCCCTCCAGGGACTGGAGCTTCGGCGCAGGGGGGTGGGAAGCTTTCTGGAAGCGAGCGGGGGGGTAGACCCACATGACTCTGCAGGAAAGCGACATACAATTGACAGATGTTAGAAGTGGAGGGCATTAGGGCCTTCTGGAAGCGAGCGGGGGGTAGACCCACGTAAGGCTGCAGGAGAGAGAGAAATGCTTCTTATGTGCGTGCCAAGTCTTACAGGGGCGTCGAGTATTTCAGAGACGTTCAGAAGACTCTTCGGCGTTGGAAGACCCTTAGGCGTTTCAGGAGATGATATTGGCTGACAGGGAAGCACTTTCAGGGGTATGCGAGAGGCCCGCATACGCGAAACAGGAGGGAAGGGAGGAGTTGATTGAAGCTACCAAAGAACCATCTTGCAAAACAATCTTATATTTGTGGGGCAGAATATTGCCTCTTCTTTACGAAGCGAAGGCCTCAGGCATGCTCAACTTTACCGTTCGCTCTGATAATTTGAGATGCCCTTCAAAAGAACCGTACTTGAGAATATCATAGTGGCATCGAATCAGCACTCACAGCGGTGTCGTCATGAATGTCGTCACAAGCGCCATGATGACGAAGATGGAGAAGAGCTGCTGGTTGAGCACGCCGGCTTGCAGGCCCACGTTGAGCACGATCAGCTCCACCAGACCCTGCCACGTGGCAACAAGGAAGTGGTCACGAGATCAGCACAGTCGGCTTGATACAGGCACAGTCGGCTCCATCAGACACTGACACGTGGCAGAGGGTTGCTTGGTTATCAGGTCGACCGGAAACGCTGAGGGTTCAAGTAGCGGGCGTGCATGACTTGATTGTAGTCTAGCGCTCCACTTGACACCTACCAGGATCCAATCATTTTGTTCGTAGGAGTATAACGTACCGAGGCTGGGCCTCGCGCGACAGAAACGGTATCTACCCACCTGGGGACCACATACGGACCGCTTAGAATGGAAGCTTCCTTATTGGTCGACCCGGACTCTTGCATGACCGGGCATGTTGCGCGCACTTCGGCATGTGGCGTTGTTGAGAGCCAAAAGACAGTCGCTGAAACGAATCTAGAAACAGGGCCTCACCTTGGAGTTCATGAGCAGTCCGATGGTGAGGGCCTTGCGGAAGGGCTCCCGGAAGGCGAAGGCGGCGGTGGTGCAACCCACGATCTTGCCCAGGCACGCGGCGAGGATGACAACAAACAGAACGAGAATGGCTTTGCCCGAGTCGATAGAAGACACCTGAGGAGCAAGGTTTCAAGAAATCGTCAGGGACGAATGATTTGCAAGCCAACTTTCCTTTCGAAGCTGGTCTCTACTGGACGTCCGGTCAAACCGTAGCCACTCAACCAAGGACGACTTGCAAAACAAGGTAACCGTAAACCAGGGGCACAACGCTTGGAACGAGACTCTTTGGAAAGTAGGTGAGAGTTATCTGCTTTTGACGTTTGCGTTTACCTGAGGTAGCACATCATTGTCGACCTTTCTTTGAGCGGCCAAGTTTTGCTGACTGAGCGGTCATTCAGTTGGGCTGCAAGCTCGCGGGGCGAATTTGGATTTGAACTAACAAGCACGGCCTTGCCGAAGTCAGATGAGGATCAAAACTTGTGTTGTTGAGTTCTCAATTGGCGTACGTACTTGGGTAAATCTTGAGCGGAAGGTCGAGGACACTCTGCAACATTTTCTGCTCGAGCAAACCGGGTCACCGAAACATTGTAGAAGCCGGACAATAAAATAAGAAACTACACCTGAAAAAGCTCTTCCAACAACAAGGCACTAAAACGCAAAAGCTGAAAAGCGGTGCCCCCGCAAACGAGCCTCACCTGAGTTCTGAGGCCAGAGACGGCAAAGTAGGCAGGAAGGAATATGACGGAGATGAAGTCCTCTACTTTGGTGGTCAGAGTGATGGCATATGCCGAGTCGTGGGGGATCATCAGACCAGCAATGAATGCTCTGCAACAGCGAGTGAAGCGGATCAGTACTCCAGTCATGCCCTAAAACGTGATGAGTTACCAGGTTAGCAATACGGGTCTGCACTGATACCAATGGTCTTTCCGATCACAAACTTCCAAGATTATCATATTCATCTTTATTATTTTATTATTTAATAATAGTTTTGTAGCATTACATTTTTTTTGGAAATTTACGATTTGGTACTTTTAATAGACCATTACTGATAACATTACTGATAACATTACTGATTACTACTAAATCATTATAAATAATGCTTCACAAACTTATTAAGGATTCACAACGATTCATCGGCGCATACATCGCATTACCGCACAAGCGACTGCTCAGTTACCCAACAAGAGCGAACAAGGCGGAAGAAGGACAGTTGAATCGTTCTATGACGAAACGCAAGCGAGTTGTCGTCACCATTTTCAGAGGCGCGAAATGCACATCGCAAGTCATGGAACAAAGGAATGGCCAGTTGAGGGGCACTTTTTTTTTAAAATTTAAGGAGCGGCTCACCCGAAGATGGGGTGGATGCCAATCATGTCCGTGATGAAGGAGGCGGCCAGAACCAGGCAGAGCGCGATGAAGACGGAGAATTCGGAAACGATACCGCGCTCGTCGTTGCGGCGTGCGATGTAGTGAACGACCGGCCTGCGATTGAGGAAACCTCTTTGAATCAGTACCGCTGTTCTCTTGCAAGTACAACGAAGAGACGAAGTTTTGGAGGCAGGTTTGAGCTCGTGAATCGGCCGTGCAAGGATTGTAGTTGACGTGCCTGCACTAGGGTAAGCTTCTCTGGAAAAATCGTTGTCGCCTTGTTTGAAACGGATGCTGTAACCCGGCAAATGCTATGTCCTGCCATTCAGGCAGTATTCCTGGGGATATCTCAAATCAGGTGAAGAGCGTCGTGCTTATCGTGCTTTGTTTCACGACGCTTACCTCTAGATCCGTACGATACGCACAGTTCGAGAGGGGCGATGTGGATAAGACAGAAGTACGCTCATGCAAACACCGCCCTTTGTTTCAAGGAGAGAGAGGGTCGAGGCCCAGAATCAAGAAGCGTCCCGTTCAAACACACCCAGTTGTCCTTTCGGTGAAATGAGATGCATTGATTGTTTGTAACTCTTTCAACACGACCAACGTCAATCTGCGCACTCACTTGACGCAGGTGAACATAAAAATGATAAACCCGATTCCCGCCAGGAAGATCCACAGGCCGACCAACGGAGTCGCGTTTCGCGCGTTTAGCACAGCCACGGTGAGGGCCAAGAGACACCTGTTCCACAAGCCGACGTCAGCAGAAGAAAATAGAGTCAGGCAAAGATTGTTAGTGAGTGGACGATAGTATCTAGAGACAGAAAACCTCGGGGGTTTTTGTAGGGGTTGCCGGCTTTTTTAATACTCCTAAAGCCCCCCGCTTCCTAGGGGAATCAAGGACCATTCCGTGCGCTCGAGAATTTCTTTGCCATCAAGCGTGCACGATCCACTAGGAGTCTCGAAAGATGGCTGATGTCATTGACAGCTCAAGCTCCGTTGTTTGACTAGACGCTTCGTATCGCCCTGCTTCAAATCAGTTTCCTTGCTCCTGGTTCTGACAGAACTGCCGCACCTGTTCGATCGAAGACAAAATGCGCAAAGCAAAACACAGAATCCCAATGTCCGTAGATCGACGATGCTCTGTAGCGTATACCGAGGAGGGTCGCAGTTTCTCATTAGCTCCGGGCACTCACCATGCAACGACGTCCTCGACCGCTGTAAGAAGCAAGGAAGAGGACTGTCAGCCAAAGACGAAAGAGTATTGGAAGTGATAGCAAGCCAGCAGGAGATCGGCAAATATGAAGGAGACATGGTGTCAGGGAATCAAGGGATACACATGGTCCTTCTTCAACAGCGAAAGTTACTTCAGGATGGGCGGGAATAAGGTATCCTCACTCCCCGACCTCCATCTAGTCTGTCAGAAATAACCGGAAAAACACCTACTATCCTACCCTGCCCAAAAGATTCGCAAGAGTGGAGCCTTGTCTAGTTGGGCAAGAATTCACAGCTCAAACAGACTCTCTCAGAGTTTGAAGAGCGCCGAAGTAAACGAGCGAAAGAGCGGGATCAGTCTTGCCTGCTGCCGCCATAACGATCCTGCCGATGTCTGTCGTCAGCAACCGGGTCTCTGCACGTGCCAAAAACAACCTCGTCATTGATGGGCACGCCTCTTGTTATTCAAGCAACTAACTGACTTACCAGCTCTCCATCCAGCAGTCAAGGAGCGGTATGCTGAATGACGGAACCTTTGAGATGACGGTCTAATTAGGAGTGATCAAGGAATTGAAGCCCCCAACTGACAATAAACCCAATCCAACACTCTACTTGCTCCGCACGCATAACCACCGTAAACCATAAAAGTAACCCTACCCGTGCCAGGTTAATGAATATTCTAATTCCTGCCGCTTATATTCCTAATCAAG